AGCATTACGAGCAAAACAAGGTCTTCATTCATTTCGTTTAATATATTAAAAATTGTTTATAAATGCTTAGATAAATAACCTTTGCCCAGAGCCGAAACAAGAATATAAATATGCTTTTTTAAACAATTTCAGCTTATCAAATGTCTTGAACGAGAAGATCATCGAGAGCATTGTACAGAGGTCTTACGGATTTAAAAACCGATCCTCTGCGGAAGCGATTCTTTTGGCCTGGCTTGAACATAATTACACGAAACAATGCTCGGAAGACTGGATGAAGGACGACCGAGTAATTTTAAATCCAAACGAGACGAGGGAAAAAGTCGAGCCGAGAACTCTGGACAATTTTGAGAACGACCTGGCCGATGGATTAGTTTTGATGGCTGTTACCGCAGCTTATTGTCCATTCTTAATAAACTCCTTTTTTCGAAACATATATCTCTGCCCGAAATGCTTCGAAGAGGTAAGTTAATGAAATATAAAATATCTTCTTTGTATGACTATTTAATTAAATTCCTAAATTTAAATACGGATTATATGCAACGCACACAAAATGTCTACTTTGTGTGGCTGTTTAATTTTTATATGCGATAATGTACAACGCATACATTGTGTGGCTGTTTAATTTAAATGCGATAATGTACAACGCATGCAAAATGACTACATTGTCTGGCTAATTAATTTTTAAATGCGATAATGTACAATGCACACAAAATGTAGGGACATTTAATTAAAATCTTCAATTTAATTACAGATAATGCACAACGCAATCTGCGTGGTTGCCTCCTGGAGGAAGATAAGACTCGGCTTTGTTATAACGCCTATGGACATCGCCAAACCGAATTGCGTACAAATGATTATTCTAATTGCTCATTTGTTCGAGGTACTACCGACGTATGTGATAAGAAGTAAGGTGAATATCTACAAACAAGTACAAGTACTTCCAATTACAGTCTTTCATGAACAAATTGCTTCCTAACGAAGCAACAAATTATGAATCACAGATTCATAAAATTCGGTCCTGACCATAATTCCGATAAAAGTATTATATAAATAATTCCCAAATTGAGAATTCATGAAACTGACGGCACAGGATTTAAATTCAAAATTCCAATCGAAAAGATTCGTAAAGGAAGAAGTACCTGTAATTTCATTTTTTCTTTTTTACTTCTGAGACAAAATTATTTTTAAAGTACTCATTGTAACGAGTAGGTGAAGTTCAGCTGTCCACTGACGGAAAGTACCACGAGGCAAATAAACTTCACTAACCTTACTTCTGAGACAAAATTATTTTTAAAGTACTCATTGTAACGAGTAGGTGAAGTTCAGCTGTCCACTGACGGAAAGTACCACGAGGCAAATAAACTTCACTAACCCGACGGAATGTCGAGTAAGTTACATTTTGCAATTCCTGGAGAACGACTCGCACTTTTTCTCCCTGCTTCGTCCTACAACAATTCTGCGTCTTAATCCTCACGACAGCGGCCACGTGAAAGTTCAGTTTCACGCCCGGAAGATAAAAAAGGCGCGAGGTAAGATAAACATTTAAATATAAAAATGTACTTAAGCAGATATGAAAGGGTTTTGTTATATACCCAAAACATGAAAATATAAAACTTTTTTCCAAACCTCGACCGAACCGATTCAGCACGTGATTATGAAGGCCCTAAGGAAGAACGCGATGTTCATGAAATTACATTTTTCTACACAACATTTTCATTTACTCGAGACTAGAACCATGAGTGCATGTCTTTTTTTTTTAATGAAATTTCATGAGCGCCACGTTCTTCCTTAGGGCCTCCATAATCACGTGTGGAAGTTCCTAATTTTGGAGAAAAGTTTTATCATTATTTTTACTTCGTGGTGTATATCTGTATGACACTTTTGTAACACCTTACGGATTCATGAAACTTTCCCTCCACCTTTACAGCATATTTAATTCTTTGCGGGTCCGCAATTGGTCCCCATTTCGCAAGAAGTTACACCTTCGCTTTAGAGGGTGCTCCAAATCGACTGGGAATTGTCAACCAATACGATATTCGCAGTAAACTTTATCGAGTGATTGATAAAACTTTGACCATCCAAGTTCCCTACAACCACAGCGCCGAGTACGACATTTGGATGGCAAATGAAGAGCCTACGAAGCCCGGTAAATATTAACTAATAAAATTAATAAACCGGATTATGAGATATCGAATTGTTCCCTAAATCCGCAGATAAATATCTTTCACGGTGCATTTTTTTTTTTCTTGGAGATAAACGTACGTTTATATAAAATTTCCAGGGAGTGACAAGAAGCGATAAAAAAAAATGAAATTGATCAACCGGATTTGTTTCATTGGAGAAAATTAATTGTCATAATTTTTAGTAACTTATCCGCGTACTTATGGAACGACTCGGCAGTACGTAATTAATTAATCCGCCTATAATCTTTCCAGCTAGTCTCAAAATGGCCAAGTGGAGCGATTTGAGCCCGAGGAAGGTGCCCAGGAGGATCTTCTTGAACCAGATTAGTCTGGTGGTGCTCGAAGACACCCACGCAGCCAATTTGTCCATCACCGTAGCTTGCATTTCTCCAAGACGGTGTTCATATTGGATAGTTTTTCAGTCCCAGCTCGGCGATTTTATTATACAGGCAAGGAAGGGATACTTCAGATCCATCTTGGTGTTCTTTCGATGAGCCGATGATTTTATATCTTGCTTTTCTTGATTTTAGATTAATTCCAAATGGAGTGTTACAATTATGGACCGCATTACTGTGGAGTGGACCAGAGAAAAGTGCATCTGTGCAGATCCATCGACAGTTTCCAGGATGTGTCCTTTGAACATCGGGGTTAAAATACCTTCGAGGAACACAGATCTCTGGAAATGCATCGGCGAGATGTTTAGGAAAACTTTGAATCCAAAAGAGAGCCTCTTCTGGTCGCGCCATTTAGGTAAGATGAATTGGAGATAATTGAAAAATAAAGTGAAACGTAGATAATTGAATTTCTTGTTCTCTCGTAGAGTTAAAAGTTTAAATAGAATATAGATAACCTAACCTAACCTAACCTGCAACCTTTTAGACACCAACATAGGGCTACGATTAATCCACTGGTTAATGGGAGATCACGATGACAGCGTAGCTTCTGAAATTATGCACATTTTTAACAAGTCTGTGAAGTATCGGGTGACATCAACCGACAAGTCGACGAATGTCATCGTAGTGCCTCCTGAATTAGACGTAGAAGGTAAGCTGATAACATTCAGTACTTAAAGAATACCACTTCAAAATTTCATATCCGTATCGAAGCAAACAGAAAGTCCTGCAATATTTAGTTTAATTATTAATCGAGTAACCCTGACGACACTAGTTTTAATGGGATGCATCGGACTCTTTAATTTGATATTTACATTTAGATGTAAGACCTCCGGAAGAGTATACAACTTTATACATCCACATCAACGAATCCTCTCCTCAACTATACGAGACAATGTTAACAATGACCTCGACCGATGAAAAGGAGCTACGATGTTACAAAATGGTCTTCCTATGCAACGCAACGACCAGTTTCCAGGAAATAAATTCTCCAAGATCCACAGCAAAGAGTGTCGAGGTGAAGAAACATAAACTTTAAAATTCCAAGTATGCAAATAAAGGCTTATTTTTCTTTACTGGTAACCATAAAATAGCATGTGGAGCTCCAATGTTTCTGGTAGAGATGAGTTGTTATGATGAGGTTATGTGAGCTATGAATGATGAGTTTATACAGAAATGAGTTTTTTTTTTTTTCCATATTACTCATGTTGTGAAGTGGGAATAATTCTCGAAGATACAAAGAAATAAGAAACGGTTAATTTAAATTCTATATTAAGCTTGCTGCTGTAGGTACACTTGCGTATTCGGTACAGGAATACGGTTATGTTAAAACACTTGTGTCTCCAGTATTCAGAAATCTTACAGCTATCTCTACGTACAGTCTAAATATCCGCATCGGCTGTTAATTCGTGGCATCTTCCGTCTTCGCATATCCCGAAAGCGAGGCATCGATGCGTGTCGGTATTTTAATTTCAAATATTTTTGTCCACGCTATCCGACAAGCTACATGCACAAATGTCACGGTGACAAGCTTGACTGCCACGAAACGCGCGTCTCCAGTATTTAGGTACGTTTAGAAGTCTTACATGCTATTTTTACACACCGTCTAAATAACCATAGATGCTGGCTGCGTTCTCAAGATCTCTCATTTTCTAGTTTCTGGCATTTCCTTTGTCGACAAGCACCGATGCCTGCTACAAAAATTACACCGTTGCACCTCATCGAACGCTGTGAAAGCGTTCCTTGCAACTTGCAGCTCACCACATGACAGTAACACGAATACAAATTAATTTCTCACTTGATTCGACACAGCATGTTCCCCTACGTGTCCATCGAAGTGCACTCCTTATCGAGTGAGTTTCACAAATATCTATTTGTCCCTTCAAACCGAAGCCTACATCGCATGAGCTCGAGGCAAAAGTAATGTTACGCTGCTATTTCATATTTACCTTGCAGCGTAACATTAATCATGCATCGATCCAACATATTGTCATCGAAGAAGTTCTCTCGTTCTTTACATCGGAACAAAATAAACCCAGAGGATCATCCAAGTCAACGTTACTCTGTTATTGCCACAAGTTGTAATTAGTGGGCTGTCGTTATCACAGTAAGTGTACATCTTCGGTGGATTTAATTCTCTAATTTCTCCCTCGTCACTTCGATGGACCCTAGTACATCTTTCCTCATCGACAAGCTTTCCACGATCCTTCAGTTTGGTAGTACTTAAACCGCATCCAATACAATTATCTTATTACTTACTATAATTATGAACTACGGTTACTGTCATTAGTTCAACCGATGGTACCATCCTTAATTGGAATCGTACAAAATTAGACACGCAACAGAATCCGTAACTTTTAAACATCCCGTCGAGAAGACGTAGGAGAGAGAGTTACCGCACGCAATGCTACATACGGTAGACATTTGTTAATTACTCGAATAACCGAAATGACATCGAAACGCTCGAATTTTCCCCCTCTTTCTTTCAACTTTTCTCCTCAATCTTGATTCCCATGCGAAGAGAATCGATGAATCCAACCAGGGTACTGCCTGAAAATGAAAATTAGCTCTGCCACATATTAATCGCAGTAATCCTCATCGAAGCAACTGTGATTCCTTCGTAACCCCTTCGCACCACTTTTCAAAATTGCCACCCACCGAAGACATTGCATCGTGTCTCTGATAAATCAAGAAAATACATTCAGGCTCCGCAGCCATTGCCTCGTAATCACTTTTTCCCACTTTCTGCTCAAACTACTCCGGAATACACTCTAAAACTCCCATCGAACAGGAAAGAGTCTGCGTGCCCAAAACTCAGTACAATCAGTAACGCAATATTTAAGCGTAATAAAGACCTAAATAAATTACTTCCTTATTATTCTCAAGGTGGATAATAAACCTTCCCTCAAAGATATCCCTCCTGTTCAGTGTTAAGTCGCATAAGAATCAAAATCTCAGTGAGATAAAACGTCGGCCACATCGTTAGCTAAGTCCTCAAAAAGGGAAGATATTCCCACGTGAATAAAAAAATTAAAAAAAAAAAAACAAAAATACGGAATCGAGGTCGTTTCCTGCTTTTTCTCAGTTTCCTATTTTTCTTCTTCTCCTAATCACCCTTGCCAAAAAATCTAATTGCATCGAAGCACATCCATACACGTATGTGGAACATATTCCAATTATTTACCCAGTCAAGTTTGTCAGTCTCATATAGGAGCATGCAAAAAAAATCTCGGTTGAGTTTCGCACCAAATCGCTAATATACGTACACGTGGTACGTATAGGCGAACAGTCCCGAGTATCTTTTCGGCGAGTAAGTATAAAGATACGGATTATGCGAGGAAAATTAGCCACGATTCCTGACGAAAAACCGTCGACTTACCCTAATCAATGAGTATATGTTAATGACAATCTCGTGAGAACGTGAGCATAAAAAAAAAGAAAAAAAAGAATCAGGTCGTGTCATCTTTGACAGCATATCCATACACGCATATGGAACATGTTCAATGTATTAACTTACTCCTTTCTATCCCGTAAATTCCATATTAATTTCTCATTTATCCTCAAAAACGCATATTCTCCCCGTAATGAAACGTTCACATGAGCGCAAAATAAGGGAAAAAAAAAAAAACGATTTATGGATCTAGAGTAGCACCACTCTTGACATAATACTCATACAAGCATACGGAATATATTCCACGTATCATTAGTACACTAATAAATTCAGAAATATTTTTCTTTTCAGTACCAAAGTCCTCCGCTGCGTACTCAAAAATTTAACATTACCATTTTCTCCCTCACTCCGATCTCACATCAAAATGCATAAACATACATGTATGGATGATACTCGAAAGCGCACATCCATTCAGTGTCAATGACTGTCGTTTGTTCGCAAGAAAGAAAGAAAGAAAAAAATTACGATTTACGGATCTAGAGTCGCACCATTCTTGACAGCATATATCATACACTGACCTATATACGCGGTTTCCTCCGCGTATATTACAACGTATAATACGTTATCCAAGTTTTTTAAGCGAGCGCAAAGTATATTGCACCCTTTACATATAAATGGAAAATAATAAATCCAATTAGAGGTGCGACATTAAACCGGGCTAAGTCGATAGAATTTAGACAAGCGGCAGATTAATTATCCCTTCAAAATCGTAACGTCTTTACGCATGCGCTAAAAAAAAAAAAAAAGACGTTCATAACCTAGCGGACACATATACCGCACACCCGCGACATATATCCTTCGCATTGGAAACGTAATTTACAGTTTTTCTAGGATTTTCTACGGTAAACTACGTGGGTTTGCGTAATACACGGCGAAAAAAGGGGGAAATTATCCAACCCTGATCAGCGCCACACACGCACGTGGAACTAACTAAAAGGACATTAACTTAGTCGCATATCTCGATTTTGTGGTAATTTCTCCCTCGTTCCCTGTCCATGTCGGAGCATAATATAAACATACATACGGTTAATGTTGGAAAAATCCTATCTAGGGATTCGTATCTAGGATCGACGACGGTATGCGTGTAGACGCGCGCAATCAGGATGCGCGTTAACACGAGAAAGGAATTAACGAGCCCTAAAAGGGTCGCATCACCATTGACGATATCTAATTTAACTACGACTCCGTCAGCCTTCAACTTCTCGCCTCAAATCCTCCTCAATTCCATCGCTATCGGGAATCGAGCCGAATTCAACATCCTCAGCGTTCGAAAGCCCGGAAAAATCTCGAGACCTTCCCCCAGGTCTACCGCCAGGATAATCGTCAAACCTTAGCGTAAAGCCTCTGGGCGTTAGCAAAAGCGCTCGCCTGTAGAAACCAAAGAAAAGAAAAGATATATCCTGTATGTAATAAAAGCACACTATACGTGGGCGGCAATTAAACAACCGGGAGACATCAATGCCCTACCAACCTGCACAGGCGATGCCGTATCTCCAGGGGAGGCATTCAAGTCCGCCATTGTACAGTGACGTCATCGCCTGTGCAGGATAGGAGGGCATTGATGTCTCCCGGTGTACCTCCGATATTCCTCAAGAATTATCAGGCCGCGATGGGCTAATTTAGGAAAAGAGCGCGATTTACAAATCATAAACGTACCCTAGACAAGTGCGATCCCCCTCGAAGCCTTAAGGTGATAAGAAAGGTTCATTATATGTATATATAATTATATATAATTATCAATATATCAAAACGAGAAAATGTTTATACAACTTTTCTCCAAACTGGGTGCACCGAATTTGTAGAAAAGTCTCATAAATATTTTCACTTCTGGTACGTATATAAATCACATTTTCATATCGCCTTAATATCTCGAGTCTAGAAGTCCGGATATTATCAGTCTAGAAGTACAATTCCTGTTTTTTAGTCCCTGAAGAGGCCTCGCCGACGGTTATCCGCGAGACTGTGATATCGAGACACGGTGGAAGTGAATAAAATGTGTAAAATGAGTAGAATGAATTAAAAATGGATTAAAATGCACGTCGGAAGAGTGGCGAAAAGGAGAATAAATACAACGGAGGTGGAGACATTTCCCAAGATCCGAGCTGGGTGAGAAACACCAGTCGAGTGTCCTCGCGTCTCTCTCCGATCCTCCCGCGCATATCTACAAATTCTGCCTAGTCAACGGTGATTCCCCTCGTCCGAGCTACCGGGAAATCCTCGAAAGATGCTTATTTTCTCTCCGCCATCGAGTCCTGCCAAGGATCCTCGGACCCACCCCAGCGATCCTTTCCAATTCTCATTCGTAAAACGATTCGTGTCGGCACGGTAGCGTCATACGAGCCCGGCCTAAAAGCCAACTATATACCTCGGCGTGTCCCTATCCTCTGTACCTAGCGTTTAAATTATATTTATAACTAATAAGCAGTACGTGTGTCAAACCTTTCGTTTGCGCAATTTAGCCTGAGCCTCCTTTAACAATAAGTCGAAAGTGTTCTCCTCTTCGGCCTTGAGCATGCCCCTGCTGCTGCCACCTAGCGAGTTGCTCGCCAACCCATCTGAAGAAAGTAAATGATATTAATAATAATTGTTATTCATATAAGTATCTAAAACCATGAAAGGTGATATGAAATATTCCACTCCATATCTATAATCGTCAAAATATTTATATAAATTTTCCCCAAACTAGATGGACCGGATCATTTGAAACCTCAATACACAATTATGAAGACCCTGAGGAAGAACGCGATGCTCGTAAAATTTCATTTTTCACAAAAAAAAAAAAAAAGAAAAATGTGATCTTGGTTCTAGTTTAGGCTAAACAAAGGAAAGATGTTCTTTAAAATATGAAACTTCACGAGCATCGCGTTATGCCTTAGGGCCTTCATAATCACGTGTTGAAATTTCCAACGATTCGGTGCACCCAGTTTGGGGAAAAAGTGTTATAAATACTTTCACGTTTAGTATATACAGAATGACCCTTTCATATCACCTTAACGGACAATTCTGAATGTTTAAGAGTCAGTCAGTTGACCAGCTCGCAAAATTTCGGGTTCTAGATTACACACCGAGGTCGGCGTATTTCACTTTGCAGAATGCTCGGCGTCCACCGAAGCAGAGGTCGTATCTCGGTTGGGAAGGATCGTCGTTGCCGTGTTCTACCGCCTCGTAAGCGTCGTTTTTGTACGCGAACGTGACAAAGCCATAATTGTCGCTGAAAGTGAAATAAAATTATAATGAGTCCTAAAAAAAAAAACGAGGCCTAGGAAAAATCAAAAACTCCACCATCTCCCATTCTTCGTGTGCTGGGCAGGTCGCGCACCAGAAACGCAACCAACGTATAACAATAAATGAAATACTCAATGCTTAATGCAACAAATGCTTCCACAATGTGCGTACGTACGTATACAAATACATGGTTTCATTAAAATTCAATTTGAGGCGTTTCCTAGTTTACCAACTGGGTTATCAGTGTGCTACCCCCAACTTATCCAGCTCACGTTCTTTGGGACATTTTCAGAAATATACTTATATACTATATACTTAATAAACCAGTACATATACCCGTGATCATGAGAGTACTCTAGATAAGGAATAAAAAAATATCTAAAATGAAAACAGGAATTTATCCAACATTTTGCGTAACGCGGGTTTAAATTGGAACAACGTAACTTAATAAATAAAATGAATGTCGGTAACGCGACCGGCCCAACTAATGTTACCACTTGAGTATTCAAAATGACGTCACCACCGAAAAGGGTATACATGGATTATAATTTACCGACGTCGATTGGACTTATCAGCGGCTTTTTCACATCTCAAGGGGAACCAGAGAACGTGAACGATAATGTTAAATAATGCGATGAAGATTAAATGGATGCACACCCATGCTCCCGAAAGTGGACGCTGATGTCGACGACGGGTCCGAAGACCTCGAATCTCCTTCGGAGGTCAGCCTTGGTGATTCCCTCATCGAGGCGACCAACATAAATGACTCTTCGCTCCTCGACTTGTCTCTGTTTCTCCCTGTCGTACCAAGTGTCGTAGGGTCTCCTGTAAGCCGTAGGTGGCGACCTGGGGATAAGAAAAAAATAAGAATGACCACATTCGCCGAAACACCCTCTCTAAAGATACAGGAGATGATTCCTCTCTCGCACAAGGGAAATAAAGATTAAAGGGAGAAACTGATTAGCTGCGACGAACAAAGGACCAGTTCCAACCGCGGGCAGAGAAGTTCATGGCGAATCTCGTCGATGGTTAAATCGTCAGGACGACAAATGAACTCTGACCGCAGTTGGAATAGGCCTCTCGATGAGCCTCACTTTGTGCAAAGATTTGACGTATAATTTTACCTCCTCCAGTCTCCGTATCTGTAACCGCTCCCGGAGGAGCGCCTCGTGTTCCTACTGTAACTCCTTCGTTCGCGGCTTCCCCTCGACTGTTGACGCGACCTCTTACGCCTTCCGAAATTCGACCTTGAAGAGGACCTACAATCACGTGATTTTACCCACAATCTCTCTCTAAATAAAGATACCAAGAGTACCTAGACCACCCACACTTAGTCCGACTCCCATCCACATAAATTGATTTCACTTCGCATCGAAGTGATTAAAAAAAAAAAAAAAGAATAAAGATAAACTTAAATCTAGAAGTACCAAGGCATCGTTTCAATATTTTCCCAGATCACCCTAGCTTACGAATGACTGTTAACGAGTTTTCGCAAACCTTGTATAAGCCTGATACTAAAGATACTCCTCTATCATTAGTTATCGTAGAGTAACACAGGTCAAAGCTTCGGACTTGAGTTTACACTTGCTACGAACTGATCGTAGCACTATTCCGATGCTGAATATTACCATTATGGGCAAATCGTAAGATTAATAAGGGTGCATAAAGCCTAACACTAAAGATACTCCACTATTATTAGAGGATAACACAAGTCAACGCTTCGGACTTGAGGTTACACTTGCTACATACTGATCGTAGCACTACTCCGACACTGAATGTTACGTTATGAGTATATAGTTAGTTTAATAAAAAGGGAAATTGTACCTAGAGCAGCTCGAGTATCGCGACGAGGATCTGGATCCCGATCTGGAAGATACGGATCGCGACCTCGACGACCTGAATCTGGAACTGGAAGTAGATCTGTGTGATCGCGAACGGGACGACCAGCTGCTGTTCGAGCTGACGGAACTGCGACGATGACTCATTCTCCTACGACGTGTATTGCTGTGCCTGCGGGATCTACTCCTGCTCCTACTCCTGCTTCGACTTCTGCTCTGGCTCCTGCTTCGATTTCTACTTCTACTTCTACTTCTGCTGCTCCGGCTTCGTGACCTGGAACGACTGGAGCTGGTGGTGATTCTACGTGGTCTGTACTGTCGTTGCTTCCTATCACTCAGCCGATTCACCCTAAAAGAAAAATTAAATCCTCTTAATAAAATGGCCCGGCATGGAAATAAATTAAAAATAAATACAGAATATATAATATAGAAATGTATATATATCTGTACATATATTAAAGATCTTTCGTTCTTCTCAAAACATTAACCCGTACCTTTGTTCGGTGTTCTCCTCCACACTGGTTTCTTCGTCGATCCTGACAGGACACTCGAAGACAGTTTCATTAGTCTGAATGGCGACTTCTCGAGTGGAGGGCTTAGGACGCAGCTTTTCATCTTCAATCTCAGCCTTAGACTTCAGAACAGATACGATCTCTCGTTCCGACCAGATTGGATTCTCAGGATCATCCTTGATCGGTTCAGTAGTGGTCGACACATGGTGAATGTATATCAAAGACATCGGCTGCACCGGAGAGTTGGTCCTACTGCTGTCACTCCGGTTCAGCTCTCGTCTACTCCTATACTCAGCCAGGTTCAATTTCCTTCGGGCAGGTTTCTTCGACTCCTCAGTGGAAGGCTCATCGATTCTGACATTCTGTATTATATTTTGCACCTGGTCGTTGAAACTATTAGTCGTCGTTACGATGCTCTCATTTGGATTGCTAGTGGCCATCGGCAACTGCTGAAGTGGTTTCTTCAGCACCGAAACCATCTGCTTGAACTTGTGGCCCTTTCCATCCACCGGTTTTGTCTTGGTAAGCACTCCCTTTCGCAGCTGTAAAATGCTGGTCGCCAAAGCTGAGCGAATCTTCATTTCATAAACAGGCTTGTTCGCAGGTTTACTTTCAATAACTTCCTTGTTTCCAGAAACCGAGGAAGTAGTGGGATTTGAAGGCTTCGGAGCAATCTGCTTCGAAGCACTCTCCTTCGGCAATTCTTTGCTACGGTCTATCGAGGAAGTGCCACTCTTCGAGTCGACTGTGCTCTGGGAACTGGAAGATTGCTCTTCGCTGGCATCGCTTACATCACCAGACTCCAGACCGCTGTCTTTTCTTGAGCTGCTGTCGGTCCATCTCTCTCCTTGTTTCGCAGTATTCTTCTGCGTAGTGACGCGAACGTTGTCTGCATTCTTCGAGCACATCATGTAGTATTCTGGTCTTCGAGGAGTCTCCTCTTTAATCGAAGAGACCTTTTCAATGGCATTCGTCTGTCTGTCATATTCGCTGTTGGTATCCGGAGTGCTTAACATGGAACTGGCACTACTGCAATAATCATGGTCGAGTTGGACCGATCCATCGATCCTTCCACTGGTACTGGAACCATTCGTCACCTGGAGAAAGAGAAACATTATATACCACCACGTTAGTAACACACATTTAATACTCATCGCTGAACTTATATATATATATAATAACAAATTAAGTTTTCTTACGATCTTCAAGAGCTTATTCCTTGACAGAGTCGAACCAGCATCTTGCATTCGAGTTCCATTGCTGCGACTGTTACTCCCTTTTGTGCCGAGCACAGCAGGCACCACCGAAATCACTTTCTTCCGTCCGGAAGCCTGTAATTCAGCATGATCTTAGCCAATCACAGCCAATGCAGACCAAACTCGCAAGAAGCCACAGAGGAACGATCAAGTCACCTTTATCCTGTCGATGACCTCCTGTGGCAGGGAATCTCGAATGTTTTGATGCAAAGTGTCGTCCTGAGTTTCTACAGCAGGTTTCTTCGAGACAGCTGTCGCTGATCCTCGACCCGTGCTGCCAGCTGCCTTGCATTTTTGTACAGTCCCTCGTCTACTTTCTAACGTGGCAGCCTCGGACGCTTCAAACTGCTCCAACAGACTTTTTACATCTCCAGCTTCTAAAACTAAAGAAACAAACAATTACTACAATGCTTTCCATCGCGAAAAAATAGACTATTTCTCAGATTTGGTTTACAAGTATAATACAATAATTCATAATTTGTAAATTACCTGGATTGCGATCCACAGTTACAGCGGAACTGGTAGGCTTTCCCTTTTCTACCTTACAACTAATCTTAATAGTTTTCCTCTTCTTCAACGGTTTCTGATCGCTGTCTTCACTGTTACTAGGTTTGCTCCGAGCTTTTCTATTCTCAGGCATTGTTTGTAACTGTTTCACTTCACGGGCTTGCTCCACTTCCTGTACAAGTTGCTTCAGGCTTTCCTTATTATCTTCTTGTAGATTAACCGATGATGGTTTGGCGGCTTGGACACGATGAGCACGAGCTATTTTCTTTTTAGTTTGTTCAAACCCAGATTGGCATTCGAGTTTGATACCGTAGGTAGTTTCGTTGAAATCTTCTTCTTTCTTTATCGTACGTGATAAGATATGTGTAGCGGGTTCATCTTGAAAGATATTCTCTGGCAGGTCTGTACACATTTTTTCCGGCATGTTCATATTCAAGCTCACCATATCCTTAACGTCAATGTCCTCCTCCATATCCGAGGCCTGTAAATTACAAACCCTGTTAATACTCAGCAACTAATCTCATCGATTCTTGCATTCAACTAATAAACATTAAGACTTTTAACCTGAAGGTAACCAATGTGTTCTTGCCAGTCTGTCAGCACCTTGGCGAAGTCCTCTTTGATATTCTCAATCTTTGGAATAACCGAGGCGACACCGGATACAGGAAGCACAGCCATGTCGCCGTTAAGCCTAAAAAAAAAATAACATCTGTTTAAATATCCAGTTTCTCGCCAGACCTATAACGATACTAATCTTCAACAATATTTCGAATAACTTACTCCTGTTCCGTGCCCCACAAGGTGGCCGAGACATCCAAGCGATTATCAATGTATCCAAAGTCATCGTGGACTAATTCCATCAACTCCCCTTGCTGAAACGACGATAGAGCTCGTAACATCTTAACGCTACTACGATATCAACACCAAACCCCAAGAATAGTTCTTTGAGCCGCAAAAAACTATTTCATTTCAATATCTAATTAAAACTCATCCGCGACCCTCGGCAATAAATGTATTCCAATACACATCGCACAGACGTTGGCGCATATCCTTAAATCCACCATGTCAATCAAAATAATTACCTGATCCATAGACAACGAGAAATCAGAAAAGTGTTCCTCATCGTGGAAGTTTAAAAATCCAGCTTCCATCTCACTCTCGCTACTGAGCACTACCCGTCGTTACTGGCTGACCGATCTGCAACGATAACCAAACAAAACCCAGTTAACACCCGCAAGTCAGGCACAATTTCAGTATAAACACTAAATCACGTCCCAAACACTCCGATTTCTACCCAGAAACCTCGAAACCTCTCTATAAAGACACTTAAACCTCGAGTCGGCACGAGGACGCGCAACGCGCGTGCGTTTTCGAGGTTAGGTCCGTCACCGCCTCCGAGTTAACGAAATTATCACAGCGCGCGAGCGTACACGTGCACGCGAGATGAATATACGACGAAACTCGAAAAGCATTCTTACCACATCCATCAACACTTTGAAAAAGAAAATAAACCGAAAAACCTTCGTTCGAGTCACCGCATCGCACAACAAAAATCGGTCTCTTCGAGATCCTCCTTACGTAACGCCGCTTCGGAGCCGCTTCCACGTAGTGGAAGGCCGAAGTCTGGGAAATCGAGGATAAATCGCGTACATCCATTAACCAGTCGATAGCGTAGCGGAGGCAAAAGTGTACGGGAGACGCGCGACACGCGGCGACATTGAGGTTATGTCGTCAGTCGACCGCAAGAGGCCCGTAGGTCGACGTACCATGCCGCGACACAGGAGACCGGGATCGCGAACGAACCTTAAAAGGAGTCGTCGAGGTTATGTCGACGAAAGGGGCGAGGAAAAAGCGATTCGGAAGATCGGCGATCCAGCGGTGCGTCGGTCGGCCACGTCCCTTCGGCGTCGGCCACGGTGCGTGTCGCCTCGAGAGCGTCCGCGTCGGCCGGTCCGGGTGGCGGCGCGAGACGATCGTCTCCGCGTTCCCGTGGCCCCGGCTTATATAACGCGCGACTAAACCGGGATAAGTTGTCGCGAGACAACGCTCACAATACAGACCCGACCCGCGCTCTCAGCCACAACCGCATAGGAGCGCAAACCGGACAGGGTGAAAGACCAGTCACGAGCACACGTCCCCCTCGGAGCGCGCACACAATGACACTGAGCAGATCACTGAACGCGGCAAGCCTGATGAGGCGGCCTACCCCCTCCCGGCGTGCAGCGGGGCTCGCCGCGCGAAGCGCTGTGATTGGTCGGAGCCGTTTCGGCTCGACCAATCAGCAGCCGGCCTGGGCCCGAGGCGAGGCGGCATCGACCAATCAGCGCTCGCGCCGCCATGCGGCCGGTAAGAGGAAACCACCACCATTAAACGCGATAACCTTTACGACGGTATTGAGGGATTAACGAGGCCTGCCCTAAACTCGCGGGCCGGTAACGAGACTCGTCTCTTGTTTCCGGAAATTCCGGAGCTGGTCACGCGGATATCTGGTAGGAAAGTCGGGATTTAGCACACCCTTTCGCTAACCCTCGTTTATCACGCCATGGCCGCGCTCTGCCGGCGTGGTGAGGTGGCGCCGGTGCCGCCGTGTGATTGCGCACTCACACACTCTCTATGGCCCTGATATTCTTACCGACGCTCGATGGAATTCACGGCGAATTTTTCCCGGACAAAGACTCTCGCCCTGATTCCGTCGACTGGATATAAGGCATAATCTACGCAGAAATCAACCTGATCCGCGACAGGTGCGGCTCGGCCGCGTCTGCCGATTGCCGCAACGTGCCAGACGGGTGCGCCTACATATTTAGCTCGCTAGTCCTCGGTATAAATAACGTACACTCGTAACGCGGAAATACCGGCGCCCTTCCGAGGATCTAGAACCTCTGGAGACCGGCATCTGATACTCTACTTACTTCGAATTAGAACGCGCAACACTTTTTTCGGTTTAATCCCCGACACCATGTCACGTGTGAATCAGCCACGCTCTCTCGGTACCTCTCACTCGCACTTTCACGGGGCTTCAGAGTGTGAGGGAAATACGTCCATAAATGTACCGACACGCGCGCGTTTCCCAGGTTACCCTTAGACCATATATACCTAGACCCGCATTGGACCTCCCACTCCCACATTTTCAATAAGCAAAATGGCTGTAATTGTGTGAGTGAGTCGTCGGGACACGTGGTATCTTCTTTTGCCCCTTCCACCGCAAGGCGGTCTACATAAATATATGGTCTAAAATCTGATTGGGTCCGAGTGCCGTCGGCACACGTGGTTCATGTGGTATTCGAGTTTACTCCTTCCACTGAATGCGAGGTCTAGGTATTTATGGTCTAAACCTGCACCTGACTCGCGGCCATTGGTGGTCACGTGACTCAAAAATGGCGCCGGCGGTCGGCGCGAAAAACTTGAATGCGTTCTGCCGACAATAAAGATACTTGGCTTGATTTCGCTCCAAGAACATACACTTGTATCAGGATACTCGGTAGTTCGCGACAAATACACACACATACGTAGATACTTGGTATCTGGTTTCTTTCGGGTTTCCCGAAAATTTGCAGGCTATTATGCGACCAACAATGGCGGCTTAAGTTTTATTAGCGGGACTTTTAACTGCTTTTAACCCTCTCCCTTCCCGGTGTTAACAATGTCACCCCATAGAGAATTTCGGGAACAATGGGTTACGCTAAATACCTTTTCCTGGAATATGGGATTGCTTTGTTCCTGACTGTCCGGTTTTTCCGTACATTGAGCGAATAAAACTGCAATTGAGGTTAATTTCTAACCTGAGCGTTAATTTTATTTAATTACAGGCTTACTTGCGACTCTACAGTTATTATTACAAAATGACGTCTCTGTTTGGTGATTGTTGGTTATCCGGAGGGCCAATCACTGGGATGCTGTTCAGGATATTCCGAATCCAGTTGGTATACATCGATACCTAATAACATAATTCAAAGTGACGATTACTTTACTCGATTAATCTTATTTTATCTAAGTACTGCACCTTTGTGAAGACAGTGTAAAAATTTGGATCGCAGTACACAGAATCTACTCGTCTTGGACTAATCGACACAACGCCTTGAACTTCCCAGACGGTGCTGTTTGGCTTTCGGAGAACAAATGATCCACCGCTGTCTCCATTACAAACTCCGGTGCCGTTACCCCATCCAGCACAAAATGTCGTGTAAGTCAAGTATTTACGAAAGTCTTCTTTCTGACTGCCTCGACACTTCTCGTCGGACACTACCTCCAACGACGTAGCTCTCAGAGTCGGACTGGATGTATCCTTCTCCGTAATGCCCATTCCTGCGAACATCATCACAGTGACAATTTACATGGCAAGTGTTACAATATTCTTCGCGGTATGTATTATCACCGTTAACTAATCCGACTTCTCCGCTTCTTTGAGAAATGTCCACAGTGTTCGCCCAATCGATGCAAGCAGGTCTTACATAGGAATTAAGGACAGCAGGTCTTTCCAAAATTAAGATTGCCAGGTCGGATCCATAATTTCCTTCGTGGTCCTGATAGGAGTCTTGCAACTCAATCCTCTCCAGATCGAACACCTGTACGTTCTCATCCTTAAGACTGAAATTACTGGAGTATGTACCGAGGGATACTCTAACAGTTTCCGAAGCAGTTTGCCAAATGCAATGACCAGCCGTAAGGACGACACGTTCGCCGATGAGAGTTCCACCGCAAAAAAAGGTCCACTTCCCGTCATCGTGGGAAAATAATGTCGCGTGCCAAGGTAAAGCATCTTCCCTGGACGTTTCCCAGCCTTTCACTATCAACGTTGACGCTGTAAATATAAAAGACATTACCTTATTATTTCTGAAAGCATTTACCGTACACGGTCACCTGAAAAGTTGACTCTTCATCTGCATTATTGTTAAAATTATATGAAAGTGATCTCAGACGTCGTTTATGAGTCACTATTCCGAATTGAGTTTACCGACTTGAAATTTAATTCATTACCCGAATTTTTTAAGAATGCTTGTAAAGAAAATTAAAAATGAAATCTCAAAGTAGTAGGAAGCTCTCTCAGGGCCTCCACATTCAGGTGGTGAAATTTCAAACGATTCGCTGAGACGCTTTCATATCGCCTTAAAAGTAAGAAATACCTGGAGTGTCCCTTCTTCCGCAGGTTGGAATACATTTCAGAGGGCCCTGGCTCCAGGTACCGTCGTGAAGACACGTCGTCCTGGAGGATCCACTGTCTCGTTCATAGAAATCCGGACATTCCATGGTAACTCTTGTACCAACGCTAACGGATTTATTGCAGTCCACCCAGCCCTGATGAGGACCCCACATCGCCTCGCATCGTTTCCTCGCCCCAGGAGCGAAAACAGGGGGACAGGTAATTCTCTCGACGCCTAAAATCCAGCAGGTAAATGTTAAACCGCCGAGGCACAATGTGCTCTAATAAACGATTTACCTTTTCGCTTTACCTGAGGGACACGTCGGAATAGCCGGTAACCATTTATTATCGTGGCAATAAACGCTTTCCGCCCCTTCTAAAGAGCCCTTCAATTCGCAGAAGTAATCCAGCCGGGCGAGCTCGGGCACCACGTCTCCAGGTCTGCATTTAGGGCAATCCGAGACGTTGTAATGAGTCCCGGGTTTGGCAGAAGGTAAACGACAAGCTCCTTCTGGAAGAGACCTCCCACACATGGCCTCGTCCTCGTCGCTCCAGTCGTGGCAATTCGGCTCCAGGTTGCACGTCAACTCCTGGTCGATGCATCCTCCATATGCGCACCTGAAGGAACCTGGAGGACACCTGATAAAAAAAGTACATATAGATCTAACTATGAGGTTGTTACAGATATAGTTGACACGGTTCATACTGTGCTATCCTTGTTGGAAAAGGAGTTGAAGTCCTGTACTATTTTTTTTTTCCCCTATAGCGCATAATTGTATTGTAATAACTAATTAAAGCACAGTCAATCGTTTCATTCCGTTGGGGAATGCGATTGATTGGCCACCTCAGTCAAGTGAAACAATTGTACGGTAATTTTTTAACTAGGTATTGTCATGGTTTTTCATGACGTGTGTCATCATAAGAGTCATACGCACTCTCGGGATTCGCAGAACGAGGAATCCTCGTCGGAGCCATCCCTGCACTGATAGGACCCATCGCAAACTCGATTCCCCGGGATGCACTGGCCACTGTTTTCGCAATGGAACTCGTCCTTCCTGGAGAAATATCCAATGATGCATGGAAGAAAAAATTGTCGTGGCGTAGCACTTTTAGATTAAATTCCATTTTTTTTCGTATCAAATTCCAAACCTGCACTGATATTGTTCACACTCCTTGCCCTTGCAGTTGATTGCCGCGCAGCTTCCTGGCTCCTCATCAGACCCATCCACGCAGTCCTTGACCCCGTCGCAGATCACCTCCTGGTGAACGCATCCTCCATAAGCGCAGTGGTATGTGTGGCTTGCACATGGATACTCCTTACAAACGGTTTCGTTCTCGTCGCTGATGTCTTTGCAGTCCGGATATCCTGGTGAAACATTTTATCAGGACGATGCGCCTCGACGACGCCACTGTCACATCACCTTAAGAGTCTCGGAGAGGACACTCACCGTTGCACAAATCAGCCAGAGGAATACATTCTGTGGAATTGGAACACTGGAATTCTCGTTCCGAACAAACTTCTGGTATCTCACAATGGAATTCATCGCTGCCATCCGTACAATCCTGAATCCCATTGCACCGAGAGCTTCGAGGAACACATGCACCGTAGGCACATCGATACAGAGAGAGAGGACATCTAATCAAGAAACGAGTGATTAAGACATAATGAAATCCCCTTCAAATCAATTGACTCGAATAAGACACTTTTTTTCAGGATATTAGACCAACATTGACAAATAAATTTCCTACAAAAGGAAAAAATAACATTAAAAACTAGAATGTAAAACATTGACTTACACGACGTGATGGCACAGTTTCCTCAGCTCGTCCGATGAATCAGGGCAGTGCGGAAAACCGTCACAAACGTTTTTAAGCGGTATTTTCGAACCGTCCACGCAGACAAATGGAGGAACGTTATCGAGGAATTTTTCGGCAAGGGCATTTCTCAAAATGTGAGCTAGAATGAAAAGAAACGTCTAAGTACTCGCAATCTATCATTAGTATCACGAATGGCGGAGCATATATGTATACATTCTAGAATAAGTATCTAATGGACGCGTTAACAATTTATGAAAGATAGTTTGGTCAATGGACGGTCTGTCGTCAAATCTACGGAATAATCTAGAAATCTAAATATTTGAACGAGTTCTCGCGCACCGGATATGGCGAAGATCGAGGCGAGCACTCGACGCATCTTTGCACCACTGTTAAAAAATCCTCTTTGGAATCGAACCTTTATACCCGATATTTATAATGGAAATCTATTACCCGGGTGGCAGGATTATTCCCAGAAAAATATGAAAGATCGATCATTAGAGCCAGGCGGTCATTATCGAGTATTTTATGGCGTCTCTCGTACAATAAGAATCAATGGGTCATGAGATTCGTTCCGAAAGGCCGCCGCCATTTTGAAAAACATAAAAGGACCTTCCGCTCCTTTTTCTCCTCTAATTTCGATTTCCACATGCGAGGTCGGTTTAATTAAACATTGATAATAATCTATGGACATTTACATAGACTTTTGCACACCTCATAACTGATCTTTTTAACTAAATTAAATGTAACGTCAGATTATAATTTTCTTTAGCATAGATTAGATACCGAATGTGACACTGACAATATAATTTAAGTGGAATTTATTGTGGCATCGAAACAATTAACGACTGAGTATGTAAATTTACATAGGCATTTTTATCAGTGTATGATCAGGAAACTCGGTAGAGTCTCGCACCAAATATGTATTTACATAGGTCTGCGTGAACCGCCACCGAGTTCTTTTAGTTAACACGGGATCTCCAGAATGGTGAATGAAAATCAATGATTGATGACCGTTTCGATAATTGTTCCTTACGTAAATACTCGTTGGTGTATTCCGGTCACGTACTTGGAGGTTTCCTTGAAGACGGAGTTGAAGGAAGCCTTTGATGATGGCGTTCCTCCGCTAAAAAAGCGATATGCCGTCATCTCGTGATGTCAGGGGTCAGACCCTTTCAGGCTCTAAATTTTCGGCTCTAAGGATGAACCTCGTCCGTGATTTCTACGTGACTCACTGATTATTCATCCATTATTACGCAGGATTCGCAGTGTGTAAGCGATAACGCTCACGTATGCCGAGTTTACACGACACGGGGCGTGGACGAGGCGTTATCATCGGATCGTTATCGGATACCCGGAGAGGTGTGACACACCTAGGTTTGATCCGTTAGAAATCCCGAAGGAGAGCCGATTTCAGTCGCTGGTTGGGAAGAAGTCGCCGAAGAAGTCCTCGAAGAAGCCACTAAGAAGGATCAGCGACCCTTAGGAACGACGGATAGAAGATGAGGGGCATCCTCTTGGCCTTCTCCTTCCTGGGGATAGTAGCCGCTGATTACAATTGTGAGTTGGAAATTATTCATTGACACGTTTATTAATTATTTCCTTACCTAGAGAAAAATACCCACCTTTGCGAGCGATCATTGGCTGAGGTTCGATTTTCTCTCCTTCGACCTTTTGGGTGCTGACTCCAAAATGGGGATTTTCAATTCTGGGATGATCGATGATCCATTTTGCTTCTAATCAACGACTTGCTGGAGACTCGGTAGAGTTACGAGCCAAATACATTTTTCAAAGTCGAGTGCTAAGAGTGCGTAATTTTCCTAAAGCGTAAAAATTTTATGAAATTCTTTTGCGTTATTTATTTACGCATTCCCTTAATTATTTCATTATTTAGAAGAATACCCACCTTTGCGAGCGATCATTGGCCGAGGTTCGATTTTCTCTCCTACGACCTTTTGGATGCTGACTCCAAAATGAGGATTTTTTTTCTAATCAACGACTTGCTGGATTATTTCCTTCCTGCACCGAAAAAATATAATTATTAGTGCGGGATTTTCCTGAAGAAGCGTAAAAATGTTAAGAAATTATGGCAAGAGCAAAAGTCGGTGAAAAATTGGTATTGATGGCCGTGATTCAACCATGTGATAATATTGATACCAAGTATCGAGGTAAAATGTGTGTATACATATATTACATATACATGCATACATATACATACAAATATATACACACACACATAGGACAGCTACAAGAAACTGATAACGAAATTTATCTATTACTGATACCATGGTGACTTCGCCCTTGTAAAGCAGTGACGTTCTGAATGAACAAGAATCTTATCACAGTGACCAATATATATATATATATACATCCGTGCAATCGTACATTTATGTAACAATTACAGAATTGTTTCACGAATGTTAATATTGTCGAAATAAAAATGACACATAAAATAACTAAACTGGATTTTAAAAGAGCGCTCAAGAGGTCCATTTTTTAAGGCCAGTATCTCCCTGCAATGAAATATGATTATAAAAATGTATATTATTATAGAATTTTAAGAGGAGAGAAAGCACCATTTTTTTTTCTTTTTTTTTCCCAGACAGTATTAGCAGTGTAATGAGATATGATGAGAAAAATGGATATCACTATGAAATATAAGTTTTATTTTAATAATGTAGACCCTGAAAGATGACAAGAAAAATTAATATTATTTTGGGATTTCAGTTAAACTATGTGCACCGAAGACGATCCCTGACAACACGTGCCTCGCCCTGCAACGCGGTGGTCAAGTCTCATGTCATCCTGTAGAAGACAGCTCGGAATGTGCAATTAGCTTAATCACAGGTGCAGCTGACTTCGGTGTCTTCACCTCGGAAGAGCTCCTCCTAGCTTATCAATTTTATCAAACGGGTCTTCAGGTGATCACCGAAGTGCGTCACGAAGACAGAGCGCAAGGCAAGTGTCGGCAAAGTCGGATATAATATACTCTTTCAGACGATAAAATAAATCCAAGTTATAAATATTGATGTACATTGAGTTGATTCATAATTGTCTGCACTTACCACGGCGAAACTGGCACCGAGAAAGGTGCAGATAATTAGAAATTTCCAGCCTGTATGTATACTTGGTGCGAAACTCTACCGAGTTTCTTAATCAACCCAATGAATGAATATTAATACCTAAACCAATTTTTTCTACGAATTAGTTCAATGTGTATATGTAAATAAATTTTTATTTTTAGCAGTCAAATAATTAGGAAAAAATTTATTATTATAGGTATTATAGATATGATAGGTATAGAAATTTATTAATATAGATCTAAGAGGGAAATTGAATTTTCCAGATGAATTCGAGTTCCAGACCGTCGCGGTGGTGCCCTCGAATTTGAGTGTCGGAATGGATCCCTTCGAAGGGCTCAAGAATGGGGGATTTTGCCACCCTGGTTTCAGCGATGCCCAGGTGTGGAACGACTACGTCCTTAAGTACTTCGAGAAGAGAGTTTACGGTTCCACCTGTTCGAATGACCTGAGCGTCGCCGAGAACGAGGGGGAAAATCTGCGCAGCTTCTTCGGGAAAGCCTGCAGACCTGGAGGATGGGTCGTCGAGGGTGGCACCGATGAGATCCTGAGTGAGGCGATTTACTTCCACCTTAATGTAGCCTCTGAACTCATAAATCACACTTTCAGTGCTACATCCATCCTTTATCCATTTAAGGGGGTATTACCGCCTAGAAGCTTGTTTTTTAAGTAATTTTTAGGAATTAATTTTGCAAAAACCATCAAACCTACAGTGTCGAGGTTTTTCACGCATATTAAGACACGTTTCAACTAGCAAGTTTAACATTATTTCATACATCCATTTTGGAGATAAGTCTTATAAATATTTTCACGCTTTATATATTTATAATGACCCTTTGGTATCGCCTTAAAGACTACAAATAAAAGATTTTTAGTAGCGCTGAAAGTGAAGTATGAGTCTGATGAGTCTTGGATGTTGTCTCAGGGAATTTTCATTAAAGTACTTTCTTCTTATCAGAGGAAAATTACGGAGAACTCTGCGCCCTTTGCGACGGTCCTGACACCTGTTCGTACAAGAACACGAACAACCACGGCCACGATGGGGCCCTGGACTGCCTGACTTCAGGACGTGGGAAAGTCGCCTACGTTGCCCTGAGCTTCGTCCAACAGTACTTTGCGGTTAGTAGAAGGTTCGAAAAAGATATGAGGCCCTAATTGACTGCAGAGTGACCCCCTGCGCCATCTGTAATTTCCATGTCAACTAAATTTTCACCCCGACGCCTCGTATTACCGTCATTTTAGCATAGAACCGCGTAAGACACTCTTTTGCCTTTATCTCGTTCGAATGCGAGTTTATCGATTACCAGAGTGTTCTAAATTATTATAAAATTCTCTTGACCCTTTCTTTTCTCATATGGAAGCCTTCAATAATTGTATACCGATTGAAATATGAGAGCTCGACGCCATTTTGGTTCTGGTTGGTCTGGGCTAAGTTAAAAAAATGTGTTTCAAACATCCAAATGTTCATTGTGTCAGGATAATTCTTAGATGATTATGAGTCATGTGCCAGTTTATAAAAATTTGGTCCAATATCCTTAAACAAAAAGTGTCTTATTAGAAGCGACGGAATTGAGGGAGGTTGCATTTAACATTAAAAGGTACATGTAAGAGAGAAAATTACCTAGCAAAAAATATTGATGATAACTTTCTTGTGCAGTTGAATCACGAGAGCAAGGGTAACGTGATTGATTACCAATTCCTGTGCCCAGACGGAGGTTTCCAACCATTGGCAACGAAAAATCCCTGCTCGTGGATCCACCAGCCTTGGCCTGTGATCGTGGCCAAAGAGTAATAACTAAGATCATAATAAAATAATAATTATTTAAAATACTTCATTATCCGTGTAATGTCAAGCTTCAATCGTGAAACATTCCACCGAGCTGGGTGTATCGAATCGTTCCAAACTGTACAACGTGAATATGGAATCGCTAACATCCATAAAATAGAATTTTTTAAAAATAGTATATAATAAAAATTTCTTAAAAAAATTGAAATCTCTCGAGTGTCAGGACCGTCATTACAGCCTCCACGTATACGTGGTAAAGTTTGAAACGATTCGGTACACCCGGTTCGGCGATGTCTCATAAAAGCGCTGGTGGAACTTCCACGTCACGTCTTAAAAACAGCTCTCGTAGTTTGCAAAAAATTGACAAGACCAATCAATTTCAGGGACCGTGCCGCCGACGTCTTGGATGGCCTGGGAGTATGGCTGACCGATTCTCAAGCCTACGACTGGACAGTTGCTCTGAAAGAAATCGTGAAAAAGAATGCCAAGGTGGAGCACATGAAGAAACCGATCCCAGTTGCGGATTACCTGAGCAGAGGTGGAGATTTAACTGTCCCGAACAGATCCTGTGGGAAGGACACACGTTGGTGTACCATCAGCGAGCTGGAGAACAACAAGTGCAAGTGGGTTTCACAAGCTGCGGTTCTCCACGGCATCGAGCCGAGGATTTCCTGCGTGAAGAAGAACTCCAGCTTGGGCTGCTTCCGCGAGATCCAGGAAAAGAGGGCCGAGATAATCGCAATCGACTCCAACTACGGGAGCATAGTTAGGCAGTGCGTTTACTTAAATTTCTGCGTTACTTTAGACTGTTTACCTGAATTATTTCATTATCCTAAAGCAGGGATGAGTGAAGGTGAAGTGAAGCAAGTTGAAGGGAAAAGCGCGTCGAGGAACTTGACCGACGTCGGTAAAAAGAATTCTTCTAAATACCTACGTTGCCGACGTTGGTACTTATATCGACAGCTGTGTCGAATGATATCGAGTATTGTACTAAATGGCACACTCCATCCGTCATTTTCGTACAATAATTATAAAGTAATCTAAGTAAAACCCCACAAATCTGGATTGATGGTTTATGAAGCCGTTAATTGCCTGTAGAACGGTGCCTCGCGCAATCTGTGATTCCCGTGGGAACTAAATTTTCACTCCGAGACCTGGCATTACCATCAAAAAGGGTACAGACGAAGTACATTTTATCGACGTTGATTAAGTTCCTCGGGGTCTTTCACATCACCTTAAAGATCCTCTTCGGATCTCCGAAACACTTAGAATTATGACCCTCAAATAATAGAGCTCTCTCTTCAGGGTCTTCAACCTCTCGACGGTGCTCTACATCCAGACGGAGAACGACCGCAACAGCGTAATCGTAGCAGTGGTCCGCGAAGGTCGAGAAAACGTCATCACCAGCTTCAGCGACCTGAGGAAGCGCACGGCATGTTTCCCAGAGTATGGCGGAATCGCCTGGTTGAGTTTCGTCAAGGCCGCCAGAGAGAACAAGGTGATCTCCGATTCCTGCGACTACCCTGGAATCGTTTCTGAATTCCTGTCCGGCGCATGCGCCCCAGGAGTTTCTGAGACCAACCACTGGAAGAGTGCCGAAGACTTTTCAGAAGCGTCGGAAGGAATTTCAGTCCTTTGTTCCCTCTGTCCTCCTGAGAAGAACAACAGGACATGTTCGGCCAATGATGAGAATCCTTTCTACGGCGACAGTGGCGCCCTGGAGTGTTTAGAACGAACTGGGGACATCGCCTTCGTCGAGGCGAAGAACCTGAACGGTATGAACGTTTCATCTGCCCTGGAGAAGAAAAACATATTGTTATAAAAATGCCGGGACTTCTTTCCTTTCAGAGGACATCAGAAGTGGAAACATAGAGCCAAGTAATTATCGCGTTCTCTGCAAAAATGGGAGTCTTGCGCAGTACACCGGTTTCATCGTCGATGAGCATTGCGCCTTGTCGGTGACTATTGACAGCGAGGTTTGTTAACAATTGTTTAAAAAACCTCCCTCTTCTGATCTTGGATTTAGCGAAGGCGAAAGCTCCTTATTGACCACTGCAATCAAAGTTTCTTTATAATTAACAGTCCCCTCTTTGCATATCTTTGCTTACCTCAGTTTAATCCAGATCAAACGCCCCATCTATCAGTTGACATCAAAGTTCACAGTTAATCATTTAATAAACAATTCCCCGCTTATCTAAGCTTGGACTATATTAAACAGCACGGCTGGCCAATGTCCATGATCAGAGATTCTGAAAATTAATGATATAATTAAATTTCCTTGTAATGATGTAAAAATGTATTTGGTCGAAACTCTGCCGAGTGTTCCTATACCAAAGTTGCATAAAATCGCAATCTCTTATCGCAGGTGGTCAGCAGGAAGAGCGAGTCGTCGGTCGACTTCGAAGACATGACGGAAGTCCTCTTGAAGATTGAAAAGTGGCTGGGATATCGAGCAAACTCCTTGAGGCCGATCCACGTCTACGGGCCGTTCAACGGCACAAGGGACCTCCTCTTCAAGGACTCGGCGAGCGGCCTGGAGGGTTCCTCTTCGACAGTAAAATCCGTCCTCGCGTACAAGGAGCTGTTGAGCCACGTAGACGCCTGCTCCAAGGCACCAACAGCAGCAGCGAGCGCTCTAACCTTCTCGATATTCTTACTATCTACAAGTCTCCACATTTTCGTCCACTAAGTTGATAAAATTAACCAAAAGAAAAATAGAAACGTGGCTTCATTGCGAGGCACAGAGCGGAAAGCGATTAATATCCTAGGAGCCAAAGAATTGATCCCCTCTGGTGCCACTATCATATCCAACATTTAACGTATTTAAAGCACTTTCATCGATAATACTCCATTTAGTTATCAGGGCTCGATAAGCATAAGCGAATTGCGCTGATTCCGTTAAGGTCCGCGGTTCAACTGATGCCTTACAACGATTCAGCTCCTTACTCTCGTATATTTATCCGTATCGACAATTAACATCTAAATTCCGCCTTACTTGTCGTGAGAAACATATAAAAATAATTTCACAAGATCTCGGGATTTTGAGTCTCGCACCACTTCCACGTACCATTCCTGAAGTAGCGACAAAAGACGTACATGTTCCCGAACATTTCAACTCCTAACGACGTGAACGTCCTCGCGACCGCGTGTACTTGGCGCGGGACTCAATCTAGTGCGCAAACCGGGAACCGATTTTCCCAATCAATCTAGTCGACCTAGACGTCCCTGAATTTATCTAGACATGTACACCAACACCCGCCTGCACATCTCGATGCAGTTAAGGTGAAGTGAAGCCCGTCGAGAAGTCGACATCGGTAAAGAGAACTCTTCTAGACACCTACGTTACCGACCTCCATATATCATTCTCCAATAACTTCGGTGAGAAACGATCTTATCGGTCGAATCGACCGATTTAAGAGAGGTTTCACTTCACCTTAACATTGGGAATTCCTAGTGAACTAATCTACAGTCGGAATCCAACGTCAGAGCCCGATAAGGAGCGGTTATCAGTCGGTCCTGGTCCGCCGGCCGAGCAGGAGATATCACCGGTACAATGGGCTACAAAACGTACACGACACAAGCATATTATTTCTTTCGGACAGTTTAAGTAGTACACACCTTATGCGCATATAATCCAATAAGGACGTTCGTTAACAGTACCTTAACACCTAGACCGCCGGTCTGATAACCAAAGACGCCGACCCGCCATCTTCCCTTAGATACCGTACTTATGTGGAGGGCGCCTTCATTTTACAGAGATATCGCAGGTGAAGCATCGTCACCTCGTCGCCGTTGAGCTTGATAACGCCTTCCTGGTTGTCGATCGAGAGCAGGGTGCCTACGGCTTCGCGCGCTTCCCCGAGGACCACCTTGACGCGGTCGCCTCTAGATGGCACCACCGGCTCCAGCTGTTCGCAGACCAGATTCACGACCCGATCCTCAGCTGGCAGAAATACGGCGCACATGCCTCCCTAAAACACAAATTATATATTAATTTTCATATCCATTAAGCCAAAGCCTAACCTACATTTCCTGATATAATTATTCCAGGTTCGTACAACCTCGAGGGTGAATTCTGACCCGAGCCAAAGGTGTAACGAAAGTGCCACATTATCGAATGATCCTTTCGCACCACCTTAAGGAAAGTGCCGTCGAAGGTCTCGGTGAATAGTTTCCTCGGACCAAATGCACCGAATCGTTCCAAACGTTACAACGTAAATACAGAGGGTATAAGGAAGGTCCTGACAGCCAAGAGACTTCAATTTAAACCAAAAATCTCCTTATAGATATTCCCAAGAGAGCACTTACGGAGATCCCGCGAATGACTCCCTGTTGTCCCGCCAGTGCCGGATCCGAGTGCGAATCTCGAATTCGCACCTCTATGTCAGTCGTGTGCCACTCGGAGTTCCCGATCGAGCTGGATCCTCCAACATTAGCGTCGAGACCGGCTCCCGGGGTCTGGGGATTGTACGGGCTCCCTGCGACTCCTAAAAAGGCGAAATGTAAAAATTCGTCCGTGCGGCAAGCTCACCCTGGCATGCAATCGCCTCCTTTCCTCCCTCGTTCCGTGCTACACCATATCTTCATTTAACCCATTTGCATTATTAATGTATATATACGCTCAGTATTCCTGGCCACTATCACTCAGCCTGAAATTTGATGATAAGGGCCCTCTTTTTCATACTTCCTTATGATGCAAATGGGTTCATCTATTTTCCTGGCCACTATCATCGGAGCGTATATATACGCCAATATTCCTGGCCACTATCATCGGAGCGTATATATACGCTCAGTATTCCTGGCCACTATCATCGGAGCGTATATATACGCTCAGTATTCCTGGCCACTATCACTCAGCCTGAAATTTAGTGATAAGGGCCCTCATACTTCCTTATGATGCAAATGGGTTAATCCTAGGCTCACCTGGAGTCATGGGACTGTACCCCATCGGAGAGGGAGTGGCGAAAGCCGCGTGGGGGCTGGTCGTGTACCCGGTCCCCGAGGGAGACGGCGTGGCCACGTATCCTGCAGGACTTGGACTCGCGGTCGCGCTAGCAGCAGGACTAGGACTCGGCTGATAAGGACTGTAACTCTGCTCCGACCCGTACATGGTGCCCGGAGTTTGCGGGGTAAACGGTCCACCGGTGGCCGGAAACCCTGGGACGTATCCTGGAGAGCCCCCCTCCTCCATGGTGTAGCCGTCGAAGTCGTTGGTCCTTGCAGGAGTGTTGGTAACGGTAGGGTCCCAGGCTCCGGACTGGCCAGGAGTCCGCGAGCCGTCGTGCGAAGGCGTCATCGAGCCGTAATGAGGAGTACGAGAACCATCTACATAGGGTTGATAAATAAGAATATATCATTACATTAAAAAATCCAAATAAAAACATCTTAACTATTTAAACAAACTCCTGGTGGGTTTCGCTTCACCTTATTAAACATCACTTGTAATATAGAAAATACATACGCAAATGCCCTCTCAATTTACGCGGTACTTGTTTTACATGATTTAATTATAACACAATCTACGCGGTTATTTATTTAGATTATTTTTTTTTTGTCAAGATACTTGAAATATAGATCCACGTGGAACGGATACTCCGCGTAAATTGAGGTACGGGTGTGTAATGATAGGTACACCATGATGTAACGAGCTGCAACGAGCTGGAGCACTTACTCTCGTACATGGGCGTTTGCGAGCCATGCATCGGAGTTTTCGAGCCATCTCTCGCGTACATGGGCGTCTGGTTTCCAGCAGTGTACGCCGGAGTTCTGCTGTAACTCCCAAAACCCCCGTCCTTGGTGGGGACTCCGACATTCGCGATATGCGACCTGTCCACGGAGATGGTCTGGCAAGTGGAGTGCAACTCCACCCTGGCAGTCGTCTCCGTGGCGTCCTTCACTATGCCTACGTTTCCTTTGTAGGGGCCTCCGGTGATCTTTATCGTGGTGCCTATCAGTTCCCTATCGCGTCTCGCACCTCCACCTCTGCCTCGACCTCGACCTCCGCCTCCACCTCGTCCGATTCCACCTCTGGAAAAATAAACCTCTCTTAGCATGGCTTGCTTCACCTTATACTTACGTACTTACTATTTCCTAACTATGAATTTATAATCGTAAATATTAAATAATTTGAAGGAACCACCGACCCGCTGGGGTGCATGGGCGAGGCGATCCTCGGGGACATGATCCCGACCATCGGCGACATGGAGCCCAAGGTCCCGGTCTTGATGCCGCCGGCGAGTTGCAGATGCCTGGTCTTGCAGACGAATATACCGCCATTGTCGACATACATTCTAGAATGTAAGAAGGCGAAGCTCCTGTAGAGGTGCTTGATCTCGCCGCCCCTGCCGGCGTGTGGCCCGTCGACGACTTTGACGATGTCCTTCTTCTGAATGGGGTTTTGCTGGCAGTCCAAGGCTACGGCGTTCCGATTTTCTCGGCGTTTCGTCAAGCCCTGGGGACGAGCCTCGACCACCTTCCCGTGCATCGACAATACGTGGAAATTCTCACGCTCTAGGCGCACAATTACGCCCACGGTTTGGGCGTCGAGCTGCACGAGGTCGCCCCACTGGAATTGACCTAGACTGTCGACGCCGGTCGCCATGTCGGAGCAGAGCTGCAAGTCTCTCGGGAGGACCTCTAACTCGTGCATTGATAAGTCGGAGAACAAAACCACTCGGTTCTGCTCTACTCTCACTATCAGTCCGGTATCACCCTCGTATCTACCGGCTACCACCTGGAGATAGTCGGCACAATTAAGCACAGCTGTTCTTATCATGACGTAGGAAATTTAACTTAATTTAAAAAATTATGGTGATATGGAGTCTACGATACTCTGGGTTTACGTATTTATTAATTACCTTGACATGGTCTCCCATAGTGAAATACTTCCTGAGTTCGTTTGCCTGGAACTCCAGGGCTTCCTTTAGCTCCTCATGCTTCGGCATGACCATGATCATGTTCCCATCGATGGAGATGATTTTCCCCTGGAGGTTCATCAATTCACCCTCGCACACCTCCACGTTGTCCCCGTTGCTGAAGGAATGTGTCACTGCCTGGTCTTCTTTCCCAATAGCAGCCCCAGTCGAAGGGGTCCCACTTAATTCTATGTCGATGCCTTCGGGTGCTTCTTCGAATCTCTCCAATTCAGATAACGTAGGCTTCACGCCTTCCGCGATTATCGCGCTGGTCGTGAAATTCTTGTAAAGAAATCTGCAAATTGTAGAGAAAGATCCCTTAGGTTAGCTGGACTCTTATTAGACGTTAGAATGAATGATAAAAAAAAATGTGACAAACCCCTTTCGACTGTATCTATTCCCCTCGAAGATGAGGAAGTCACCGTCGCTGGTTACTTCTCCACCGATGGCTCGAATGGCCTCCGGGTCGAAGGGTTTTGCAGGTGGTCTTCTCTTTTTCTTTCGCTTCAGTGCCTCCGATTCACTTTGGGCTGTTCTCAGAGCTCCTCGAGGCCTTGTATAGTCGATTCGTGGGAGCAACTTCAAGTGAACTTGATTTTGCGCCAAGTCAACGTAATCTACTTGGGCTATGTCATCTTTATAAATTCCCCTTTTGAGCCTGACCCACTGCTTCGCTTTCAGACCAGTTTGCTCCTTTACGACCCTTAAAACATCAGTCATTTCTTTTATGGGCACCATTTGCTGTTTCCAGATGCCCATTCTCAAGTTTCCTACATTTTCTATCATAGCTTTTACATGCGGCTGTTTATAAGCCTCTATGTAAATGTAACCCTTTACTCCCTCTGGAACTACGACGGATTTTATCTGCAGTGGTTCGGCTAAAACATGCAAAGTTTAAATTACACTTACACGATAAAGACAATTATTCAGTTACGACTATTCTTAATATGAAGTAGTTATCGTTACAGACTGATTCATACAAAGTGAGAGATTAGTTACCAGAAAATTGGTAAGTGATAAATTTTCTCATAAGCAGAAGGACGGTGGCCTTTTCCTCTCCGATACGACATTTTACCATCCAAAGATTTGGGTCTTTTACTCCTGGTAGTAAAGTCTGCTGTGTTATCTCATCGCTCATTTCTTCTCCACCATCGCCAAAATGGCGAGCAGCCACCGACTCATCGGCATATTTCTTTCTGAGATACTCTTCGATCTCATCTTCCTTCTGCGAACTGGTCAAATAAATTAAAGAGTGATATTAATTTTGCACCTAATTAATCTTGAATCTTTTGGAGCATTTGTAAGGAAAATTTATTTACACTTACTCCCACAGATTAGTACCACGCCTTCTTCCTTCAATCTCTCGAGCAGTTGGTCCAAGTTCGTCCACTTCGTTCCCAACAATCCCGATCTCTTGTGCTCCTTCTTCCCACTCCTCGTCATCTTCTACTTCGTCATCGACTTCAGCTTCGTCAATAATAAACCCTCCGAACCTGTCCTTCTTCTTCTTCTTGCGCGGTCTGTCGTCATCTTCTTCCTCTTCCTCGTCATACTCACTGCTGCCATCCAAATCTTCACCTGTTACGTTAAAGAAATATTTCCTTTTTTAAGTAAATACGTTCATAAAATGACATTTTATGAATCAACGCAGAAAGTACAGTTAACCATCGTTAAACGATTTGAGATCACTGATAGAGCATTTAAATAAAAATAGCCTGTTTAAAATAATAATTGAAATTTTTGTCACCCTCGGGTTCTTCTTCGGGCTGAACCTCCTCTTCTTCGCCCTCTTCAGCTTCAAATCCTTTGCCATCCTCCGACCTAAAATTAATTTTCACAGATAAAATGACTATTAATTGAAATCTCAGAAAATTACGCCGTTCATTTTTTATTTGTATTAAAGTATCGTGACAAGTGAGGTCTTACAGACTGTTGTTAATGCATTTAAATCAAATACCATAGTTGACTACCGAAGAGGAATTTTGAGAGTATCCTAATATACACATTAAATATCTCTAAACCAAGTAACAGATGCTACGAATCGGTGCGCTAAACATCCAATTCAGGAGTCATTGAATCGGACATAGACGAGTGTATCGAGACCAAGAAATCCATCAACGATCACGCTTTGATCATGTTTTATAGCAAGCAACGGACCATTTAGATTCATACTATATCTGAAAGGTACATAAATTACGGTCCAGATTGGTATTTACCCTGATGGGGACCGTGACCTCGAACGAGACCTCGACCGCGACCTCGACCTGGAAGGAGATCGGGATCTCGACCTGGAGTGACTTCTGCTCGGAGAAACCGTACGAGACCTGGGGCCACTTCCTACGTCGCTTCCGAGCACCGATTTCCCCGATCGATTTTCCTCAGGTTCGCTATCGCTGCCACCACGATGCTCGCTCTCGTTCTCCGAAAAATTGCTCGCCTCGGAGTCCGACATGGTCGTGGAAACTTCCTCGGGGCTTTTAAACACCAGGACACTCAGGAAATACCACTCACTGCGAAATGGAGTCGAATAAAACTTGGGAAATCGGCAAACGTTTGCTACATACCGAACCTTTTCGTTACTTTTCGTCAACACATCTCACAGCCACCAAATGCAGGCAATGAATTCAGGTTTCTTTAGAGCGCCACTTCGTGTTCAGAATCGGAGATGAGTTGGGAGATTGTTCACGGGTAGGTCGCGCGATCGCTCCTGTGCTGCCCCCGGCGGAGGATGCGGACGGCTAACGCACCTGCCACCTCTTACCCCTCAATGGCGGCGGAACACATTTCTGGTGAGGGCCAGGCAATCGCAATGGCAGACCCAGGGTTTGAAGCTTTTGTGAGGGGTCCATGACTTTTTCAGCCGGTTTTCGAGTTGCCCAGCCCCCGGTGAATTTTTCTCGCACCTGCGACAACGGTAGCTCGCCGTTTCTTCATCGTTATTTAATAAACTCCGTACAGGAATCCGAAAAATTTCTTAAGCAACTCACCGGGTGATGCCGAGATGGCGCTCGTGTCGCGCGAAAATTCAAATTCACTACGGATCATGGCAACCCTCGCTTTATTTATGTTAGTGTTGTTCTCGTTTTTCTCTGTTTTTCTCTGGTTCTCCCTCACAACGGGTCTTCGGTCTTTAGACGATCTGCGATCGAAAATGATTGCAGACGTCTAATCGTTGTGTTTCTTGTGACAAGTAAACGTTGAATCTCGTTTTGTACTTTTATCCCTTAATTCTACCAACTGCTAATATGTCTTATGAAGGTGTAGCTTACGCAGTCCTGCTCGGCGTTGGGCTAGTGACGGCTCTGTGGTATTTCTTTATACCACCTAATGAACACAGTTGTGATCCACAAGACGCGCAGTATACGGGGGCTCACGGACAGCCGTATTCTAAACGTGAAAAGCGAAGAAGGTACACGTAATATCTTTCTTTCAGTTTGAATGCGCATATGTGAATGTTTTTCAGCCAACAACGCCACCAGAAAATAACTCCAATGTCGGGCTACATTCTTCGAAGAAATAATGCTTTCGTAACCATTTCAAAAATGGTTATCGAATTGTAATTGCCATTTGATAACCTCCAAAGGTACTCGCAGCGTTACTTCTTACCGTCACCAATATTTCCAACGTGTACTGGCCAGGTAGCAATAACTAATTATTGAATAGCAATTTCATAAAACATGTTTAGCTCATATTGCATCACTGTTTGAACAGCGCTGCGATATTTACTTACCCAATGCTATGGTAAAAGCATTGTTTCAATGGAATTGCTAAAAAATTTATTGTGTTCAATGTGCTCGTCGCACATCGTACCAATGTTTTTAATGTGTCTTGGTCAGGTAGCGATAACTGAATTTATTGAACGTCTGTTTCATAAAACATATTTGGCTACATTCTTATCACTATCTGAATAGTGTGCAATATTTATTTATTTGAATGCTATGTTTAAAATATTTAATGCGTTTATTTAAAACGAGAATATGTATTGTATTTAATGTGTCCATCGCATTGTTTACTAGCCATTATCTAGAGAGTTAAGACTTGTATAATGTGTAAGATCGTTTTATTTCTGGGACTGAAAACATATTTCAGACATAGAAATGTTTGCTTCGTATGAATATGTATATTTATAGGATAGTAGGAATATTGAGCTCGCGCCAAATACAGAATATATAGAACATGTTGAAAGTAAATATCACGTCTTTATTTTATCTACCATGTATGTTTCATTTTGTATCTGTAACGAAGGCAGGAAACTGTAAAGTACGATAGGTTAGAAATAGCGACGTTAAATCGATAACTGTAATATAATTGTATGAAGGTCCATCATTAATGACACGCTTGCAATTCTAACAGTTTTCTCATGGCTTCTTGTCTACTTTATAAGTTTGCATTGAAAATTAATAGAACGAATCAATAATAATGAAAGAATACAAATTAAAAGGATCGATGTTACTCCTTTCTTTTTAAAAAGTTTTTAGTCGGATTGTTTGACTAATATTCTTACATTCTTTCAAACAGACAGAGTTCTGCAAACAGTTCTTTGGTGGAATGTACAATATGCCTTGAAAGCATCAGTTTCGATCCTATGGAGGCACAATGTGGACACAGATTTCATCGAAAGTGCATTAATAACTGGCGGTCACTGGGCCCTTCAGTAAGTTCCATCTTTAAATAATTTAACATCATTAAAAGTACTTCGAAACTGCCATTAAGACATGCTGAATAAATTTCTAAAAAAAATAAAGGATAATATCGCAAATATGCTTATGAAATGTTGAATTAAAATTATGTCAAACTAATGTCTATTTGTTTATTATGTGTATCGATCAAACACATGTTCTTCTCTGTACTATGTATAAGGTATATAGCAAAACATCTATCAACTTTGGTACCGTTACTTGTTGCAGGGCTCCTGTTCGACGTGTCCAGTGTGTCGCATGAACTTTTAAACCCCAGTTAATTTTCCTTATGGAAATATCACTGACGAGGAGGAAGTGTTCTGTGCGGTTTATTTTATGTTCATGCATAAGTGTGAAAACTAAGTCGATAAGCTGAAATTCTAATCTGAGTTTTTACAAACGTCTTTCATTTATGTCAGACGTTCAAGATTGAAGTCGTTTCGATTGACCGATAGCTTTAAGCATACTGAGATTACAAAGTCTACCATATTTTACTATGACTATTTTTTAAGTTCAGCAGTTAGTAATTCGATTTCTCAGCACCAAAAAGTAGTTTTCTATGCATAAATTCTTTTCGAAGGATGCGGAATAACACGACTGTAAATCATGAAAAGTATTCTTCATCCTTTGAGATTTTGTAAAATAGCTCTTTCGGTTTGTTTCTCAAAAACGAAAAATGTGCATTGTGATATGGAAATCAAAAATATATTGTAAATACATGCACATAGTAGGGTGGCAACTAAAATAATATTTGTTATCAAATGAAAATATCAACTTAGGTACAGCGGTTAGATTAAACTATTCGAAAGTTGTAATACTATTGTGTTCAACGAATTAACAATGATATTGAAGTGAGCTCGGCAATAACTTCTGATGTTTTTTACTATATTAAAAATCGTCTAACTGGATAAATAGAATTTTGATTGAAACAAAAGCCACGTACTGTGTTTTGTTAAGCCAGGCCCACAGGTAACAAATTTTAATTATAAACACCCAAGCAGAGCTGTAAAAAAAACCGCAAGCAACAGCCTAAACTTCACGTTGTAGAAAAACTTCGGTGTGGACCACTATTTAGACCATGACAGCTGCACGATCAATTGTCAACATTCGGTTGACAGGTCTCTCTTGCTCCATCTGCGAAGAACGAGTCTGGTTAGTCTGGATAGTCGCTAAATCGTAAGTGTAATCAGCATGCCTTCGAAGTGTGGAACATCTCGACTCGGAATCACGCGCGAGACATGCTCGAATGGTTTGGCATCTGTTGTTGCAGTTCCTTCATCTCCTGTATGTGTTCGGTGATTGCCACAGTTTGGGTGAGTCGCTTTTTCGTCTGGCCCAGAACCTCTGTCAAGAAATTTGGTAGCTTAAGGGGATATGAAAATGGTCTTTAAAGGATCTTATAAAATTTCTTTCTGAAATGGATGTACTGAATCGTTGTTTCACGTAATTGCAGTGTTTGTCGCCCCGGCGGACATATTTCCGCGATGGAGTTAAGCCTGACAGAAACTCCAAAATGGAGAGACCCAACAGCAGATCAGACATCGAAGGAAAGAAAGACTCGATGTGCAGAAACAAGGGTGGCGGAGCTGAGCCCCAACTTTGCTCGATGGATGACAGCTGTACATCATGCACTTGCATCGGTCAAAATTTCATTCGAGAGCCTTTTTCACATGTCCCTTATGCTTCTAATCCTGGGTACGGAATGCCAGGATCCTGTCGATTACCTTGTCAGTTGACGACCAACAGTCCCTGCTGCGTCATGTCTGGCAGGCCAATTTCTCATCCCAATTGCCGACCAATGAATTCAGACATATCGTGTCGTCCTGTTCCTACAGAGAACGATATTAAGAAGACCATCGATGAGTATAACACTGTGTTTAAACAATACAATGACCTCATGACGAAGGAAGCTATACGACTGGAGACCAGAAGACTGGAGAAATCAGCTTCAAAGACGTCTTCGTTTGGACTGTCTGTATCGGCAGCAACAGGCATCGATGATTATGAAATTAACACACCTGGAAATGGAGAAAAAATGCCTGTCAAGAAAATGAAGGGTAGTAAACGTCACAGGGAGAAACAGAATTTACCCAGTAAGTCGAATGGCAAACACAAAGATCGGTCTAAGAAGAGGAGTAAGGAACGCGTTAAAAACAGAAGTAGCAGAAATCGTTGCACCTGTAAACCGAAGAGTACAACAAGCTCTAAGTGCTGTTGCGAGAGGAAGGACCCTGACAAAGTGAAAAAAAGTAACTCATTGAATGTGCAAATGAATGCCGTCGAGGAACGAAACGAGAGAGAGGAACCGGATCTTTGTTGCGAGTCGATTTACTCTAATTTTGTAAATAACAAGAAGTATCCTTCTCGACAGTCCTCGTGGCTGCAGAAGGCAGTTCAGAAGGTACGGGAACACGTGCGGAAGGATGAGAACGATCGTTGCTGCATCTGTAATAGTGTCGGTAATGATAAATTTAATCACAGGATGTCAAGGAAAAGAAGTTAAGATCTAACATTAAAATTGTTCTACTTTACAGGTGCTGCTCGATCAGTTACCATATTATAACTGATGCTTACGATGCGGTGTTTTATTCAGTTTAAAGTCAAATAACGGTTTGACTTTATTGAAAATAGAAGATAAAACCACCTCAAGGTGTGCAGCATATATAATCCATGTGTCGAACACCTAACTTTCCATTAAAAACGCGTTTCCCAACATTTCACATTCTGTCGAAAAACGTGTAACAGGTGCCTCCTTGTAAAACCGTCCACTGTTATAATATACAATTCACTTTTCCTTAATTAGTCCATCGAACTTCATACATATTTTTAATGGACAAACGAAAGCGGTATTTAGTCCATTCAAAAGAATGTTAGGTTATAAACCGGAGCATAAAATTGCTGGAATCCTTGAAAGATCATTGTTTGATTATTGGTTATGCTCCAGAGTCTTCATCGCGCAGACTATTAATGTCAACTTATTTTCCTATCTATTGCGACTAGAGTATTGAAGATTTTTTCATTGCCAATTTTTTTACGGCTTGTCTTATATCCATATTTATATCTAGAGCTATTTTGCATAGTTTGAGGATAAGTTCATTAGTTCCATCCTGTGTGTTTGATCAGTGGAAGAATAGCTGATTTGAATCTTGCGTGGGATGTTCACAGATTCAAATTTGGCGGGGGCTGGCGCATAACGAAACGTACATAGTACGCCGAAATTCTGGTAGATGGCCTCACCGCCGCGCAACTTTTCCAACGCGGCCATAATCTGCGCGCGCACGCGACTGCTTGTCCGATCTTGTATTCGCACCGATTCGCACGCATTCGTCGCGAGAGACCGGAGGACCTTCGTCGTGTCGGCGTCGCGGCGTCGCGGACTTTACACCTAAACGCGCGGCTACCCCGGTCGCGCCACGCGACCGCTCGTCCCGGCTGTTCCTCGCCGGCCGCTCACCCAGGATCGACGTAACGGTGCGTCCCCTTGTCATCGCGCGCCTCTCGGAACACTATCACCTACATCAGGTCGGCCATTGTCTTGTCTGCTGCTCTTACTAGCCGACCCTGACTGGGCCTCGCCTCTTCTTCAGCTCCAACCTCGCGCCCGAGGCCGCGGCGTCGCTTTCGGCGCCGGCTCGTTCAGAATAGTCGTTAAGAACTTAGTTTAAGCATTTTTAAATATGACGCATGCCTGCGAGCTGCCTGGGATGACGTTTCCACCCATGCCGCTCCTCGAGGACGCGCCTCCGATATTAACCTTCACGCCGTTTAATGCCAGCGGGTTTAAATGCACCTGTGGTAATAAAATTTGACGATAAGGGTATCGCTGTGACTTTGTTCATGTAATTAATGCTTTGGCTATTAAAAATATGCCAACGAGAGTGCGATTCCTATCGAGGATATATCTGCTTTTAAATTTCGTGCCTACTTTCGATTATTGCATTGTTTATTGCCAGTGGGCTTAAATTCTCCAGGTAACAAAATGTTAAGATAAGGATATCGTGAATTTGTTTACATAATTAATATTTTCTTAATTAAACACATGGCTAAGAAAATTGGTACTCGGTTCTGACTCGGTGAGGAGGCATGAAGGTTTAACCGTATTTTATATTTCGAACGAATCTAATATTTTGGATGCATGTCTCAAAGCGAGCTTGGTAGAAACTTGAATGTAACGCTACGATGATAGTTTACTTCGGGTAAGATGTATAAAGATATCGGAGCAAGAGGGACGGAGCAATATGAAACGGCTTTGTAACGATTGATTTAGAACTGTGCAAGGAACGTCTTGAAGGAGATCACCGAGAGAGGAACATTATATTTTAGACTTCTTTGTGCCTTCTTAAGTTGGAAATGTAGTTAGGAAGCTCTACACCTAAAAGGCACTTTTAATGTTAAAAGTGAGGTTATTAGTATAGACCTTAGAGAGATTAGACTTTAATTGTGTCTGTAATTATCGTAAAAGTCTCAGTGAAAAATCTGAGATAATAAGGATTTATCTGATATTCTATGTCGCATATATTTAAATTACAATAATGTGTTTTTGATGTAAAAAGAAAAGAGCAATTGCAAACAACATTTTTGTAATTATGGGCAGAACTTCTTTGCTTTGCACAGAGCTTCGCACTGCATATTTAGGCATTCCTTGGAAGAAATGCTTCCGTTCTCACATTAATTAGACCGTTTGCTAATGATTTCCCGATAATCCGGACGCAATCTCTAGATTAGCGGTTTTTGGAAAAAGGGAGCCTTTAATTAGAAAGGAATGAGGAATGCATTCCGAAACTTTCCAGCTAATTATGCGCGGCATTTGGATGATTCACCTGCTTCCAATTAGTCCCATTAGACTTAACAACCTTTTGGAGAGATTACTCTTTTCACTTTTCCAAGAGCGCAGAGGGGATCTCGATTAACAAATTATTAAATTAAATTTCTTGACTTCGATATGATTGAACTATTTTATTTAATCAATTTATTGTTAAATTTCAGAATGCTTGGCGACGTGGTTGGTCCTCTGAGAAGAGCAGAAGCGCAAGGGAGTCTTCGGCAGTGCTCATCGTCAAGGAAGGGGTAGACCATGGCTGAGGGCAGGCTGGGAGGCCTCGAAGGCTGCTGAATCGAGACGTGCTCGTCGTCGCTAGTATCATTCGAAGCAAGTTTCCTTGGAGGGTCAATGCTAAGAGAGATCGGCAGGCTTCCAGGAAACCGAAGGAGCAGCCACGCGGCGCGGACGCGACTCTTCGGGCAAGATTCGCGCTCGCGCTCGCCTTCGGACCTGCTAGGGATCAGGACTACTGGACGAGTCCTGAGAAATAAGACTACGGCTGCGAGGAATGCAGAAACCAGGACAGTGGACTGCGTCTGGGAGACAACTTCGGAGAAACTATGTGGAGCGGAATGTACTTCATCGAAGACTTTGAATTAAAGAGTTCATCGTGCTCTCGTGTCTGCATCGGCTGAATGAGTCCTGAGATTTAGGAAGGGAAAGCTTATCAGGACCGTGGGAATCGAAGCACAGGGTTATACCTGGAAGACTACTTTGGGGAGACCGTAGAGTGTAACCCACTGCATCGAAGAATTTGAGTAAAGAGATCGTAATTGAAAGTTCATTGCTGAGTCTGTGGATATTCGCCGTGAGCTGGAAGAAGGGGACAGAGGACTTGACGAGCAGTTTTCGAGGATTTCAGAAGAAAAGCACGGTTTTCATCGGGGCACACAGGCAGATGGGAACCGCTCTTCTTAGACCGAACTGGATGGATGAGCGCAAAAGACGACAGCGACGACGTGACATTCGTGACCGATCGGTAGGGCGATCTTACCGACTGGCTAGGCTCTTCGATCCGATTCGGCTAAGGAAATCCTATCAAACTGGAATTGATGGAGTTGGAGAATATCGTCGCGAACACTGTTTACCTCAAAGCGAGAGAAGGTTCGTAGAGTTGTAGCTACTTCGGTGTTTCTCGTGTAACTGTGTTCTAAGTGGCTTCGATTCTCTTCTCAAGGTGGTGGTGACAGCAACAAGGGGAAAAGCAAAAAATGGCGGAAGATACTGCAGTTTCCACACATATCGCAGTGCATTGGCCTAAAAGATAAGTTAGGTAAGTGATATGGACGTGTCATGCTCTACTTTGTTTGTAGAAGTTTCCTTCGGAGAAAGAGAAATTAAGGGGACGTGAGGACTTGGTAAATCGGGGCTTAAGAAAATTGAGTGTTTGTAATTTGCTGTAATTCCATTCGATTATATTCTGTCGATGGCCATTTTTCTTTTTCTTTTTCTGGGAAGTGATTTTGTTTCGCTCGGTGTATAAGTTACATTCTAAATGATGGTTCTTGTCCGTAGACATCAAGTACAGCTATGTGGTGGACCAGCAGCCAATCGGTAGGCTTCTCTTCAGACAATTCTGTCAGGACAAGAAGCTCGCTTACCATCGGTACAACCTCTTCCTAGACGCCATAGAGAAGTATGAAATCGAGATGGACGAGAACAGGACGGAACTAGCTAAGGAACTTTTCGAGATGTACTTGAAGAACAACGGGTCCGAGGTGGTCGACATTCTGAACGACTCGCTGATCGCCCAGTGCGAGGAACGACTCGGTTCGGGTGGCAAGGAGCTCTTCGTCGAGATCGCCCAAACGGTGAAAGCTTTCTTGGCGGGAGAGCCTTTCTCGGCTTTCCTCAACAGCTTGTACTTTTACAGGTGCGACTTCCCCTTCTAAAGTGTTCCATATACAATTTAAAGTGGAGTGAAACCCAAGTGTTGAAAGTGTCAGGATAATCCTTAAGTGCTCATGTGTCGATGTTGATTTAATACCCTTAAAACAAAGTATCTTATTAGACTCGAGTGATGTGAGGGAGGTTTCACTCCACCTTAAGAATCCTTCGACCGAGTCCCATAGTTCCATCGATTCCTCAAGGACTCGACAAGTACCTTGAAAACTGGGACGCAAAGATGAAGAAGCTCCACCTAGTTTCTAAAAAGGAATCCTTGTGCTGATTTCAGGTACCTCCAGTGGAAATGGCTGGAAGCACAGCCAGTGACCTACAAGACCTTCCGGATGTACCGCGTCCTGGGGAAGGGAGGCTTCGGCGAGGTCTGCGCCTGCCAGGTCCGAGCGACCGGGAAGATGTACGCCTGCAAGAAGCTGGAGAAGAAGCGCATCAAGAAGCGAAAGGGCGAGGCGATGGTCCTGATCGAGAAGAACATCCTCCAGAAGATCAACTCTAAGTTCGTCGTCTCCCTGGCGTACGCCTACGAGACCAAGGACGCCCTCTGCCTGGTGCTGACCATCATGAACGGCGGCGACCTCAAGTTCCACATTTACAACATGGGTGGTGAGCCGGGATTCGACGTGAACAGGGCCAGGTTCTACGCGGCGGAGGTGATCTGCGGTTTGGAGCATCTGCACCTGCGCGGGATCGTCTACAGGGACTGCAAGCCGGAGAACATCTTGCTGGACGACCACGGCCACGTCAGGATCTCCGACCTCGGCCTCGCCGTGGAGATCTCCGAGGGTGACACCGTGCGAGGTCGGGTCGGCACCGTCGGCTACATGGCCCCGGAGGTCATAGACAATGAGAAGTACACCTTTTCGCCGGACTGGTTCGGATTGGGGTGTCTTCTTTACGAGATGATCGAGGGACAGGCTCCCTTCAGGGCCAGGAAGGAGAAGGTCAAGCGCGAGGAGGTCGACAGGCGCGTCAAGGAGGACCAGGAGATGTACTCGCACAAGTTCACCGAGGACGCCAAGAACCTCTGCCAGCAGCTCCTGAAGAAGAGCCCGAAGAACAGGCTCGGATGCAAGTGCGGCAGGCACGGGGCCAAGGAGGTCAAGCTGCACGCTTTCTTCCACTCGCTCAACTGGAAGAGACTCGAGGCCGGCATGTGGGAACCTCCCTTCATTCCGGATGTGAGTCGGGATGCTGAGGAGATTTTATTCTCATTTTTTAATTTTTTTTTTAATGTACAATTGTGTCTTTGTGGGCTTTTTTTATTGCGTATGGGGTATCGACTATGCGCTCGAGTATGACGCTAATAGAATACATGGATGCGCGACATGGCGAAAATTGGACATGCTCCATGCGACATGGCGAAATTTGGACATGCTCCATTCGACATGGCGAAAATTGGACATGCTCTATGCGACATTACGAAAATTGGTCATGCTCGGTGCGACATGGCGAAAATTTGACATGCTCCATGCAACATGGCGAAAATTGGACATGCCGATATTTGAGCGCGACAAAAATTGGACATGCTCCACGCGACATGGCGAAAATTGGACATGCCGATATTTGAGTGCGACAAAAATTGGACGTGCGAGTTCGCAACATGAAAGTGCGGATACTCGGATGAAATGAAAATTGAACATGCGAATTTAAATATGCTTTTATATATTTGCAGCCTCATGCGGTGTACGCGAAGGACGTCCTGGACATCGAGCAGTTCTCCACGGTTAAGGGTGTTAACTTGGACGCTACGGACGACACGTTTTATAGCAAATTCAATACCGGCAGCGTATCCATTCCATGGCAAAACGAGGTAGAGCTGGAGTGACCCATTTTCTAATTAATCCTCCCGTCTAGAGTCAATGTACAACGCTCGTTTCAATTCCAGATGATAGAGACTGAGTGTTTTAAGGAGCTGAACGTCTTCGGCCCGAACAACACACCCACTCCGGATCTGATGATCAACAATCCCCCGGCGAACAACGAGGACAGAGGGTGCTTCCCCTTCAGGAGAAAGGTAGTCAAGGAACCAGCCATTTTTATTTTCAACAAGGGTTGGGCTGACTTAAGTCGCTTGATTCAATCGGTCGACGAAGACCGACCGCTTTGTCTGAAATAGTAGGTCTGAAATTTGGAGAACTTCCGTTTCAATCCGTTTTGTCGCTTTCAGAAGAAGCAGAGCGCACGGACCAGAGAGATCCCGATCTCCGAGTGCCACCTGATGGAACTTACGCAAAGCCAAAGCCAAAGCTCGGAACTGCCGGCCAGCTGATCCAGGACCGAGTCCAGAAGGGAGGATACACCCTCGTCGGCGACGTCCTCGTCGCGGCGTCATCGGGGAGGCCGCTCCTCGCGATGCTGCTTCCGCTTCAGGAGGACCTCCTCCTCCAAGACCTTTAATTTAGACAGAGTTTAAGCCCCGGAGAAGCAACCGCTGCGCCATCTCGCGGGAGAACCGCTCGACTTGGAGATCACGACTCCGGGCGAAGTAGACGCTTCGGACAATGTCTAATCGAGTCTGAAATTGAACCTCTAGGCGAGGTCGATACCGCTTCCGCTTCGGGGGACCTTCTTCTCCAAGACCTTTAATTTAGACTGAGTTTAAGCGGCCTCGAACCATGAAGAAGCGGTCGCTTTAGACGATATCTAACCATGTCTCACCAAATCGAACCTCGAGGTGAGGTCGAGGTTGCCCCTTGCGACCCTGCATTCGCTTAAGAACCTCCTCCTTTAAGGCGATGTGAAAGTGGCCTCGAAGAGGTTTTCTTTATACAACTTTTCTCCCAACTCGGTTCACCGAATAGTTTGAAACTTTACAACGTGAATGAAGAGACTACTAGGAAGGTCCTGAAACGCATGAAATTTCAATTCTTTTCAAATTTCTTTATAGGTATTTTAAAAATAGTTTAGAAAAAATGAAATTTCGGGAGTTTCAGGACCTACCTTAGGGTCTCCGTATTCACGTTTTAAAGTATGAAACGATTTGAGACATCTAGTTCATAGAAAAGTTTTATGAACGATTGAGCTTTCGGATGCCACTTTCACACCCCCTTAAGACCTTACATTTAAAGAAACGTCTAAGCGGCCTCGTGTCCTCAAGAAGCGGACATTTTAGACATCTAATCAACTATAAAGTCGAATCTCGCTCGTCGGCTCTGAATTTAATTTCGAGTAACTTTTCTTCTTTTTTTTTTTTCTCTCTATTTTTGCACAAACGAGCCCCCGATGAGAACGACGTAGGCGATGCATTTCGGGATCCTGGTCCTCCTGCTCTCCTGCGGGACTTGTCAATTCGTAACACCGTGTAACTTTTCGTTAGGACGTCCTCCGTAAGCGCTACAATTTTAATTTAGGATCTAGGAAGTCGGAATGCTGACGCGCGCGCCATGTTGAAACGTTGGTAACGCGGCGTCGTATCGCGTCTCTTTACACGATCAAGGGATGTGTCTTTTGTTGCTCAAAAGTCGCGCTAAAGCCTCCCCTCTGATAAGGGGGTGGATCTACGATGTAAGAATTCCCCGGGATAATGTTTATTCGCACAATGGACACGATAAGAATGGTATTTTCTGCGGCCGGCGTTAAGGCGGTACGAAAGTAACGTATGTCGTTTAGGGAAATTTTTCCTTTTTTGGGCCTTTCGAATAGGGTGAAATTTTTATCACGGAAATGTGGAGTCTGTGGAAATGATTACAGGCAAATGTTTGTGTGCAAACTGTGTCTGTAAGCGAATTAAAAATCTAAAACTTCGTGGCCGACAGGACCTTCCTCCGAGCCTCCACGCTCAAGCGGCAGAATGTCGAACTAATCGGTACTTGAAGTAAAATTTCGGAAATTGTTCCCTAAGATTGTCACTTTCGTATCGCCTTAAGGTGAAGCACGTTAGATCGGCTGGAAAGAATTCTGATAACTGAAATAACGCTATCGTATGGTCTCGGGTGGAGTTTTTTCTGGCATGTCTAATGTGCCGTATCTTTTAATAATGTCGTAGACTGCGAGTCGCGTACTCCGAAATTAGGTATGATTTACGGAAGAGCGGATGTCTCGTTTTAGTGTCGGACTCTGCGCGGGCAAGCTGTACATATGATTTTTTACATTTTTTTACGTAATAAAATCACCGACTCTCGACCGCGTTATTACTCTTCCTCCGAGCAGTTTACCTTAATTTAGTACGTGCAACTAGTTTCTTTTCATTACCTTAATCTAAGTCGGTTAATCAGAGCATTAAAGAGGAATGAGACAATGTTGATGGGATGAAAAGAATCCGTGCAATCTAAGGGGATGTCAAGCTTTCGAAAATCTTGTCTTAAGGTGATATGAAAGCGTCATTCTATATATATATGTATATATAAAACCTAAATGTTTATTTAATTTTTCTCCAAACTGGGTGCACCGAATCATTCGAATCATTAACACGTGATTATGAAGGCCCTTTTCGAGGAATGAAATTTTGCAAGTTTGGAGGCGAGTTTTATAAATGTTTTTACGTTTCATTAATGTAGAATTACTAACGCCTTAAGTCGAGTCAGTCTATTAATTTGTTAATTAAATGTTGGAATCGGTTAGAGCGGATTAATCGTTACTTGTGCAGCCAGATTTAAGGGAATTCGAGAAACGAGCGTACAATTTAACGAAAGACCTTTTATATACATTGAATACTTTTTATATATACATATATGTATTGAAGCATTAATTTCTTTCTACGCGTCCTCGAAATCGCAGAATTCGTTCTCAATGCCTCATTTTTACTGTTAAAATGCGTCTTTGACATTCTTTGACGGTAAAAGTGGGGCCTTAAAATTACCCTAAAAGTTGTACATACATTACATACGTGTAAGTACTTCTTAACGCATTTAAAGAGAGACTGGAAAATCCCCTCTCGATTACGTTTCGCTCAGGGATTTATTTTCGGTGACTCCGGTAAATTCTCCACATTAATCATTAATGTGATTAATTTTTTGCAACGACTTTTTCTAATGGAATCATTTTTTACGATACCATTTAACGAGCATTCGTCTCTATTCGGAGTTAATCTGCGAGCGACCTCCTTTTGCGGGGACAATTTTCTTTGTTTCTTTTTAACAAATCACAGGCACAAGTGTACAGACAAATTGTACATATTCCGTTTCATTAATTTTTTTATTTTGTTCCTCCGACGCTGTACATATTTAATATACTTTGGCGGCTTTTTTTAGGAATCGTTCAAGATTGCGAAGGATTTTTCGGCGGATAGGAAAGGACTCTTCAGGGACAGTCGTCCCTCCTCTTGTACTTCTTTTTCTCTTTTTGTACTTTCCTCTTTTTATAAGTGCGGGAGATGCGATGGAATTGGTTTGCGAGAACAATTGATATTGATTTTTTGAGCGGACTCATTCGAGGGCGGATGTGGTTTTGTCATTTTGGTAAAGGCGATAATTAGGCCTGTAATTATGAAAGTGGTCTCGGTACTCCTTTTATTATTTAAAAATTAAATCCACATCAGTGCGATTGTAGTGCATGACACTCGAAGTTTATCCCCAAAATTCGACTCGACTTCTTTTTTTTTTTTTGGTGGTTTTTTTACTTTGACCGCTTTTATAATTTATGGTACATTTCTCTGCGTTTGCGTGAATCTCGCGCACGCGTGTAACAAGCGTATAGTACAAATTAATTTGTTAAATTAGCGAGGTAACTTTGTTAGGCGGCAGTTTCGCATTGTCGTGCACTGAGAAAAAGGTGTCATCGAATCTAAGAAATATTGTGTCAATTTAAAGGATAATTATTTCACTCAAACTGGAGTAAATTCTATGCGACCTTAATTTAATTTATCCTGGGCAAATAAATTATTCCTTGAAGTAAAAAATATACGAAGGAAGGTTTCTTTGGTTCGATGACATTTTCTTTTTTTTTTTCTTTCTTTTTTTTTCCTTTCTCGGTGTGCAACGAGGACGCAATGTCGGGAAAGTAATTTCCGTTAGTTGAGCGAAAGCATTCTTTCTTGTTCGATATTTTTCGGATCCATGTACCTTGGATATGAAAGGGAAAGGTATTAGGCTGATGGATAAGTATTGCCGCTTTTAGCGCGTAACGTAACGTGTGAAAATATGCCATTACTTATGCATCGACCTTCTATATTGCATTAGCTGCGCGATAGCGTTCCTCCCTTTTTGACGTTCGATATTTCTAGACTTATCGACGATTGTATAAGGTAGAAAAGGATTGTATTTAAAAGCTGCACATGCAAACGTGACTGCAATTACATGGACGTACTTCTCCATTAGTTTTGCGATAACGTTAGTGTCATTTAAACGTTCTATAGGAGAGTATTTTCCAATGATTTCGGGAATGCGTTTGCAACCTTTTTGAAATTCCACTTTTTTTTTTCGCGAAACTGAAAAGAAAAAGAAAGAAAACCCAAATACGGAAATTGAATTGCAAGCGCAAATAAAATTAATTACGATAAGAAAAGTATTTGCCTCTTTTCGAGACATTACATTGTTGTACGTCCATCGAATTCCGTGAAATAAAAGAAAAGTAAGGAAACAAGAAAATGCAATCGCAAGCGCAATTAGACAAGTATCGTCCATTAATTTGGCGATTTTTCGGAAGCGTTTACCTTATTTAGAAGCGCTCGACATTTTTGGAATTTCCTAAGGGAGAAGAAGATAAAAGAGAGAAAGGCAGGAGAGCATATTTTAGAAAAAGGTAGACGCTAAAGAAGAAAGGAAGAAAAATAAAAGATGACAAAAAAAGAGCCGCAAGAAACCCGGACTAAAGTCTCGATCCGCGTCCGATAGATCAGAGATATCCATGGAGATATATTTAAATATTTTGACTTTTATAAGAGGTACATCCTTTTGTACATTAAAGACTAGGGATATTAGTTAGGGGATTTTGCCAAGAGACTCGGCTGTATAGGTAGGCGACTTCGACTCTAAATACTCCTGTATTGAAATTAAACTCGACAATGTGCGATAAAAGACCGGACGTGTCAATTTTCCTCGAGCGCTTATCAACAATCTGTTTAGAGATACCTAATTCGCACATTTGTAAATTTTGTATCATGTCCACTATTTTTTTTTTCTCTATTATTCTATATATATATTTTTTTTAATTACGTTCAATGCGAGCGACCCTTCTCTTTTTAGAATTTAAGTGCAATCTTCGCCGACCTGAGCTCTGATTGATAAGCGAGTCTCGGCATTCGCTGATAAGAAATTTAATTAATTAAATTACGTTTGATTTTTTTATCTGTAATCGATGGTTATTACCAGAGAGGGGATCCCCTCGTGGTGTAAAAAATCGAGATTTTAACGAAGCTCAAGAATTATGTATTAAATATGGCGATAAGGTCCCTATCGATATATATATGTTAAATCTGAATTCAATCATAATTACTGTTAAAAGAAAAAGAAATGAGCAAATCAACGAAAAATCATGATCCCTCGGGAATTCATTAAATCCGAAATCCACGAGCGTGCGCTCGTTTTTTAAAAATCATGTCCCATAATTAATTAATATATATATTTAATTTCTAATGATAACAACCCCCAGAGAGGGGGGAATCCCCTCGTCGCATAAAAATCTCGATTGTAACGAGATACAAAGCTGAAGAATCGTTCACTGATTATGGCGATAAGGTCCTTATCACTGCTTTAATATTCTCGGATAAAATTAAATATATTCGGTATTTTGTTATTGATTAATTATTTAATTTGTGCGCCCATCATGTAATCGATGTCATTCCTCTTGTTATCACGTAAAGGAATTTTGACTGTAACGAGACGTGAACAATACTCAAGAATTATACACCGATTATGGCGATAAGGTCCCTATTGTTGTTTGATTTAATTTTTAACGCTAATTAGGTGTTAATAGCGGAAAGAAGGGAATCCCCTCGTCTCGGATTAAAAAAAAAAACAGAATCCCGGGGGGTCCAATCTGGAATGTAAAAATAGAGTTGTACGATCGAAGAAAGAGCAAAAGAGAAACGCAAGACAAAGAGAAATCACGAATCAGGCGTAGGGTTAAAAAAAAAAAGAAAGAAACTCTTTTTTTAGCGCGTTACATTGAGCGAAAGATTTATTACCTTATTACTTGTTAAATTGTTCATGTGAATTTTTTCTTGCCGATGAAATGTATTTTGTAAGAATCAGGATTAGAGCCCAAACAATTGTGAGGTAATAATTAGGTGGAAATGAATTAACAAAAATTTTTGGGAATATTAGGGTGACATGATAGGGTCATGTATATGTATATTAAAAAATCAAGATATTTGTAAAATAATCATTTTCTTTCTTTCTAATGCATTTATTGCACAGGAAATGTGACGATAACGAGTTGGACAGAGAATTAAGTGTTTTGTCTTAGTTTCATTTGATCTTGTAGTGTTGATAGTTGATAATAAAATGGTTTTCTTGGTTTTTCTTCTGGAAAGAGATTCTTTCGCTCAATGTACTTGTAGGTTCATTTACTTCCGTAGATCGAGCCAAATCATTTCTAGGTAGCTAGGTTTAAGTAATGTGACTGCTATGAATATTGTTACGAGTATATTGATAGGTAAATGTTTATGTATAAATATATAGAACCGTATAATGCAGCGTTTCCCTCTCTCCGAGTGGCTGGGAAAAAGGAAATTCCCAGAGCAAAAGGACGGGAATTCGAAAGTGCGAAAACGAGTCCTGCGGGATTTAATACCGTCGAGGGTTTGCGTATTAAATTACAATTGCCGCAAATCGACCGGGTGTGAAACGTAATGCATGCGGTGTGCGGATTTGTCTCCGGTTTCGAGTTTCCACGATTGATCTTTTTTTTTCTTTCTTTTTTTCAAATTTTCAAATACACTTTTCATTCAATTAGGATTATTTTATCCCATTAATTAATTTCGATAAATCTTAAGTACTTTTCACTGATCGATTCGGCTTAAATTTCGAATCGTCTCTGCCGGGGAAGAATTAATACCGCGTTTTCCGAATTTATTTTCAGATACACTTTTCTTTCAATTAGGATCATTTTATCCCATTAATTTATCCCGATAAATCTGAAGTACTTTTCACTGATCGATTCGGCCTAAATTTTCAAGCGGTACAATTAGTTGGAATAATTTTCACGGCTTTCTTTTGCAGAGACTCAACGCTGCGAAAATTGTTTATCGGTCCAGTCTCTCGAAATCTTGTTTAATTTGTAATATTTTCTGCGCTCGCGGTGGAATTGTCTTAGGTGCAGTTTTCCTCCATTAAGAGAAGAGAACATGTCGAGTCAATTGTTACGCGTCAAGAGTGGCGATAATTGCCGTTTAAACTCTCGGCAATTCGCAGAAAATAAATGCGTTAAATGTCTCTAAGACAAGGTCTTAGGTCAATCGTTGCGAGGACGAGGCGGGGGATAGCGCACGAGCGCGATTACTATTGCTGGTACTATTATTGCAGTTTAGTGTGTGCATGGTCGAGAATGATTCGAAGAGAGCTCAGTTGATCGGGAAAGGTTTCGCGGTGCGGAATCGCGTACCCTGAAGAGTAGCCGATTCTAGATTAGATTTTCTATGTCAAAGTGGAAGATTTACAGATCACTCGTACTCTCGTGAGTAGGAAAATTGATAATTGATCGTTCATCATTTTGGGAGTGGGACATTTTAAGGTATATTTTTTTCTAATTTTCTGAGTAGCAGAATTAGAAATTGATCGTTCATAATTTTGGGAGTGGGAAATTTTAAGGTATATTTTTTTCTAATTTTCTGAATAGCAGAATTAGAAATTGATTGTTCATCATTTGGAGAATTGATCGTTCATAATTTTTGGAGTGGGAAATTTTAAGGTATATTTTTTTTCTAATTTTGTGAGCAGCAGAATTAGAAAGTGATTGTTCATAATTTGGAAAATTGATCGTTCATCATTTTCGGAGCAAGAAAATTTAAAGTATATTTTTTTTTTTCTAATTTTGTGAGTAGCAGAATTAGAAATTGATTGTTCATAATTTGGAAAATTGATCGTTCATCATTTTCGGAGTAGGAAAATTGAAAGTATATTTTTTCTAATATTGTGAATAGCGGAATTAGAAATTGATTGTTCATAATTTTGAGAGTAGAAATACTAGAAATTGGTCGTTCATCATTTTGGAGTAGGAAAATTAGAAACCGACCGTTCATCATTTAGGAAATGACAAGTTAAAAAATGTATCGTTTACAACTCTGCAAGTAGAAAATTAAAAAAGATATTCTTCATACATTGTCGAGTGGGAAACATAGAAATTGATTCTTCCCAATTCTGTGAGGAGGAAAATTGAGAAAAAATATTTCTCAGTGAGTAGCTAAACTTTAAATCGAATCTTAGTTTTCTGAGTGGTAGGACGAACATCCTCAGAGGTGCCAGGAGTTCCAGTTCCTCGTCTCCGAATGTTTTCTCCTCGGTGACCCATCGCCGAGAAATTCCACGCATTCGAAGGAAGGTTCTTCAGGTTCTTCAACAGGAATGCGTGGTCCTCTTCTAGTCGCGACAGTGGTCGTGGCGACGGTGTTCGCCACTCGAAAAATCCATGATAACGTTCCTCGATCCTCCAGGAAGTCCAAAAGACAGGAAGGTGCGGTGAGACTCGTCGACGGGAGGGCCGACCACGAAGGTGAATCTGAAATGAAAAAGAATGACCTATAAAATCATTTATTACATACATATATATAAAATAAATGAAATTTATTATACATAGATAATAATAATAATAATTAATTTCGTCTATACCATATATGAAATGAAGCGTCTCACGTGTCATTTCCGTAGAATTGTTATAAAGAGGTAGAAGAAAAAATGCCATTCTAATGAACTAACGGCGCCATCTGTGAGGTTTACCTGCAACTAAATTTTCACTTTAATAAGTGTTGCCATTCACATACCGAGGAGATTAATTGAGATGAGGAACTAATTAAATTTCGTAAAAACGAATCGGTATACGCATTGTTTATCGACTAGGATGCGTGGAGCATAAAAAATCGGATTAAATAACTTGTTTTACTTTTCATCCAGGAAACGTGGAGATCCTCCACGAGGGCAAGTGGGGCTGTGTCTGCGACGACGAGTGGGATGATCCTGAAGCGAACGTAGTTTGTGGACAACTGGGATTCCCTGCTGCGGAAGAGGCCACCGTTGACGGTCGCTTCGGCAGGGCGAGAAGTAAAACAATTTAGTTAATATTAAGGTGATATGAATGTGTGATATATATATACCAAAAAGGTGAAAATATATATAAAACTTATCTCTCCAAAAATTGGGTGCACCGAATTATCTGAAACTTTAACACGTGATTATGGAGGCGACGAGGAAGAACGCGCTGCTCGTGAAACTTCAATTTTCGAAAAAAAAAAAATATCTTTTTTGGTTCTTGTGCGAGTAGAACATTTTTTTCGAAAATAGAAATTTCACGGGCAACGGGTTCTTTTTTATAGCCTCCATTATCAAGGGTTAAAGGCTCAGATAATTCCGTGCACCCAGTTTTTGGAGAGAAATGTTTTATATATATCTTTTTTTTTTTTTGAATTTTTGCTGTGTATATATATCATGTTTTTAGATCCCCTTAAATTTTAATACAGAGATTTTAATGGCTCACATTTTTAGGGCGATTTTGGATGGACAATGTGCAGTGTCAAGGCAATGAATCGGAACTTAGGTGTTGTCGCTTCGACGGCTGGGGAGCGAATGACTGCCGCAGCGGAGAAGCCGCTGGTGTCGTATGCGCTCTGCATCGGAATCCGGAAAATCGGCTTGAAGAAATGATTGATAACGAAGGTCGATCCTTGAAGAAGGTGAAGATTGGCACGGCTCGGAGGAAGAAAGTGCCGATAAGATTGGCAGGGGGTCGGGCTTCCACTGAGGGAAGGGTGGAGATGAAGCTCGGGAAAGGAGGTGACGCTAATCTCTCAACCAGTCATTAATTAATCGCTTTTAATTGCCGATTCTTAAACAAGAATCTCCTCCGGTATTCTCGATCCCTGTCATTCGTAAATTGCTGTGGGGATTTTTGTTATACACACACGGGTACGTTAATGCTCCATTACTTTCTAAGAGTACCTCTCGTCTACGCAAGATGGCGGCACCACGGCTCCTAAACTCTTGTATTTATCGTCTTATCTACTGGTTTATTAAATTCCCACGTCTACTTCGACTATCATTCACCTGTTAGTCTCTTGGGACGTGTAGGGAATTTCTCTGCAGTGTCAGAAAATATATGATGGATGTAGATTTGCGAGGAAGAGCGAGTGCAGGTCCGCCATTTTGGTTCCCACAGCTCGGGCGCAAACTTTAATTACATTCTGGTGCTACTAATTGTTATTTAATTCTGGCTTGGGTACTGATTAAGTATGGGAGATGTTTAGCGATCTTAATGACGGTTTTATTATGTGTGTCAGAAAATATATGACGCGTGTAGATTTGCGAGGAAGAGCGAGTGCAGGTCCGCCATTTTGGTTCCCACAGCTCGGGCGCAAACTTTAATTACATTCTGGTGCTACTAATTGTTATTTAATTCTGGCTTGGGTACTGGTTAAGTATGGGAGATGTTTAGCGGCCTTAATGACGGTTTTATTGTGTTATTTGTATAATTGTTTGGACAAAAGGACGAGAAATATCCTGCTTTCAGACTGGGGCGTCGTTTGTGGAGACGGATGGTCGCTTTTAGAAGCTGCCGTTGTTTGCCGACAATTGGGACTAGGCTTTGCTTCGGATGCTGTCAGGACCAGTCATTTTGGGGGACAAAAGATCCCTCTTATCATCAGCGGAGTGAGATGCGAAGGTGGCGAAACCAACATCTCCGAATGTCTACGGGATGCTCAATTTACTTGTCCCGGTACGTGAAACTTAAATCCGGAAATCTTTAAGGCGATATCAAAGCGTCATCCGATGAATCAATTGAGTTATAAGGAAGGTCCCGACACCCATGAAATTTCATTTTTCATAAAATTGATAGAAAATGGTAGTAAAGAAATTCTGGAAAAATTGAAATTAAATGGTTCCCAAGATCTTCCTTTTGGCCTTCAGGTTCACATTGTAAAGTTTGATACGATTCGACACACAGGAGAAAAGTTTCATAAATGAGACTTCTGACTTATGTTAAGTTAATGAAAATATTAATGGTAATTTCTCTCCCAGGAGGTGGGGAAAACATCGCCGGGGTTATCTGCGTTTCCAGGATGGCGGATCTTGCAATCGACCATCTCGAGCTTACCAGAACTGCGTATCTTGAAGATAGACAACTCTATTGGCTTCAGTGTGCCATGGAGGAAAATTGCGTAGCCTCGAGGGCTTATGAAATTCAGAAATCCTCGGCGGATTGGCATATGGAGACCAGAAGACTTTTGCGGTTCACCGCCAGAATCATCAACGTGGGAACGGCCGATTTTCGACCATTCGTGCCGAAACATTTGTGGCAGTGGCACGCATGTCACATGTAAGCTCAATACAACATTTACATTACTCCGATTAATTTACATTTTGCGAAATTTACATATTTACATACTATGGCGACGTTCGCTATTTCCGACGCCATTAACGGGAATAGAATGAAAATCCCTGCAGACCGCAATACGTACTGGAATTTTTCTCGGATTTTCAACCCTCACTTTATTGACATTATTTTTATAATTTTTCCTTTAAATAATTTGCAAGAGGTTGGAAAATACGGGATAAAAGTCGATATACAATATCTTAAGGTATGTCATGTTTAAGCATTTAATGCTCAATTACTGGTTGCGTCTCGAACAAGATCATGAACCTCGACCGAGCACAGCGTTTCTTTACTTCAAGGATCTCTTTATTTTTTTTTTTTTCAACGACAAATGCTGCCGTTAAATAATTTCCTATGATTTTTTAGAATACACTGATTTCACCGAGATGTTGTATGTTAATCCAATTAATTTACATTTTGCAGGCACTATCACTCGATGGAGGTGTTCGCCACCTTTGATATCATGAACTCGAACGGAACAAAAGTGGCCGAGGGTCACAAAGCTTCTTTTTGTTTAGAAGACAACCAATGCATGCCGGGAGTTCAACCAAGGTACAATAGACTGTTTAAACAATTTAAACAATTTTTATCAGCACTGTGAGTTTATCCTAACTCCACTTTAACGCGAGATGCAATTTTTCAGGTACAAATGTGCGAATTATGGCGATCAGGGGATCTCGGTAAATTGCAGCGACATATACAAACACAATATCGATTGTCAATGGGTGGATATTACGGAATTAGACCCAGGCCAATATACATTTAAAGTGAGAGAATGGAATTTGTTAATAAAAAAATCTTTTGTATTTATGGCAAGGGATTGAAATGTGCTTGAATTTTTTATTTTTTTAATTTCAGGTCGCTGTGAATCCTGAATTCAAAGTCGGCGAAATGTCCTTCGACAACAATGCTGCTCTTTGTCGATTGTTGTACACGGAAACCTTTGCTACTGTACACAGTTGCACGACCCAGCGACCGTGAATGCAAATTTAAAAAAATAAATTGAAATTATCTAGCAGTGAATTTCCAATCTGTAACTATTCTTATTTCAGGTCGCTGGAAAACCTTGAATTTGTTATATATGCATTGACCCAATTTGTGATAACTTTCCTTATTTTCAGTCAATTACATATTTGAAAGAATTCTTCGCAAACGTTTTTGTTAATGTTGGTTAATTATATTCCAGTGAATTATTGAGATTAACAGTGAAATAAAAAATAAATGAAGATTCACTTCGATCGCGTCCAGGGTCTGGGCATTTATTTTATCTCGAAAAGTGTAGGCTTTAGTCGTAATTAATTGATATTGACAATGACGAAAGTCAAGCGTGGTGTGTTAAACGATGAAAGTGGAGCATTATGCAATTCCGAAGGGCGACCCTGAGGTGTCTTGCAACGATCGGGGCTGAACAATTGCTCTGTCGTTTTAAATCGCTGCCCTTAGTGCAATTCGATGTGGCTAAATGGTTAATTCACTTAAAGGAGTTAAGATATGGCTTCGGGACAAGAGCGACTCGAGCGCCTTATACGCGTCGAAGCGTCGCGACGGCTGCATCGCCTGTTGTAAAAAATTCCAGAAAATTCATAAAAAGTTTCTCTGATTTTTCCACATCTCCCCAAACTCTCGGAAATTAAGAAAACGGGTAAAAAGAGATAAAACATGTGCTTTTTTAAGTTAGAAAATTTAAATACCAAGGGAAGACGCAACTCTTGGTCGAGAGTTTCATGAAGTGGATTTTTTTGAAAATCTGTAAGGCTGCATCGCCTGTTGTAAAAAATTCCAGAAAATTCCTAAAAGGTTTCTCTGATTTTTCCACATCTCCTCAAATCCTCGGAAATTAATAAAAGGAGATAAAACATGTGCTTCTTTAAGTTAGAACATTTAAATACCAAGGGAAGACGCAACTCTTGGTCGAGAGTTTCATGAAGTGGATTTTTTGGAAAATCTGTAAGACTGCATCGCCTGTTGTAAAAAATTCCAGAAAATTCCTAAAAGGTTTCTCTGATTTTTCCACATCTCCCCAAATCCTCGGAAATTAATAAAAAAAGATAAAACATGTGCTTCTTTAAGTTAGAAAATTTAAATACCAAGGGAAGACGCAACTCTTGGTCGAGAGTTTCATGAAGTGGATTTTTCTTAAAATCTGTAAAAGACAATCGATGATCGATCTGGATTGATTGATGAAATTCTGGATTATACGGAAGGTCAAGAGATGTTAATCGGGAATTGAAGGGATGGAGCTGTTTATTTATTTATGCGAGAAAAAGGACCGACTCCGGTTTTATTATTTACGGGATTTGGTTAGAAATCCTCTGCAGGATTTTTTTATTCTCCGAATTTGGAAGTGATCTCGGCTCGAGTGTCAAATGGAATTTGGTTAACTTTTTGAGAAATATGTTGGCGAATGTCGGGATTCTTGTGGGAGCGATTTGTAGCGCTTATGCGTTAAATGAAATTGCTTGTAATAAAAATCATACTCTTATGGACTCGCCTGGAGATGCTGTTATCAGTGGTGAGTAAATTGTTAAGGAATATCGTAATTTTACAACACTGCTTTCATTCCGACTTGGTACATCAATTTCACGATATTTTGTATACATACTTATAAACATTACTTTATACATTACAGAAGTGTATTATTTTTCCCAGGGCAATTTCACATAACTACATTCATTGTTATAAATAAATCATTTCTAAGACATCCAATTTATGATTTTACTATAATCTTACTTACTAAAGGTGTATGGATTTCATAAACATTTTTAACCGTGTGTCCTAAGAACACAATTATACTTAAAAATGCACACTTAGATAAGGAATTGATATCTCAGTATTATTCTCTCTACAGTGTTTATCGACACAAATTACGGACCTTTTTGCAACTTATCATCGCCAAATGGTTTTCAAGGAGCGTCGACAGCTTTATTTGTCATTCAGGCTTTAAACAAGTACGATTACGTTCCTGGTCTAGTTCTGGGTGAGTAATTATTCATTAATACACATGTACTTTTATTATTCAGACACTAACTTCATATTATTATAATTTAAATGAATCTAACGCGAAGTGTTTGATAAATTCAGTTTTTTTTATTTATCACTTAAGCCACTTTCTTAATTACGGGTACACTTGGAGACATCAATGCCCTCCCATCCTGCACAGGCGATGCCGTATCTGCAGAGGAGGCATTCATGTCCGCCATTGTGCATGTAGATAAACAATTTATATATTTTCAACATGGACATTAAAATCTCTCTTTGTTTCTTCTAATGTCGATTTCAGGAATAAAAGTCTACGATACATGTCATGACGACACATCGGTCTACAAACAAGCTTTACTGGCCGCAGTGGATTTGGATTGCGTTACGCATTACGATTTAGGGATCCTTGTCCCAGAGAGCTACAAATCGATCCTGGAACCGCTAAATAATTTCGACATCCTATCGATCTCCACCTACAAGGAGTACAATCTCTCGAGACCGCTGATAGACGCCATGGTCGACTTTATCAGCACGAAATTCGAAACCGTCGATCTGGTCCTCTCCTCTTCCGAGTTCCTCCTGGAGCATTTTTTAGAGTCCAGTAAAAATGAAGGAGTCTGCGTAAAGGCACACTCCAATATCGCAGATTTGGACAATAAGACGAACCCCATTATCGTGGCTATGGGGAATAGGGAAAGAATCCATGTATGGTTCCAGGATGCTGAGAAGATCGAGGGGTCCAGAGGCACGTGGGTCGTCCTGCCCCTCGAGGACGCCTATGTCGATGGTAAACAATCTAAAACAATATACTGTCATGTTAAACAGTTTCTTTTTTCGACAATGATGATATCTTTCAGAAAAGATATATATTATGTACTTCATAATTTCATACTTTAAACACGTGACAAGAAATTTTGGTACGTATATGTGCCCATAATTATGAAAGTGGTCTAAGTCAAAATTGAAAAAAAAATGAGTTTATCAGTTATTTCATGCCACATTATTTCAAACGAAATTAATTCAATGTAATTTCGAAACAAAAAATATATGACTTAGACCACTTTCATAATTATGGGCACATATGTCACACTTTCATATCACTTTAACGATAAATGCCTTTTTTTCAGATCTCCTCCCAGTCGGGTCGTACATCCTGAAGAAGGACAAGTTCGGCTTCGACTTGCTCCGAGAATTCCGTTCGGTGGACGACTTCTTGCAAACAGCTGGCCAATTTGCCATGCATTCGCCTTATCTCCTCAGTATCGGACGAGCCATTGTGGAGATAGCACAGACTCTTCAGGAACTCCAGAAACGAATTTGTCCTCATGGGCAGGCTTGTGCTTTACCGAGGTTCAGCTCAAAGCTGAAGAGCGAGCTGGGAATCCCCGAAGTCTACGAGGCCCTCCATATCCTACCAAACGCCCACGCGGTGTGTTTAATTTCTTAATATTTAAACCACGTTCTATTAAAAAGAAATTAAACTTCGTGGGTGTCGGGACCTTCCTCGGACCCTCCGCATTGACATTGTAAAATTTCAAACGATTCGGTGCACCCAGTCCAGAGAAAAGTATCATAAAGAAGGCCTCCTTGAGGCGACTTTCCTACCGCCTTAAGGGGATGTGAAAGGTAAATCGTAAATGGATCTTTTCTCCGAACTGGGTGTACTAAATCGTTTCAAACTTTACAACGTGAACGTGGAGGCTCTAAGGAAGGTCCCGATACTAAAGAAATTTCATAATTTATAAAAAAAATATTGAAAATACCTTGACGTAAAAAATAATTAGTGGCGCATGAATATTGTTTCAAGTGGAGGTTTCTCGAGAAATTCTCGGGTTATGGTAATTTCGATATGGCACAGTAATTACGCTTTAACCAAGAAATTATGAACTGTAGGTACACTACTCGGTGGGCAGGAAAATGGGCCCGGAGACGTTCTCCAGGGTGGAGGGTTACCGGATAGAGCCGACGAAACTTCGAGTCTCCTCCGAAGGGAACAGTTCGAAAATGCCGAATCTCTGCCTGAAGAAGTTGGCGAAGAGTTGCCGGAAGTGCCGGAATTTCGAGAGGATCCTGAGCCCCAGGAGCGGCGAGGGGAGGGTCCTGAAACAGAGGGGCACCCTGAAGCCTGGAAGCTGGATACCGATTTATCTCACCATGGTCGTCTGCGGGACCTTCGCCTGCGTGGTCATCCTGGCGTTTGTTCTCTTCAGGTTCTTCCTGGACGAAGTGCTGGATGGGAATCCTAGTCTGACGGTGATCCTGATCCTCGCCACGATGTTCACCCTGACGAGCGTGATACCATTCTGCATGGAGGACGAAACCGTGGGTCAGGTACACCTAGGGAAATAATTCATTTCCCTGGCAAGAAATTGTATTTCATCAATCGCAATCACTTGGAAATAAGATGGCGATACTATTGTCCGTATTTTCATTTTTTTGTTTTTTTTTTGTTTTTTTTGCGGCGAGAATACATAACAATTATTTCATCAGGACAACGCAAGTTCTAGTTCTATGACATTTTTTAATTCTCTCTAACTAAATGTCTAAAAAGTCGGGAAAAAATTATTAACTCTACTAAGCGTAGTTTAATTGTGCCAAACGTGAACTCGCGATACACCCTCTTAACAGAAATAAATAACAAAAAATAAATTCTTTGGTCTATGTATAGGAGAACCTCAACTCCAGGAAGATCTTCGTCTCGACCTTGTCCTTCGGCTTCGTCTTCTCCGTGATGCTGTCCAGGGCGCTTTTCCTCGCATTTTCTACAGGAGGAGTATTCACAGCTCACATTAATGGGTATCTCCAGGGTCTCATGGTGTTCTTCGTGGCCGGTGTCCAAATTTCCATCTCCACGACGTACTTCGCGATGAAGGAGGTCGGGTCTCAGGACGTCGCCAGGAGTCTCACCTTCATCGCTCTTCTGGGTAACTGAAGAAACTTGGTAGTCGGTAATAGTTTAGGAACATTCAAGGGAATGAAAGTTTAGTTTGCCATGAAAATCCCAGATGGCGCAGGGTGTCTCTGCAGTGAATTAGGGCCTCGGAAAGCATGACTCCAGATTATTTCTTCAGTTTTCCTTCGGTTTCTTTGTAATAATTACACGGAAACGACATATCGAGTACGCCATTTAGTAAAATACTTAATATAATCCGACACAGCTCTCAATATAAATACCAACGTCGGCAACGTAGGTATTTACAAGGATCCAGTTTACCGACGTCGATGAGACTTCACGTCTTTCGCTTCGCCTTAAGATAATGAAAATCATTATCCACCGTTTCCAGGGTACGACATATTCCTCCTAGTGATGCTCTTCGTCGTCTGCTGCTTCATCACCCAGATCCAGAGGAACTATCGAGAAGGAAAGTGCTTCTTTGCCACGGTCATCGGTTTGTCCATTGTCTGGGCAATTTGGATAACATGTTTCGTCCTGGTGGAACCGGAAGCCAGGGACACGGTGGTTTCTGTCGGCACCATCGCGACAGGATACATCGTCATCATCGGCGTCCTGATCCCCAGGACTTATTACATGGTCAGGCATCTGGCTAGGGAAAAGGACATCTCCCAAAGGATGAAGACCGTCGACGTGGGGCTCGATCCTAGAATTAATACCTTGGCCAGACAGGTCAGGATCGTGCAAAGTCCTCACACAAAGTCCTGGAACCATCGTCCTGGACCTGGAGCACCCGCTTTCTTCTAGCCGCTCGAAATTTTCCACGAGTCCTTGTAAATACATTGTAAACACCTTGTAAACACCCGTTGACGTACCTGTAGACCAGTGGATCTTAAGGAGAAAGTGTTACCAATATTTTCACCTTTCATATGTACAGAATCACCTTAAGGTGATATGAAAGAGTCATTCCGTATACATCCAACAGTCTAAATATCATTTCACATTTTTCTCCAAACTGGGTGCACCGGATAATTAGAAACATTATAAAGTAATTATAGAGATCCTAATACAGGTATTGGTGACTCTGGAAATTTCATTTTTCTAAAGGAAAATCCCTTTTCGGCTCGTTGTGGGGAATGACCATTTTCTTCCACCTTAAGGCCCACTTATGTAGACATTACCAACTTCGGACGATTCTTTACGGTTAAGGGATGATTCTTGCGATTTATAATTTATTTATTAACAGTCGCGACAGGCACTTTACGACCACATCCACACTGCTGGGGGGATAGGCAGTACATCCACTCTTCATCCATCAAGGTGCCTTGATTTCTATGGAACTTCAAGTCCCAATCCAAGGATCCCAAGTTCTGGAAGAAGTCCTCGAATTAATCGACAAGGAGCCAGGGGATGCAAGAATTACGGATTCGACACCGAGATGCGAGAAATCGAGACCTCTTATCTGAATTCGCGAGCCCTTCAGGATACAGAGGTATAAGGTACACTGGGAGACATCAATGCCGTCCCGTCCTGCACAGGCGATGTCGTATCTGTAGGGGAGGCATTCATGTCCGCCATTCTCCACCGAAGAAGCAGGAACACTTTAAGGTGGTACGAAAGGGTCATTCAATACATAAAAACGTGAAAATATCATATAATATTAATATTATATATAATGAAAATATTTATAAAACATTTTCTCCAAACTGGGGGCTCAGTGTTCACCCTGTAAAATGTAAAACGATTCCGTGCACGCAAAACTTTCATACAGACATCATTGACGCCACTTTCGTACCCCCTTAAGGAGAATATAGATTTTAGATAGTGAGGATGGATTCTTTTAGGTCCAAGGCAGGTCCAGAGTAGATATGAGGCACTCTAAGCACCTCGAAAAGCCCAGGATCGTCTTCGGGGACGAAGGGTGTATGGAAACCGATGTCTATGTGGAAGAGAGGTTGTCTCCAAACAGAAGAGGACCTAACGAACCTTATCCTTCGCGTTGTTCAAGTCCAAGGTTGAGCCAAACCGAGGAGACCATACGAGAAGAGGACGAAGAAGTGGAGATCAACAGAGTCACTCGGTTTTAGATTAAATTTCAAGCCATTAAACGTGAAGAAGGGAAGAGGTTAATCTTTCCACCGCTTCAGCTCTCCCTTAGGGCCGTACTTTTGTGAACATTCAGTCGAGAACTTATGTACTTAAGGTACAAAGGTTTTGGAAATACATCAACTAGGTGTTCAGTTTGAATACATACATATGCGCGTATATTGTCACAGTCCTGTGATTTTATTCTAGGTCCGCCTCGTTCAGATCCTAAGCTACTCCCACTGCGTTCCTTGACAAGAGCATTTACATGCGACGCCTTCAAAATACAAATATCTCCAAAATACAAGGGTTGGAACGTAAGAGTAATACAAAACTCGACTCTACATCTCTCTCTTTCTCTGATTCTCGCTACTGATTAACCGGTCGATACCTTCAGTCGATATATCTTATTGTCCGCTGAGTATTGATAGAAGCATGAAGTAGTATAAGGAGATGCAATGCCATGCCTTTGTGCACCTTAATTGCAAGATTAAAAGCATTTTAGGTGATTTACGTCGGTAGATGTTTGGTAACATAGGCTGGGAGTTCCCTCGTTTTCCGCAAGTGGCGCTCGCATCGTTAGACCAGGGAAAATCTGAGATTTTGGGGCCGCTTTCTGTGGAACCGATTGGCGTTATATCTCCTTATACTACTTCATGGTCACGCTTGTGTGCCTGTTTTTAACAAGACGGTCTCTACACGTCCTTGAAATGCAGGGGAATGGTCGACAAACGGAATGTGGTCCTTTTTAAATGCTCCGGTCGCTCCCTGACATTTATGGCAGTATGTTGAAAAATCCATCGCACGGCGTCCGCGTAATTACATTTTTCCTGTTTTTTTTTCCTTTTTGGTTTTGGTTTCTCCTTAATTAGTTGCAAGACAAGGAAAGACCGAGGCAATCCGCTATCGGATCCAATTTCAAAATCAGTCGATCGATTTCTATCTCTTTTAAAGCCTAATTAACTGTACATCGGAATGGCGGAATTTTATGCGATCGCTTTTCTAAACATTTCCTTCGCAGTTTAATCTCTCTTTCCCTGTCTCGCTGTTTGCGGAAACATTGAGTATGTACACTGAGTGTATGTATACAAGAATGATGCAAAGGAAACAAGCTAGGCTGCTCTTTTTACGGATTAATGATAATACACATCGAAAACGACGCCATGTTCGCTGACACCAAGAATGAAGATATTGCAGATTTATGAAAGTTGAAGGGAAAAATCGCAGACTTCCTCACTTTCCGGCTTTCTACTCAACTTTTTACGTGATATTTACTGTATGCCCACTATTCCAATTCGAGATCACTATTAATTAGTCATGCTTTCAAGAGAACCGTTGCCACTTTTCAAGATGGCGGCGGAAGACGCGGAAAGAAAGCGCCCATACTAGGCGATTTTAAAATACATTTTCCTTAAAAATCCCATATTGGCCGACCTTTTATATTGCGAAGGATTTCGCTATCCGATTGTTTCATTCAAATTGTATAATTATTACTGTAATATTTATAGCTGGCGTGGAATTTTTACCACATTTGCTTTGCGATATTTTCTAGAAAAAGTCTGACGGATGAGTCTAAAATAAAACATACAAAATGTGAGCAATCCTTGACTCCTTTGCATCTTGTATACAAGTACGTTGACTTCAAAACTCGGATACAATAACGCTAGGTAGTACTGTCATTGTGTTCTTCCCCTTCCTGTACATGAATAGACTTTATACATCTCTTTGTTCTTCTAGATCTCCCTCTGCAAGAAGGAATCCATCTAAAAAGTCGACGTTCTCTCTCGCCGAAGTTTCTGCGAGCCCTCAAAGACGAACGATGCGAACAGTTAGAAACTTAAATCATTTAAGACTTAATTGATTAATTACGATATAAATAACAGTGAAGTCGCTACGGGTTTACCGGTAAATTGTAAAGTCAGGCTAGAAGGAAAAAACGAGAACTGCGAAGTAGTGAAGGCTTTTGAGCATCCCACGCCGAGAAAAAGAAATTCCCCCAAGAAATATTTCTCTAAGCGGCGACAAAGAAATATCTCGTTAATTCAAAGAATTCCAGTTTGAGTCAACTAATTATTTCAATTAACAAAATACTCCCAATGAATATTTCATTCGGAGACATTCTTTTTATCAGTGCAGAGGGATCCCGTGAATTTAAGAGGATGCTGAAATTTCCCATTATTATCGACGAAAGACGATTTACGAGTCCATTAAAAAATACATGGAAGTACTATCTAAACAATATTGAAATAAAAAAAAAGGATAAAAATAAATCCAGATTCTGTTACCAACGAGACTCACTTCCATAATAAAATTGTTCAATAGCGTTTTAACGCTGTTAAATATATTAAATATACCATAATATAACGTAGAAAAGTATAAGAAAAGAAAAACGTAATAATACGGTACTTGCCAAGTGTATATAAAAACTTCGCTCAAAATTTCAGTATAAAATAAGGAAAAGTATGTAACCGATCGCAGTACTTGGCGTAGTAGTTAGTATACATTATACATATTTCTTCGGATATGATAATCGGTAATGCCTCGTTCTTTCGTAGTCCAGATGGCGCGCGGATCGACTCGCTCCTCTGGACCGACTTCAGCATCCCCTTAAGTCTAAACGAAACGAGGCTTTATCACTATTTACGACTATATTAACGAAAGATACTTGGTAGGCCATTTCAGTCGAGTCAGCGATCACTTAACGTACTTAACGTCGGAGTCTTAATACTGGGTAAAGAACGGAATACGAGCGAACTAAAACGAACGGCGTCCGATTAGGCGAGCGATTCTTCAGGGTCGAGATCTACTTAAGACCCGCCTGGTTCTTTCGATCATAACCGATCGATATGTTAAAAGTCCCAGAGATTTCCGTACAGCAAACCAGGCCTCATTTACTTCCCCCAGAATTATTGTACAAGTGGTATTTAAATGTCGAGCCTTGAAATAAAAAAAAAATATCTGCGCACGTCCGGCATGCTGTACCAAATCGAAGGAGTTTTAACAGCGTTGGATAAAGTTCCTCGATGTGTCTTAAAAATATACTCGAGACGTATGGGCCTCCATCTCTCCATGGCTGAATTTTGTCTGATGAACGCCCAAAGTCCGAGTCCAGAATATTCTTCACAAGGACCTTCTTCGTTGCTGGGTCGGTTGTTCATGGTTGTTCCTGGTTGTTCCTCGTTTTCGGCATCCTTTTTTACGGCGTGCTTGAAAGCCACCTGTTCTTCCCTCCTGATTACACCTGAACAGGCTTCGCTTTCCCGACGACCATTATCACCTTCTGCAGGAATTTCGTCGTGCTTACTGCAACAATGTTTGCGAGAGAAATGTTAACAATTGTCTGTTAAGGTGATACGAAAGTGGCGTCCAATCTCATTTATGAAAATTTCCCTTGAACCGTACAATACGAATATGGAGGCTGTAAGGAAGATCCTCACAACCATGAGATATCATTTCTTATACAAATTTTTAAAAAACAAATCTGAAGGTACATCGAAATTTCATGGGTCTCAGGACCTTCCTCATAGCCTCAATATTTACGTAGCAAAGTTTACAACAATTTAACGCACTCGATTCGAGAATAAAAATCTGCAGTCACGTGACAAAGGTGTGTTAGTGCGCGTTACCTTAGATGTATTGATAAGAGCCTTAATCGGTTAATATAATGACGTTATACATTTGTTTATCATCGTTTACGGAGTCAATTAGCGTGAGGAAGTATCTCGGTGTTGTGCGGTGCAGAACTTATAATTATGATACGTGATAACGCGATAATGATGTGATAATGCGTGTCGGTAGGGCAGATACGTGCAGGACTAGAAAACGAAGCGCCAATCATGCGTGATATCTCGATAAATTAATATAAAAATATGTATAGTGTATTTTGAACCTTCACGTTTGGCCGGACGACTACCATCACCTTCTGCAAATTTTGCGTCACGGAGCCTGTTGGAATACACGAGTTAAACAACAATTAAGCATAAACTGTAAATGTCGGTAACATAAGTAAAATCCATTCAGCATAAACGAGAGGTCATTCGGGAAGGAACTATTAAATATAATAATCGCGTACGAGAGGGCTTGTATACGGATTCCTTAAGTGTGTATATTTGTTAATTAAAAAAAAAAATATTAAAAAAATTCTAATCGATCCTCTCGACTCTGGAACATCAGATGGACTTACCGACGGAGTCTTGGAAGAATTTCGGTTTGTTCTTCCACGCGATGAAGCCAAAGTATACAGGTACAGAGGAGAAGATCATAAGGCAGCCATACCCTGTAAATAAATAGATAAGGGATTTAATACACCGTTATCAGGAGTTTAATCCGTTAATTGTTATAATATAATATAATAAATAAAATCCGTTGATTGTGCGGAATTATTTTCTTAAGTGATCGTTATTAAATAAGACCATGTATCACCTGTTTCTACCGGGCTGGCGTACATAGGTATCACCGTCACGAACAAAGTAGCGATGATATAAACAATTGGAAATGCTAAGTTCACTTTAATGGGTCTCGGGAGATTCGGCTGAGTCCATCTCAGCCACGGCAAGCAGAGTACAGAGACGCCTATACTTAGCTGGAATGAAAGAAACGGTTTAACAAAAAAGAGAGATAAATAAATTATACATAAACTATATATATACACATAGGAAAATATTTACTCTCGCTCATATATCTCGGGACAGTGTTTCTTAAGCGTACAAGGCCATTTCATTTCCAAAATGTAGGATCTTCGCAGTCCCAAAATGTACGACCGTTTTGCCACTTTTTTCTTTCTTTTTTTTTTTCTAATAACTAAGTGAAATTTTTCAATTACCCAGGTGGCGAATCCCACGTAGTTTATCAATGCGACGATATCGGACGAAGTCAGGTATAACATTGACAGCAAAGCCTGAAACGGAGATCATTGGCTTAATTAGACATTTGTCGAAGATGGAGGCGCAGTATTTGCGAAAAACGGTTTTTACCATACAAAGGACCGCAGGGGTCGGGGTCAATCGCGAAACTTGGATCATCGTCAAGATCTCCGGCATCTGACCCTCGCAAGCTCCGGCGTAAAACAATCTCGATGATGTCAATAGGATTCCATTGACAGCTCCGAAGGTCGATAGGGCCACGAAGACTGGAATAGTCCAAGCCATCACGCCAAACAGCCGATTGGCGAACGTCTGGAAACATTAGAGATCATTAAATTAAAATCTTAAATCAGACTGTTAAACTAAACAGTTGAATAATCGGTTAAATCAAACCGTTAAATTGAACAGTTAAATTATTTCATTGGATTGAACAGTTAAATTAATTCATTGGATTGAACAGTTAAATTAATTCATTGAATTGAACAGTTGAATTAATTCATTGAATTGAACAGTTAAATTAATTCATTGAATTGAACAGTTAAATTAATTCATTGAATTGAACCGTTAAATGAAACAGTTAAATGAAACGGTTAAATGAAACTGTTGAATGAAATGGGTAAAATAAACTATTCAATGAAATTCTTAAATTAAACTGTTCAATGAAATTCTTAAATTAAACCGTTCAATGAAATTCTTAAATTAAACCGTTCAATGAAATTCTTAAATTAAACAATTAAATAATATCTATTAAATTGAACTGTTTTCTTTTTTTAACGGTGTAAATTTTCTTTCTCAGAATAGGAAGTGATTTTTTCTCCGCACAGTGTAGTACGCTCAGCTGAGATATCGACGGCCAATTCATCATCCACGGCCACGAATACTTTTCTCGGCAGTTTTTACGTCGACATTGCGAGTCATTACGAGTTTTTCCACGGACAAGAACCAAGTTAAGCCGACGTATGGTCTTACAACTGCAACTGCTTCGCTGCCCAAGACCTCGACAGGACTCAGGGTCGTGTAGAAGGCGATGTTCGTGCAGACGTAGACGACCGTCACCAAGGTGCAGGATATCGCGATCGCCTTCGGCAGGTTCCTGAAACGAAATTTAGAAACGTTTTTAAAAAAAGGCAGAAATCAAAATAAAAACCGTCACAAGGTGCAGGATATCGCGATCGCCTTCGGCAGGTTCCTGAAACGAAATTTAGAAACGTTTTTAAAAAAAGGCAGAAACCAAAATGAAAACCGTCACAAGGTGCAGGATATCGCGATCGCCTTCGGCAGGTTCCTGAAACGAAATTTAGAAACGTTTTTAAAAAAAGGCAGAAACCAAAATGAAAACCGTCACAAGGTGCAGGATATCGCGATCGCCTTCGGCAGGTTTCTGAAACGAATTTTAGAAACGTTTTTAAAAGAAGGCAGAAACCAAAATGAAAACCGTCACAAGGTGCAGAATATCGCGATCGCCTTCGGCAGGTTCCTGAAACGAAATTTAGAAACGTTTTTAAAAAAGGCAGAAACCAAAATAAAAACCGTCACAAGGTGCAGGATATCGCGATCGCCTTCGGCAGGTTCCTGAAACAAAATTTAGAAACGCTTTTAAAAAAAGGAAGGAACCAAAATAAAAACCGCCTTCAAGGTGCAAGATATCGCGATCGCCTTCGACAGGTTCCTGAAACGAATTTTAGAAACGCTTAAAAAAAAAGGAAGGAACCAAAATAAAAATCGTCACAAGGTGCAGAATATCGCGATCGCCTTCGGCAGGTTCCTGAAACGAAATTTAGAAACGCCTTATCAGCCGTGCTGTCCTTTGCTAAACGTGCAAATGTCTTTTCTTCCGCGTGAATGGCTTATCAAGAATTACCGATCGTTGACAGACATCACGTGATCGTTGAAATATAATTAACTTTCCATTGACCGTCCCGGGATTGCAGTAATGCCGGCAATAATCCTTCCCATCCGAATGTCGCCGGTAAGGAGCTTAACTAGAGCATATTTTTCCGCCCTTGACTAATTCTTTATCTAAGGGATATAAGCGGCTTCTGGGAACTTAAATTAAGGTGATAGGGGAAGTTCGATGGAATAATTAAGGATGCACCTCGTTAATTACCGTACCTCACTGGGTCCTTCAGCTCTTCTATGATGAAGTTCAAGTAATTCCACCCATTGTACGCGAAGAGGCCCGAATAGAAGCTGAGAGCTATTGACGTCACTTCCGTGTTGGAATTCTCGAAGGTGAAGTGCTCCGTGTGCTCTGGAAATTTGGAGATTAGAAATTTAGAAATTTAAATTAATTACTGCCTCAATCAGGACAAGTGGCCCTTCAAGTATTATATCAAGCTTTTATAATATTTTAGTATATAATATTCTGTATATAGTATTTTTTTATACATAGTATATAGTATTTCATAACATTTGAAGCACTGTACATTTTTTTCTTTACAGTGAAATATCCACTTCATATAACAAATGATAATAGTTCATACTCCCACGGTGTACTTGATAAGTATCATTTCTTAAAATTGATCTTAATGTAATTTTAACGCGTATTACTATTAATAATTATTAACTTGGCCCCCGATGGTCCTCCAGATGTACTTCAAGTATTAATTACACATCCTTAATACCTGAAGTATCATATTTTATTTATTACACTTTAAGTACTGCAAATACTTCCATAACGAAGTCTTAAAAGAGAGGCACGAGTCTCTCACATTTTTCCCCTCTCTTCTTTCTATTTTTCTAAAATCGGCACTTAATGCCAGCTCTTTCCCCAGTCACGTACTTCCACCTGGTTATTTATTAGCCTGTGTAAATTATTATTTTTATATTTAACGACACATAATCCGGGTTAAGGACGCAGGAGGGAAAGAGATAAAAAAAAAAACTCGACAACCGATTGTTTCTTGCAAAACAGTGAAACCGAGGTGGGTTTCTCGACCCCGTTATGGAGACGCGATTAAGTCCGATTAAATTGACTTGACAGGTGAAACGCGGTTTCTTTGACAGGTGAAAAAAGGGAGTGAGAAAGGAAAAGGTGGAAAGGTGCAGACTGCTAACCAGCCGAGTCGTTCTCTCTCTCGACACCGTTAAAAATACTTAATAAAATTCATACATTCTTAGTACACTGAGAAAAAGATTTTCACTGAAGGTCTTGAAACTCACGAAATTTCATTTTTCGAAAAAAAAAAGAAAAAACAATTAATTGAACGTCTTAAAACTCACGAAATTTCATTTTTCGAAAAAAAAAAGAAAAAAAAATTAATTGAACGTCTTAAAATTCACGAAATTTCATTTTTCGAAGGAAAAAATTTCATCGAAGGTCTTGAAACACACGAAATTTCATTTTTCGACGAAACAAAAAAAACAATTAATTGAACGTCTTAAAACTCACGAAATTTCATTTTTCGAAAAAAAAAAAGAATTGAACGTCTTGAAATTCATGACATTTCATTTTTAGAAGAAAAAATTTCATCGAAGGTCTTGAAACTCGAGAGATTTCATTTTTCGAAGAAAAAGTTAAAGTTTAAAATTATTCGGTGCACTCGGTTAGAAAAATGTTATACCCATTGTTTAACTTTCTGGTGTATATATGTGCAATTAGCATAACAATCATCAAGTATACATCATGAAGTATAATATCAAAATTTCGACTCGAGATACGACTTATCTATTGACAATGCGAGACGAGTCTTTTCTCGGGTCGGAATACGACGGTTGCATGTACTTGGAAGTCGTTTGGCCAGTTGAGTTGACCAATTTAACAATTATTTGCGCAACAGTGGCGCATTGTATTATACGATATACGTATTTAACCACCTTTCTGATTGAGCTAATTTCCTCGTCCGGTATGCGAAGATTGCTAAAAGGACCAGACGAGACGAGGACGTCTCAGCTCTGGTCGTTTCTTCCGATCGAAGAACTCGAGGACGACTCTCTTGACACTTTCGATTTTTCGATAAAGAAAGACAGGGTAATATAAAAAAAAAAAAAACACACACGCACCGCGTTGTATTTACGATATACGCATTTAACATATTCAGATTGAACTACGTTAAGGAAAAAAAAAAAGTTAATTGACTGAAAGAGATATCCATCACTAGAATCCACCAATAGAACTCTCCGATTAAATGGGTCCGAGGAAACGTCACACTGAGTACGCCAAATTATTTTAAATAAACATTAATTTTTTCCTCGCAATGGAATAATTGTTTCTTGCAACTAATTATTTTCTCAGGGACTTCCTTGAAGATGTTTGAAAGGATCAGACGAGGACGTCTCAGCTCTGGTCGTTTCTTCCGATCGAAGAACTCGAGGACGACTCTCTTGACACTTTCGATTTTTCGATAAAGAAAGACAGGGTAATATAAAAAAAAATTAAACACATCCGCACCGCGTTGTATTTACGATATACGCATTTAACATATTCAGATTGAACTATGTTAAAGAAAAAAAAAAAAAAAAATGCAGGACAAGTTCGGAGCACGAGCCACGAGGTCTTAAACCTGGTAATCTGAGATCCCCCGATGTCTAGCTAAAGAAGAGAATATGCAAATGCATGACATTTCAAGAACAAGAGACATCGGATGGACTGAGAGGTCGAGGCGGGACGTCGAATGGCAAATATTTTTATTTTCCGAAAAAAGAAAGAAAAACTATTAGTTTTCATTTCGAGTACGAGCCGAATTATCGGCTCGATAAGTAGACGGTGGACTTAAGGCGATATGAAAGTTGCATCCTAAGTGTCAATCGCTTGAATATGAAGACTAAGGAAGATCCTGACGCCCGTGAAATTTTATTATTTTTTTTATATGCATGTATAAGCATTTTTAAAATTTTTTATACAAATTTCACGGATGTCGGAACCTTCATGTTCATATTGTGAAGTTTGAAGTTCGATTCGGTACACGTGGTTTGGATAAAATTTCCATAATTATGCATTTATTGTTAACCCTTCGGATTGATTAAATCGCCGCTTTGACATCGCCTTAAGAAAGAAGGATAAAAATCGCTAACGAGTAATTTTCTTGCCCACTCGACGAACTGATAAAGCGAATCGTTGATATGAACGAGATATGACACTAATGAACTTTTGACGAGCTGCTAATTATAATGATAAACCCTGAATTTGACTTTAAAAACGAGCCTGATTGGCGATCTGAAATGCAGATGGCGAAGTCATTAAGAAAAAAAGATAAAAACTGCAAACCTTAGGCTTTGTCTCCGGTCTGAGGACGCTATCTACAGATAAAATGACATATTGATAAAACTAAGTAGTCGATAGGGACGAAATGCAACACTTACTCATGAACAATTGATAGACTCCGGCGATGATAATGATAAAAAGCGCCAGCAGCTTTGCATAGGTGAAAATGTCCTGCACTCTCGTCGCCCATTTGACATCCCAACAGTTGATGAAGGTCAGGACACCTGTATAAAAAATTCCAGTATAAGATCATCTACATGTATACAAATATTATTAAACGTAAAAAGAAATCCGTGTCCCATTTCCCCACAAATAATACATCTACAAACATTTTGACATTCGCAATGTTAACGACAAATTCTTGAGGTTTTCATATTGAAGCTCTAAAACGGCGGGAGAAGTATATCATTTCAAACGGAATAATAATTAATGGAATGGAAAAGACGGAGACTTAAGGATTGGAAAGGAATATGCGTGAGATTGGCATCTTCCTGTCATTTAGCGGTCAACGAGCAGGTTCGCTCGAAAAGATTCATCGGCCGAGTGTGGCTGGCCTATCGAGTTTTGCGGTTACTTCCTCGCGTCTAAACAACGGGACCTGTGCACAATATCAAAAGAAAAACCTACGAGTATCCCAGGATACGATTTCCCAAGAAAACTGTGCACGAACGTGAGGTATATTTAAGAAAGTAGCGCTCGAAAAGCCGCGCGAGCGTCGCGTAGTGATCCAAGATGGCGGCCGGGCATTTGGGAGCTCCGAGAAAGAATCGAAGAACTTAAAAGGCCAATCGCAGTCCGATAATGCATCTAAGTAATATAACCATGCACAGATTATAAAGAGGAATAATTAACAAGTATCTCAGAATACGATTCTCCCGGGAAAATCATCTATGAATAGGAGTAATTAACGGAATAACGCTTGAAAAGGCACGAGAGCGGCACGGCACGATCCAAGATGGCGGCCGGGCTTTTGGGCACCCTGGGAAAGAATCGCAGGGTTAAAAGGCCATGATTGGCTAATCAAAGGCCGTAATTCCGACTGAATACGATCAAATATAATCTAATAACTTAACGAGCGATCTTTAGCATCGGTTCGGGGAACCGGCCGGGCTCGTAAGCGAGAGAGACGAGCGGATCCGGGACCGGAGGAAGCGGAACGAGGCGAGCCGCGGCAAGATGGCGGAAGAGGGACGGAGCGACCGAGGCACATCACGAAATTGGACGCGATGTTGCGTCAGTCCCTCGTGTCTACGTGGAATTTTTCCCGTGGAAAGGACGCCTCGTGCTCAGCTCGCGACCGTCTACTTGACTTTTCAGCCCGAGTCGGGCCTATCGATCCCTCGACAGGACTAAAATCGACGATCGAGATTGCGCGGCCATTGCGTCCGTTCACCATGGTGCCGAGTTTGCGCATGCAACCAATCTGCAATCAAGGTCCCGCGGTTACGTTCTACATTGAATCCTATGCGCGGATCGGCGCCGGATTAATTACAAGGAACTCCCAAAGGGGGCGCAACGAGCGGTAAGAAAAAAATTAAAAAAATCTCCGTGGAATATTTTCGATCTTTCCCACTATCGAGAGTGGAAATTAGATTCTCTGTTAAGTGTATGTACCCTCGACTTACATATGCAACAAGCGGCGAGCATCCTCGCGGCATCCTCGGGAGGATCGCAGTCCGGGAAGACCGGCTTAAGGACGTAGATGCTGAAGGTTAGGGCAACTATGGCCTGGCTGCAAGGACGAACGATCATGCACTCTATCCAGAGCCGAACGAAGGCCATGAAAGGCCCGAACGTTTCCATAATGTAGGCATAATCTGCTCCCGACTTCCTTATCATACAGCCCAGCTCGGCGTAGCAGTAGGCTCCCACCTGCGAAAACGAGTGTCGTCTTTAATCGCCTTAATTTCATTTAAACTTATTACAATATTCAAATGACCTCTCAAACATGTGCCTTAAGGTGATACGAAAGTAACATCCGTTTATGAATTATTTCTGGCCGTATAAAATCCCTTGAATTTTCCCCACGCGAATGCGGAGGCCCTGAGGAATATCCTGATACTCGTAAAATTTAATTTATTCTATTTGTAAACATTTTATGAATTTTTTTTATAAAAGATGAGTGTCAAGACCTCCCTTAGAGCCTTAATATTAACCTAGGAAAATTTCAAACGATTCGGTGCACCCGGTTCGAAGAAAAGTATTTTATCGTTACATGTGTCTTTATATATGTAGGAACGTTACATAAAAATCTGCAAGCTTGAATTAATAAAAAAAAAAAATCGCTCTTCTATATGTGCGCTCTCGCGTGTCGGCAGATCTTTCTGCCCTGATTTTGCAATTTCGCGTTCATGTCGTAAAATCCTGGAGAGATAACACCGACAATTTCGACGTAACTTCCGGACGACCTGCTGATTCGCAAATATCGGGTGCAGAGTCTATTTCAATGTACATGTCCAATGTACATGGCTATATAGTGCAATCTACACTGTGCATTTCCGGGTTTTCTAGGCTTTCCCGAGGGAATCGATGACACGTATCAGCTCGTGAACCTTCCAGGGTGAATATATCCCTCCGTGATTGTTTTCTTCCCTGGAAATAAAATCGAAAATGCACCTTGCATTCTGCATTTTCGCATTTCCCAGGTTTTCCAAGGAGATGGACGACACGTATCGACGTCTCTATGGCTCGCAAATCTTGCAGAGAAAATCCAAAAGCGAATGTATACCTCCGTTGTTTCTTCCCTGAAAATTAAATTGAAAATGCACCTTGCATTCTGCATTTTCGCATTTCCCAGGTTTTCCAAGGAGATGGACGACACGTATCGACGTCTCTATGGCTCGCAAATCTTGCAGAGAAAATCCAAAAGCGAATGTATACCTCCGTTGTTTCTTCCCTGAAAATTAAATTGAAAATGCACCTTGCAGCATGCATTTTCACATTTTCCAGGTTTTCCGAGGAAATCGATGATTTGTATCGGCATCTCCGTGGCTGGCAAACCTTCCAGGGAAATTACCAAGTTAATCTACCGTTTCATAATCGCTTCATTCCGGGAAATAAAAACGAAAATACACCTTGCACCATGCATTTCCGGGTTTTCTTGGTTTTCCGAGGAAATCGATGGCACGTATCGTCATCTCCATGGCTGGCAAACCTTCCAGGGAGACTACCCTTTCACGATCGTTTCATTCCTGGAAATAAAAACGAAAATGCACCCTGCAGACACGGGGTTCGCCGTACCATGGAGAAGATCCCAGAGGCCGTCCAGACGAGCAGACTGGCGTTAACACTGCCGGTGTATTTCAACACTCCCGTAGGGCTGATGAAGATACCGGATCCGATGATGGACCCCACGATGACTGTCACTCCGTTCACCAGGGACATCTTCGCCTCGAGCTTGATCTCCTTCTCGTCGCCCTCGCCGCCGGTCGGCACCGGGTCGTAGGGACCCTTCTCTCCATCCTTAACGCTCCCTGACTTCGACATCTTTCCTGCAATGGAAAAACTGATTTTAGAGACACCCCGAAAATGCTGATAAACTGATCAATATGACTCTGATAACGTATATATATATTTTTTTTCTTTGCAACAGAAACAACTTATTGTTCACTTCGCCGTACTACCGTGATAACCTACAGAAACGTTGTTTAACCCTATGGCTACTAAGAGCGCCTAAAGGCGCCCGACATTTGGTCCAATATTGCATGCACGGTCAGAGGAATTTCGCCCTTATGTTGAAATGGCTCCGTGTTCGAAGGGTTAAAGAATCGATATCAAACAGCGATCGCCCCCACTCTGTATAATTATTCGGCAGTATCTTGAGTACTATTACAAAACATTATATATATATATATATATTAGCCCCCCTTATATGTATGTACGTTGTGTATCGATACACATACGTTCACACGCAGCGTAAATACAAATGCAGATACAAGCACTCCAATTAAAGCGGAGTGCACTCCGGAAGCTTCCCTCGGTTTTTATTTACTTCATGGCCTGTTTCACGAGTACACGAAGTACATAGGGCTGCTCCGATCGTACCCCATTTCTTTCCCCATAAGCACCCTTTCTACTACCCCAGTGTCGAAGCAACCGGTATTCCCATATTATACTCTCGCATTCCTACTGCTTCTCCTGCACATATATGTGCACGTACGCACACACACACACATCCTAATGTTCTTTTATCCTCCATTATTCCGACGAGAAAGTGCAGAGGGTTTCGCCACGTAGGGGAAGCGAGCTCGACTTGGCTCCTGCATCCATTCGTGTTTAACCTCAAAAAATGGGAGATAACGGACGTTAAGGTGATATGAAAGGTAATAAATGAACTCGCATTTCAATGGAATAAAGGCAAAAAAATAATTGTCTTACGCGCTGCTATGATAAATCGATGGTCTCGGGGAGAAAAATTAGTTGACACGGAAATCACAGATGGCGCAGTGAATCCCTCTGCAGTGAATTAGGGCCTCGAAAAGCACGAATCCAGAGGATTTCCGGAGTTTGACCTCGATTTCTTTACAATTATCCTACGAAGACGACGTATTTGGTATGCCATTTAGCGCAATACTAGTAAAAGAAAATAATACCAATCAAAATCCAATGTTACTCCTCATTTTTACTAACATTTCTCTCGAACAGCACCGGGACACAAGAACCCGACACGTCGCGTCCCACTGCTTCGATGTTTTACATGGACTCCTGATAACAGCGAATAACGAACATTGAAGTCTGTTGAACCATCCTCTTTTTATAAATTCACATCAGATTAAATTATTTCTTTCTCCGCTTCTATCCACCCCGAGTCGTATCAAGACACGCAATGGATATCCAGATTGCGTCACTCTCTCTCTCTGCTCCCTCTCTCACATGCGTTTCTCGTTAACCCTTGACAATAGCCAGTAACGGGCGGTAACGGCGACGAAATTGTTCCTTTCTTTGCCGTCGACCACCCCGGCCCCCCTAGGACACGCAACGGACGGCGGTGTTGCGTCAGCCCTCTCGCGGATCCTTTGCGAGTTATCCGGCCGATATATCTCCGGCGTGACTCGAATTTCGTCCTTCCTCGACTCGGCGGTACATGACGCGATTAGAAATTCCCGAGTATAAATCCGTACCCGACGCAGAGTTTCCTCCCGGAAACGCTGCGGCTCCGCTGCGGAAGACGCCTAGAGGTATATCCGGGTACATACTTATCGCCCTTAGAGTTATCCTGGAATACTTCGCCAGCGCTTTTTCCCACATCCGGGAATTTCCTTTTAAATCTGTACCAACGGATTTAAATCCAGACTTTTTTATCGTTTCTAATAATCAAAGGTGGTAGAGTTATCCGGTACTATTTCACTCGCTCAGAAATGTATTTGGCTCGAAACTCTACCGAGTTTCTTGATTGCATTTCCCCCACAGGTAAGATAATTCTGTAAAGTTTGCCCTGAGTTTTAAATCGAGGTTTTTTTTTCTTTTTAGCATTTTCAACCAAGCCTCCGACGTAATGGGAATCTTTTTCACCTGGGCTTCTTCTGTTATCGGAAATTATCGAACGACCTTTATCGGCCCCACCGAGAAGTCTCCTCCTTCGCAATCAAGATGTCAACGTTTATCGAGCCAGGTATTCAAACGAACGCTTTTTCGACGTTTTTTTCTCGATAAGAGAACTGCCTAAACCAGGCAAACAAGAGGTCCGACATTTATCGTCGCCCGACCTTTTTCAAATTTACTTTTCTTTTTTTTTTTTTTTAACTCTGCGTCCATCGACGTGTTTAAAATTATCCGTTATAGTGAAATTCAAAAATGGAAGACACTAGTCAAGTTGGCGACTAGACGTCGATACTGCGGAACGGAAAATAATAATAAAAAAAAGGGTTCGTTATAATTTTGATACGGTTTTATCCATTTCTTTACAAAATTCACTCGCAATTCGAGACTCACGCCGATAAGGATTATCCGTTACTGCAAGAACTAACAAAATACTATTTGTAACCACATGGCCTTATCTTTTCCTTCCTCAGTTCACTCGAACGCCGAACTTCACTCCCACGCCGGCGTTAAAGGTTATCCGTAACTAGAAAACCCAGAAGAATTTTCGTAATAATTAAATCGCTCTAATATCTTCCCCCCGAAATTTCCTCCTAATGCGACATTCACGCCCACGTCGACATTAGAGGTTATCGGCTCATTGGAACGTACGGAACTACAGGGATATATTAAATTTTTCTCGAAAACTAACGGTTTTAGAAGAAAATGTGCAAAACATAAAAGATGTATTCTTCCAAGAGCTACAACTTTTGTCTGAAACTTTTTCCTCTGAAACCTACACACTAATCGGAATAACGTGAAAATTATCAGATATCCCTAGCAGTCATATTCGTAATCAGCGGGTCAAGATACGTAGATATTTCAAGTTTTATGCGTTTTTCAGAACCTCACCCATTGGTTACTAAAAAATTCAAGGAATTTCCAGTTGCAACCTTAAACTGTTATATTGACATTTTTATATAGAATGACTAACCCATCATAAGGAAGTACGAAGAAGCCAGATTTCAGGCTGAATGATAGTGACGAATAAAATTGAGCGTATATATAATGATGCAAATGGGCAAAAGGAACGCCTTAAAACCCTGCAATTATTTCCTTGAAATCGGATCCTTCACGCCCACGTGGACATTTGAGGTTATCCTCGCATTTCGCAGGTGGGCGCCGCGACCTCCCGAGGTCGCAAGTATTCTTCCTCCGTTCTTATTCCCCTTATCTCCTCCGTTGTACACGGCGGAGCGGAACGATTACGTTAAAAGTCGGCGTAAGACTCATTGTCATTTATCGTTGATTAATTGCGTTGGCCGGGGGATTCCAATGACCCGCGCCGAGACGCGCCCCCGACATAGACAACACATTCATCGAGATTGCGTCAAGAAATGGCGCGACATGCGTCCCCATCTCCCCTAGTGTTATTTCTCTAATCTGTAACCGTATCCGCATCAGGATTGCAACGGATTTAAATGCGAGTAGCATGAAAAAGCGCCAACATAGTGTAAAAGGATAAATTACCGAGGCGAATCTACTATTGACAAGTCTACATTTTTTTTACATTTACAGAATATTAATTGGCTTATTGTAAAAAACCATGTGTATAATCCTCAAGGAGAGGTATATAAAATGGATCCAAGTGTTCCGTTCTATGATCCTCGACCAAGGGCCGTTTCTGTACAGGGTTCGTAGGGATAGTCTTGGTCTAACCGTATCAATTGTTTAGGCAATGATCACGTCTTCTCGTCGTGATTCTTGGAACAGGACCGCCCATGGACCTCCGATCATTTTACCTTTTAATTATTTCCTTCAATGGAGAAAGGCGTGCCCTAGTTGTTACTTTAATCTTAAACCTTACCCGCGTAAGGATTGCAATTTTAGTCCGTCCACGAGTGTCCTGGGATATTAATGGGTCCTCCAAGATGCATGAGGGGGTGCCGCCATGTCCATTAGTTCCGCCGACCGCCGTCGCCTCCGCCGGTGGCGCGCGCGCTGGCGTCGGGAAAATCAATAAGACCACGTGGCTCCCCGTACCCGAGTAAAGCCCGGTGTCCACGATAAAAAAGCAACCCCGTCAATGACTACATCTCCCTCCAAAATTCCGGATTTACTAAATCCTAATTATCGATCGAGAGGCTCGGCCTCGAATCTGCGAATTTATTAACGCTACAACTACCGGCGGACTTATTTTTCCCTGTGGTGGGCAGGGTTGGGTAATTTTCAGTTTTCGAGCCTCTCGACAAGCATGACCTTCGTTAAATGCTCCGACAGTTTTTTAAATACGGTTTCACGGGAAACACCACTTTGAGGGGTCCACGACGAAACTCGAAGATTTGTCTATGAATTTTTTAATCGAAGTTCCTCGATCGTGGACACCGGCCTTAAGGTCGGAGTCCCACTGACCCCGTCGGGTGTCGTACAGACCGCGGCGCGTCGTCGCGTCGAATCGAAAACCAATAATAATTTCGTTTAAAGCCGTGTATCATTTCCGCCGCAATTTGGATTTTTTTTTTCATCCTCGACGCGACGACGCGCCGCGCTCAGTGCGACACATACCTAATGCGACTTTCCGCCTCCGGATTTTCATCCCTTCTAATAGAATTTCAAAGTGAACTCCAACTTACACATTGCCATATGCAGAGTCAAACCCTAAATTCCTTCCTCACTGGCAGTAAGTCTCTCAGGGTTTTTTCCTGAATTATTACCAAGGTAATAAACGAAGATGATGAAATATCCCCAGGGCTCGATATTCGCCGATAATGCGTCACCTACTTCTCGCGATACTTCCCCCCGAGGTGAATGATGTAAGTCGCAATTGCTCCAGGAAGAAGAAAAAAAAAAGAAAATGGGAGGTGGTCTACAAAACTCGATTACCGTGTTAAACGACATATTGACAAAATCATAAAATATTTAGGAGTCTTGCAGGTTGCTGGTTGGAAAATTTTCTCCCCTAAAATCCGGCAAAGATCATTTCCCTTGGTTTCCAAATGCGCTAAAAAACATCTAATTATACGAAAAGACTCACCGCTCGGCTTTTATAATAATTAACCCTTGTACTTGAGAATATGTCGACCGAAATGCGTGCATGGCAACATGTCGCGGCATGACGTCTTCATCATCATAACCAACATAACCTATCCCCAAATACAGGACTGGGTGAATGTCACGTTGGAGATCCGCGTGCAGATCAGTCGCTATGGTCTCGACTTGAAATCAACTAGACCAAGGAAAAAGAAAAGAAAATCAACAACCAACCGACCCAGCAAAACATTTCTTCAAATTCACCCCCTTCGACTTCGACATTTCTAGAGGTGATCGGAGAGTTTTCTTTTTTTCTTGGCTTCATTTTTTATCCCACTGAGATTTTTTTTCTCTCATTTGAGAACCAAGGAAAGTTATCCCGACTGCATTCCAGATGAGCCCAGTACTCCTAAATTTAACCATTTTTATAGTACTCGTATATTTCACCATTTTTATAATACTCTTGAACTTTACCATCGCTTTTGTCACTCAAAAGAACTTACCTGTTTATTCTTGCGAGCTGTGCGTCGATATCCCAGCCGGCACGGTCTTTGGAAGGAAATAAGGTGAGACCGACGTTACGCACAGTCCATGTCGCGGAATTCCCGGCGTTCGATCGCGAGGGACGCGCCTCGGGCTAACCTCTCAGATTGAGAACTTCCCCCGGTTCGCCCTACGACTCGCAGGATGCGCCAACCAGAGCGAGGTGGAACGAAAGCACCTCTCGCGGCGGCGGTCCCGGGCCGAATGAGGGTCTGGCGCCGCGCGCGAGTCCTCGCGCGCTCCCGCGGGCCAAGCGTCCTGCGCACCGCCCCTGCGCTGCACCCCCGTCGCCATGGCGACGCGCGACTCGCTCCCTCGCGCTGTAACCGTTGCCACGGCGACGCGCGACGCTTTCCGCGGGGTGCGCACGCACCAAAGTAATGAATCTTGAGAATGCAATCGCTCCGCGCTTCCGCAATTTCTTATGATTTACACTTTTGTCAGCGAAACGCGACTTGTAGCGGGGTAGGAAAATTTCGAGAAGGTGTAAAGAGGTGAGTGCACCTGTCACGTCGACAATCCGGCTTTTTGTCGAATTTATCGAGGGGCCATAGTACCGGCATACAATGATACAGCACGTTTATAGCGTTAACCGTTATGTCACGGGTTATATCGCTCGATCGGGAATTTCGGCCCCTTTCTTCCGGGTGTTGTATACTCAAAACATAACTATTAAGCTTTGAATATAAAGCTGGGTACAATACTGCACTGAGGAAAAAAATTCATTGAGCGAAAACAATATTTCTTTAATCAGTGCCAAAGAAAGTATTTTGTCAATTCGAAGAATGACTGAAGTAAACTTGACTAAATAGGATGCACCATATTTTTTTTTTTCGGAATTATGACAATTTATTTGTGTTAGATGTAATTATTCCCCGAATCTAGAAAATTGGTACTATACAAAGAAATATATTTCTTTAGGTTAATGTCATTTTTTTCTCAGTGTGGGTATATATTTTTCTACGTTTAATTTGCGCGTGGGTGTTGCATGCTCCACTGGGTCGTCGTCGAATTTTCAGTAATTAACGACTGTTTGTGAATGTCGAGGCCTTCGGAGAGGCCATTGAATACGTATCATGGGTTTTATTCCTATGCGCATGAATAATGTATTAATTTAATTTCTAGATGATCGTGTGGGAATGCGATTTATTTGGAAACCTGTGAATCGGGGTTTTCGAGGATCCCTCTTAATTGTGAAATTATTATCAAGGAGCGAAATTAATACCGAGGTCATGGTCATCCACTATCCTATCCTCTAGTGTCTCTCTCTTTTCCCACAAAATCTCGTCTACCCTCGTCTACGCAAGGAAAGAAGAAAAATAATACAAAAATGCGGAGTACAATGCCGGAGGGACTTCTTTCAAGGATCTTTTTTTACCTGCCCAGGTGTACCGAGACCAGTCCAGATCTAGAGAGAAATTCCTGCAAGAGAGAACAAAAGTAAAAGGAAAATGTCGGTAGGAGAGAGAGAGAAAAAAAATGATTAAAAAATTATTATATACAGTCTGCGCGCAAATTTGGGAATTTTGGTTACGTCGAAGAGCCGACATTTTTTAATATTTATAAATGGCACGCCGTTATTGAAATGTTATTTTCCGCCAATGTGTTTATTACGATTATATGGCATTCGTGACTTTGCAACCGGTCGGTTCAATTTATGCTCAATTTTAGACAGGGCCACTTGGTGCAACCTTACAATGTCAGTCTAATTACGACTACTTGATGTGCTTTCGAATGTCTCCAGCTCCATTACGGTATGTGGCATTCATCGCGATTTATTATATTATCTGAATTGGTAGTCCTCGAAAGAACGTCTTTGCGCTTAAAATAAGGCGCACGTACATATTTACCATGATAATAACGCGAAAACATGTTTAGTTAGAAATGGAATAACATTTGCAGTGTGGGAATGTTTTGCCGACAGTTACGTGTACCTAGTTTCTAATATATTCCCGAGATGGAGATACTCCAATTGTGGAACTCGCGAGAAATAGTAACGAATAAATTTGCCTGTTTGGCTCAGAACTCTACAAGTATTCCGCGTCTATGGTGAAGTTTTACCCTCATACTATCGCGCATGCGTTTCCCCTTCTCAGATTTTAATGTTTCCTAGGTTAAAGAGGATAGAGTGGAAACTTTCAGTGCACAATAGAAACAGCACCATCTGTTGGTTCAGTTTCTGAAATACTTGAAATATTGAAATCAGCGTGCTGCGCCGATTTTAATATCGTCAAGCATTGTTAGAAATTAAACGAAGGCCGAAATGTAGAAATAAAATCTAAAAGTAACCAATGGAAATAATGTATGTTTTGTTTTATGCGTTTATGCGAGCTTACTTTTCATTCATGATGAAGAGAATTAGTTTGAAATGTCCAAAGCGTGGAGAGTTGAGTCATTTAGTTCGGAACTGAGCCAAAAGGGAGCGCTGATGCTTATTTACATGAAAATACGTTTTCTTCGTGACACTTTCCACTCTATCTAGGAATTCTTTGCCTAGGTTTAACCAAACACGTGCAGTGTAATTTCTTACCGAATTTTGTGAGGCGCATTTTGTTATTCGCTGAAAATGGGAAAACTGAAGCCGAGGTTAGCCAGCCGAAAAAAGGCGAAACGTTGGAAGAAAGGCCAAAGCTCGAGCTCGAATCCGGAAACGAGAAAACACCGAGAGCAAGCTCGTTCGAGGTTTTTCCAGGAAAATCTTGGTAATCTAACTTTTTTCCCAATATCTTTCCTTAACTTCCCGTTATCTCTGGTACTCGCGTGAATCCTTCAACAATGATGCCTCTCCGATGATAATTTTCTGTTGTCGCTGTGTTCGAGAGAACCTCTAAACTATCGGAGAAACCGTAGGAAGCCTTCGATCTGCTTCGACACAGCACTTTTCACTTTAATCAGAAATGTCAACCGTAATGCCAGTGGAACGCACACTACACTTGATTTTGCGCAGAAGAAAGCGATAGCGAGGAAGATAGCTTTGTGTCTACTGGCATTACGTTTTTACTTTGATTTTTAAAGTTATGTACTTTAGAAATGGCAGCTATTAAAATTTATTACTTTTGTCCTTTCGGTCTATGCAGGATCAGGTGCTCTTTCGTCCGATTTGCTCAAAAAGCATGATGCTATACAAGGAGTTAAGCCGGCTATTGAAAAAATTCAAGTAGACGGAGACGAGACGGAAAGTACCGTAGCAAGTACTTTTAAAACGTTTGATACGTTCGCTAGCGATTGGAGTAACTGTTCGAATGTTTCATTTAATCGGTAAATATTCCTTAATTCTTTTGATATTTTAAGCGTTCCCTTGCAATTAATAACATATTGTATTGATTGTCAAGATTTCTGGCTCACTTTGAATCCAAGTCACTAATCCAGAAGGAGATGCTTGCTGTGCTGGCAGCGATTACAGATGTTATTAAAGAAAATGGAGGTACAGAATCATCGACGGAATATTACGCTGCATTGGTAAGAAACGATTAAAAGTTTATATGTTTTTCAATAGTTTGTCTTAATACATCCAGAATTCTTTGCTGTTTTCTTAGATGTCAACTCTGGAATCTTCGGAATCGGAGGAATCTGTGATTGCAATACTTTCTCTTCTGGGTATGGGAATAAAGACAGTACCAAAGAATGTTCTAAAACTGCAATTTGATCAAAGTAGTCAGACCTTATTTCAAGTTCTCACAAAATATACAGCCTCTGAGAATTTTCTTCTTTTAAAACACGTGAGTATTTCTCGTAAGAAGAGTCGATGTAAACCTATGTCTACAATATTTTTCATGTTTAGTGTATCGGCTGCTTATCTCTCCTCCTGAGAGTTCAAGATGCTGCGGTCTGGTCTGATGTCTCCACGATGCACATATTGCATGGGATTTTGTCGTTTACTATACATAGTAAACCAAAAGTGCGTAAAGCTGCACAACATGCCATATGTGCTCTACTGAAAGGTACATCTAAATAAATTGCAACCCGAAAAGTTCTTCACTAACCTCGGAATCAATATTTTGCGGTTTAATCTGGCGTAACCATTTAATTATTTTTCTTAAAGGCAGCGATATCATGAAGAGTGATAATCCTCCACTATACCATCCAGCAGCACCTGAAGTTGCGAAGCACTGTTTAAAACAACTAGAAGTAGTCGGACAAGCTGGCGGCATGACCACCATTCTACATGTTTTAACCTTACTCAAAGATATCTTTTATCAACTTCCAAAGTCATTCATCAAGGTTCCCATGATATGAAACAATTATTTACAGTTAATACTAATACGACGCACTAATTATACCAGTATATCTATTTTTCAGACTACCTGCGAGAGTCTATTAAAACTCATGACTATGAATAACGCTTTAGTGACGTCATGTTGTTTGCAAGTCTTGCATGGCTTGTTCGTTTCCAGGCCAGCAAAAGAAACTCTACTTCCAGAATTAAATGGGCAGATTATCAACGCGCTTTACGATTACCAGCCAGCTCTTGGTGACGCACAGCCAACGTTGGCATGGTTAGCCGTTATGCAGGAAGCACATTGCAACCTTGCGATGTCAGTATTACGTAACAATAAGTTTTAATATATAACTTTCTGATTGCCTTCAATTTTAAACCACAGTGAGTAACGTTTTATAAAAATTATCTTTCCATTTAATTTTAGACACTCCTTGCACCTCTGTGCAGCGAATGTCCCCAGGATGATAGAAAAATGTACAGAGTTATGGCTCGTAGACAAAAGAGAAATACTTACTGGTGTTTCGCATACTATTAAAACACTCCTAGAAGTTTGTGTCGCACCTTTGTGTGAAACCCAGCAGTTGGCAAACAAGTGAGATATTTACCTACTTATTGTAATTTATGATAGAATTAATCAATTTATCGTTGTTTACTGACAGTCCATAAATTATAAGTAGCGACGGTTCATCCTGACTGCGGAGAATCTTTCCATTGAACAAAGCTTTTACTGATCTTTTAATGATCTTATTTCCTGGAACAGATACAAAGTGACGTTGAGCAAAACTATTCAGTTGATACAAGAAGGAATGAAATATCAGTACAATTCAGCTTGGCATTACGTACTTCATCTTATTGCTGTTTTATTCCAGGTAAAATTCTTGTTCTGTGATGTTAATTAAATAATGCAATGCGTTGCTCTTCAAACTGAAAGCTAGTGATTTAATAATAATTAATGTGGTAATTGTAGATTGCTGGAAAAGTCTGCAAAGATGAGCTTTTGAATATTTTGGTAGGTTTGGCAGACTTACGGGACTCTCATAGATTTACGTATAATAGTGAAATCGAATATGCTGTCGGAGCAGCTGTAATGACTATGGGTCCTCAAGTGGTTTTGGAAACAATTCCTTTGCAGGTTTGTTGCGTTATTAATGAATATGAATATTTATATGAACGTATCAATTGAAAAGGAATATTTTTTCAGACAAACCCTGATAGCATAAATTTGAATCGAAGCTGGCTGTTGCCAGTTCTGAAAGATTGTATCAAACAAGCATCGCTTTCTTACTTTATCAACACTTTGTTGCCATTAGCAGTAATGTGCGAGTAAGTAACGTACTACCTGAATCATCTAACAATGTTTTTAATTAATCGCACTTTTTCTTAAACGTTAAACAGGAAAAAATCAACTGGATTAATGGAAACTAACGATGGAGTAGGATCTCATACATATGCTCTTTTAATGTCTCAGATTTGGGCTCTTCTACCATGTTTCTGCAACGATGCCGATGACATTAAAGACAGCTTCAAGGTAATTACTAATGTTCAAAGTTATTTAACAATGCAGAAATTCTTAATAATATCCACTTTATTGCATTCGCAATTTAATGATTTTTTTTTATTCTTCCAGAACATCGCTAGAATTTTAGGTTCCGCAATTTCTGAGAAAAAAGATTTAAGACTCTCCGTCATGGCCTCGTTGAGGAAACTGATTACGAGATCGAAGGAAAAGAATAATACAGAAGATATAGCAGAGCTGTCTCGATTTGCCAAGAACTATTTGCCCTTACTTTTCAATTTGTATACAATGAAACCAAATGGATCGGATGAAGAAGGGCAACGCTTGGCAGCTTTTGACACGATTAAGGTTAGGTTTTGTGAATTTTTAAATCTTTACGTACAAAGGTAGAAAGAAAGTTTTCACTAATTTCTCTTACAATTTGTAACAATTGCCAGGTGTACCTGTCTATCACGAATAAGGCACTCGTGGGTGAATTGTTCGATAATGCTTTGATAAAATTGAAGGACCCGGAAACCGAAACCTTCGTCAAGGAAAGCGTTTTCGATTTAGTCAGATTATTGATACAGTTTACGGACGATTCGAAATTGAAAGTACTTTACGATTTCTGCACTCCTACTCTCATGAACATGAGGAAAGGAAAGGAGCAAAAGAAGTCTTACAGGTGAGACGATGTTTTGAAAAACAGATATTCCTTTCGTCTGTCTGAAATATCTTATCAATGGATTTTTCTACTTAGATTTTTAGAGGAAATGTGCGGAGCAGACGTTGAAACTTGCAAGAACTTCGTTAATGAGAACTGTCAGGCAATTCAAAAGGTTCTTCGTAAGTCTGCACCCTACGTAGCTACGATCAGCAAAGGAGTAAGAACGTTTTCCAAGAATCTCTAAAAATTAAACGGTTGCGTTTATATTGTATTAATTGCACTTATTCTTTCTTAAAGGCTCGACTACGATGCTTAAACCATCTTATAAGCAGTCATCCAGATCTGAAGAAAACAAAACTTTTTAAAGAAATTTTACCGGAAGTTGTACTATGTACAAAGGTATTAAATGAAAGGTGCAGAACTTCCGCTTTCCAGTTACTGAACACAATGGCGGAAATACTCCTGGATGACGAGGAATTATTTAAGGAGTATATCGATATGTTAGCAGCAGGTCTCGGAGGCTCTCCTTCATACTGTAGTGCTACGTTACTGGCTCTTGCTTCGATCACATATAAGTACAATGGTAAGCGATACTATTTATTCAAACTATCATGTGCTGTTAAATCATTGAAAAAGGAAACATAAACGAAGTAACAAATTTTACAGTGCACTTTAGTCGAGTGATTTTGTTATACAGGTGCACTGGGTGTACAGACAATTCAAGAAATAGTGGAGAAAGTTTCTGGACTCTTGACAGTGCCTACGAGAGAAATAGTCCTTTCGGCTCTGTCGTACATTAAAGTTTATCTTACAGTCATACCACTGACAATAGTAGCTCCATCGTTGCCTTCGATTGTAAGTATTGCTTAATTAAAATATTTTAGAAGTATAAGATGAAATAAATCTTGTTAATTTCAGATGAAAGCCTTGAGTGGTATGACCGATGACTGTAAACGACACTTTAGGCAAAAAGTACGCGATTTGTTGATAAAACTAGTCAGAAAGTTTGGCATCGAGGCTGTGACAAATCTGATACCAAGTAACGACGCAGTTATGCACAAGAGAATAAAGAACATTCGAAAAGTACAGTCTAGAAAACAGAAGGCGAAGGAACAAAGGAAGTTGAACGAAGCAGGAAGTGATAGCGAAGAAGAATTTAATGCAAAGAGGAGACCTAAAAGGTATTTCTGAAAACTTGAAAATTTGTTGGGAAACTCCAGATCACGATTAATTTCACTTTTACGAAAAATACTAATTTTATAAAAACTATATATTAATAATTGTTTAGTATGGAGGAAATCTTGGCTGATAGTGACGAAGATTTTGAAAACGTGGATGAGAGCGAACAAACGAATCACAAGAAACGAACTAATCGTAAGAAGACTTGGATACGGGAAGGCGAGGACGATATAGTTGATTTTGCTGATCCTACTGCTATCAAGAACATAACTAGTGAGTAAATAATTTCATATACTGTTTAATTTGAGGTTAACAAAATTTATATATTTTTATCGAACTTAACCTATCGAATCCAAGATATTCTTCGATGATTCAAACAATGCTCCGTTTACAGCTTCGCTGCCTGAAGTATCAAATACAACCGTTAAACAAAAAACAAAGACTAGTGAATTTAAAGTAGCAAAGGATGGTAGATTAATTATCAAAGATGACAGTGACGATGATAGCGATACCCCAAAGAGGATGAGGAAAATGACGATAGATAATGACTCCGATGAGGACTCCGGTAAGTAGTATATAATTTTCAATGGACAACTAGTTGTCAGAGTCAAGGATCTTATGTTAAGAGTTATTATTTATTGCAATAAAATTATTTCAACAGAAGGTGCAGAATCAGTTGCACCAGGAATGCCATCGAAGAGGAAGCGAAAGCTTAGTGGAAGTACGGAGGCAAGCTCGCAGTCGAATATGAGATATCAAGGTGGGTTTCTGTAACATTTACTTGGAATTGTTTAAACGAATTTGCATCCTAATGAATATATCTTTTTGCCAGCCGGTGGATCTGGAATCCACAGGCCTGTGAAAAAGAGCAAGGACGAGAAAGTTCCAGGAAGTGAGTACAGATCGAAGAAAGCGAAGGGAGATATCAAGAAGAAAGGCAAGCCAGATCCTTACGCGTATCTGCCTCTTACGAGATCTGTGTTAAACAGAAGGTTAGTCCAGTATAATTTTAAACAATATTGTTTAAGGTGTTACGAAAGTGTCATATATATGCACCATATTTTTACGTTTATATATATAATAACCTTTTCATATCACCTTAACTATTTAATTTGTTACTTCTACTGATTTTATGAATCATTCCTTTCCAGGAAAAAAATGAAAAATGCCGGGAGGTTTAAAAATATCATCTCGAAGGCCAAGAGTGGCGTGAGAATAGCAATGAAAAACAAAGGGAAACGTCGTCAGAAATAATGTATATTACAATGTTAATATCGTATTGTAAGGCATCTTACACGTGTAGGGTAACAAAAAACGAGTTTAAATATATCGAAACGATCATTCGATTGCTATTGAACTTCGGTGGTGAATCAATGACTGATAAGGGGAATCACATTCCCCCGAGTCTGGTGCTCTAAAATCAGAACTGAGTATCGTTGCGAGGCGGGTGGCGGATAAAAAGAACGGAAACATTCATTTTCTGAGGGAAAATACATTTTTTCCTTCTCCGATTAACTGAAACATTTTTGACCTCCGACCTCCGTTAACAAAGAATATAGTTTTGTAACTCTGCTGACAGAGGTTCCCTTCCCTGGCACCAATTCCAATTAACGATTGCCTATTAATTACCTCATGATTACGTACCACTTCCCCCCTTCAATTACCAGTAACAAAGAGTTAAATGATATAAAGACGCTTAACAAATTCGATAAAGTAGAATCTCTCCGAGGATACAACCTGAGCCTTCTGTTAAAAGTAATTCTAACCACGAGGTGGCCTTTGCAAGTCCGACTCGTGGGTTTTACTTTGTACAATTCGAAGCGAGACTTCGTTAACTTAATAAAGCCACAAGTAACAGGTCACAGTTTCTTTAAAATTATCATCCGTTCCACTGTTCAAGGTTAGACCTTCCGGTTTGAATGTAAACGTAAAGTTGCACTTTTCTTGATTACGTCCCTAGCTAAGTCTTAAGCGTAATTAGCGATCATGCACAGGAATACAGCAGAATTCAGAGTAGGAATATCTCTGTACTTTATGCGTTCTGTAATGTGTTCAATCATCTTCCGATCCACTGGGCTCGTAGAAAAATAAATTCTCACGTCTCTTCGTTGTTGTCAATGCTTCAAGTCGAATATCTCTATTAACAGTGGCTCCACACTAGATGGATTCACGTTAAGATACACACCGACGACTTCGTCGTTCAATCTGTGCAGCTCGGAGATCTTCCGGATTAACTTCAGAAATGTTGATTTGGCTTCGCATCCCGGGTGCACGCTTTCCAGATATCTCCTCAACAGATAGTAGTACGAATTCTGAAACGAATCACCATAAAATACGGATAATTGTTGATTTATCGAGATACAATCATTTGTTTTATCAAGCTCTCAGTCACGAAGTAGTTTAAGAAGACAATGCTTATTCCAAAGTGGCCCATCTCAGATTTTCGCTGATCTAACGACGCGAGCGCCGCTTGCGGAAAATGAGGGAAGTTTCCAGCCTACGTGACCAAAACATTTCCTACCGACGTGAATCACCGAAAATGATTTTAATTTAGCAATCAAGCTACTTAAAGCGAAAAGACAATCCGCAGATGATACACAGAATGTGACGTTTTTAACGCGACAAAGACTAGCAGACCCGCTAGTAAGATCTAATTTTTAATTGAAAAATTTTATCGAGCGCTCTCGGTACTAGATCGGAAAAGATCTGAAGTTCTTGGGCCTCTAAAGTGGGCAGGATTTCAATACATGGCGTTGCATCTCCTTATACTATTTCGTGGCCTTAAGGATATTACTTGTTCCAATTTAATGACGTCACTGTGCACGACTTTCGGCCGGTCGGGCGTGAAGAGAGCGATGGCGGTTAATATTAAAATGACGTTCTCGTCCCGCCATTTCGGATCGAAAGTCCTGACGAATTTCGCGTGTTCCGCGTAAAGGTTCCCCTTCGCTTCCTTCAAGACGTCCACCTTGATCTTTGACATTCTCTCCTGGCTGTGCGGAATCTTCCACATGTCCCTGTCGGAGTCGTAATTACTTGCAGATCTCAGGATCAACATTTCCGTGCAGCCGCCCTTCAGAAGCGCCAACTGGTCGTCCTGACACATGCTTTTAAAGGCGTTGATCTTCTTCGACATTTTTATCAGACGTCTTATGGCCACCGCAGTCAGATTTATCACGTCTAACAGCATTGGATCGGAGTATTCAGAATTTCCCTGAAAAGGAATTACACTCACTTGATTTTATACCGATAAGAGGCCCGATGAATTCAAGAGTTGCACGATAAAGTTACATAAATTTAATTAATTATATATAAAGTTAATACTCAGTGTCGTTATTTTAAGGGATAATTGAAAACAAGCCAGCGGTTTCATTATTTCCTCGGTACCTTAAACTTGCACTGATCACCGACTAGATTTGTAAGGTCATCGTCAAGGGGTGCGAGCAATGCCTTATTGGCAACGATCAGTTCATTCAATTTGGCACGCTCTGCATCGTTTAATTCTCTACTAGTTTGATTACCGCCAAACGCCGAATAAGCTGAAAACTCCAATTTTATAGCCTCGCACAATATCGACTCGATGGAATTGGCAGCGATTGGTATTCTGAAATTATTCTTATTTAATCATCTAGTCCGATCCGACTCCCTATTTTTATCACAATTTCTTCTCTTCTCTTCTCACCTTTGCACATCTTGAAGCACATCTTTGGTAACGTCATTGTCACTGTCGTTCTTGTCCTTCAAAGTAGTCGGAATCTTAATTTTGTTGGTGCACTCGTTGGGATGGTTACCGGTGATCAGATTCGTAAGGATCGGATTCTCGATTTCATTCTGCTCGGTGTCGAGTATGTGCCTTATCAGATTATTCGACGTCCCATTGTGGTTTAACGTATTAGACATTTCGCAATCCGTTTTCTCTTGATTTGTGCACTCCATGGGTGGAGTGCACACCTCAACGGATGAGCCATGCTCTCCGAGGAACTGTTCGATCTGTGGATCGCAGGCCAACCTGTTCATTGTTTCAGGATCCGTGACGATCTTAGCCAGCACGCTTTCATCCAGAACTATCTTCGCTACCAGTGACGGGTTTCCCAGCAGTTTGGTAATCAGACCCGGATCTTGCTTGAACTTTTCCACTAAAGCCGATCCCTTCGATGAATCTTGCTTTGGTTTCGTGCCCATACTCATCTCTTCCATGCTCATCTGTACATTAGAAGTTGGACTCAAACAAGTGTCCATTGGTGAACATCCAGTGTTCACTGTTGTTTGTGCCTGATCGCTGTTAAGTTCGGATCTCTCACAGTTCAAAGGTGTACCATTAAACCTAAAGGTATACCTAGGAGCATTCTCGACACTGTCGAAATTGGCGCAAAACGTATTTGTGTTTCGGTCGTACTTAACAGCATTCAAGGAGGTAGAACCAATTTTTGTCGAAGTCTGCGAGACGATATCAAAATTCCCAATGGTTGATAGGTCGTCGTCACTCTTCGACGGACTAGGAAGGCTACTATCTAAATCACTGTCGATCTCTTCCAAACCTGAGGAACGTCTGGTATATTTGCCAAAAGTTAGAACAGAACTTCTCTCGAGCTCCCTTGACATTTCTAGCGTTCTCGTTCCTACTATATCGGTGCCTTCCGGTGGACAGGAAGGACTCGGTACACTTGCAACCAGTAAAGGACTGACAGGCTCGGTTACAAACTGACGATTGGCATCCAAGATCGTGTACTTCTTGTCGGAATCCCAAACGTAAATCTCTGAGGTAGTCGAAGTGACCGAAGTGCCCGAAGTGATGGATAACCTTGTATCGTTGTCGATAATGCCATCCTCTAAGGACTCCCTTTTCATCTTATTAGCCTTTGTATCTTCCGAAGGAGGTCTCTTCTTAGCTCGGTTCAGTTCGATCTTCTGCCGTTTCAGTACCTTCTCTTCCTCCGACATGATGTACTCCTTTCGCATGCCGATGTTGAAGCACTTGTCGAGTCTGCATTTTTGGCAAAATCGCCTAGTTATTACCGTGATCTCGCAGTTTTCAGTGAAGGGACATCGGAAGTCCTAAACCCAGAAAGATTTATGCTTTGCATGAGAATAAACCTTAAAAACATAACAAACTTTTACAAATATTAAAAAAAAGCCTGAAATCTATATACTTCGAGCCTTCCTCAATTCTTCCATTATTTACCGTCACCCGATCCATACAGACGCACAGAAACAAAAAAATTAACATAACGATACCAGTGCAATAGCGGTGTAAATAATTTCCCGATAAATTACCTTATTTTTCAAAGCGTTCCTCCTGAAGAAGGCCTTGCAGCTCTCGCAAGAGACGGCATTGAAGTTGTACCCGAGAGCTTTGTCTCCGCAGACTCCGCAGACTTTATTAGTCTCCCTGCCCGTGTGTTCCTGTTCCATGTCCATGGAATAACTCTGAATACAGATAGCTCGTCTTTATCAATGTAGTGATAATGGTCACTATCGGACCACATTTATATGTAGGAAAGGATTATGTCTCGCCTTATGGAGATGGGGCGTAGAAATCGGTGATAATTGGTTGAGAAAATTTGAGAAAAAAGGAGATCTACCTGTCAGAGGGGCAGCAGACGAACGCCTTTTCCTCAGGGGAAATTCTTATTCGTTCCAATAGAGGCTAATTGGCAGTACCAAGCGATCCAAGTGTCAGCCTGAATAAGCCGCTCAATTGACAGCCTTATCAAGACTTGGCATTGATAACGGAGATACGTGTACATACCGGACAAAATATTGGAGAGCATACGCACGCTTCTACCACCCAAGACGGTTTATTGCCGTCTCCGTCTCCAGTCTGAGATCTTTGACACGCGTGGGCATGCCGTAAGCATGTTTAACCACAATGTTTCGTTAATACAACGCGACAAACGTCGGATATACCGATAGGCTGACACAGGACACGTGATCGTCAATTTCGCTTGAAAACGCTATCCAGCCAATCGGCGTGCTCGACTCCTGATTGGTGCAGACTACACGGGCCAACTTTCCGTTGGAGCGGACCAATCGTCCCTATTGGCGCATTCCGTTGGAGCGAACCAATCGTCGCGCGGAACGCCATGCGCTTCAAATTTTCGACATTTAAATTGAAATGAGACAAAAAGCTGGATATGAAACTTCCAAGTTATAGATAATCAAAGATTACGAATCACTAATTAATCTCTCGCGAATTCATTTCTCCTTTATTTCATTTACGCAAATTATGTCAATACTGACACAGAGCCACGCGTGTAAACAGTATTTAACTGTAAAAAAAGTTCATCTTTCAAATCGAGCTCTTTTCATAACACGAGATTTTACATGCCAGTGTCATAAAATTTCCACTTCAAAGGAAAAAAAAACAGGTTTAATTCCAAAGAAAGAAGTTCCACTTTACAGGAAAAAAAAAAGTTCCACCTTGCGCGTCGCACCCATTCCCTTTTCTTTTTTTAATCCCGACTGACCGCGAGTCCCCAGTGAATAGTGACGAGTTAAAAGTTATGTGAAATTTTTTATTGTATCGTATATGTACAAAATTGGTGTACAGCAACTACCAATCGCACGGACGCGACGTGCACCGTACAAGCATCCGTGTCTCATGGAGTATGCCTGCAACCCCCTTTTTTTCTTTTCTCCCATGTCTTCTATTACCTTTCAATTAAACTGGAATGAATGCCGAACGATGACACACAAATACGCTCCTTCTATCAGTGTTTAAATCGTTTATTAGCTAGTAGACGCGCGATACCGTGGGTGCCTTTTTCTTTGGAATAGCGATCGCAAACCACGTCCCTTCGGTTTAAACGCCACGGAGGATAGAGGATAACTTATTGGACACTTTCTCGTTCGTTTCGCCGACAAGATGGACTTGGAACTCCGTCAAAAATTCGATTTACAAGAGGCCTCCCGCCGGGTTGCCGTTTGAATCGCCCGCCAGGCGCGGCCCAACGGAAAGGGCCAATGGGAAGCGCGGTCCATTCCGTTGGAGCGCTCGAGCCGGGCGAACCAACGGAAGGGGCAGGATTTCCGGCCGAGGGGAAACACTCTCGCCAGAGGCGGGACTTTTGAAACGCCAATTCGATAACTATCGATATATCCTTTCGCCGATGCGTTTTCGCCACACGGGGAAAAAAAATCGCCTAGAACGCACCTAAAGCTACTATACAACTTACTGCATACAGCAAATCGCTGTAAAAGAAAAAAATCGGAATAATTTTAACTACAGCAAAAAAACACGGAGGGACGAGCACATGCTTCCACGTTAAAGATGTATACATTGTACATTCACACTTGGCTACAATCTCGGTATACAATTTTCTTCCCAAATTTGAATAAGCGAATGAACACTTGTAACTTCTGTGTATCCTTTTTTTTTTTGCCAACCATGTAATATAGTTCTTCTAACGTGAATTACGAATCACTAATTTGTAAAACTGCCAGCTGATATTTACTCTTGATCCAAAATATTTACAGTATGTACGTAAGCTTAGAGTAAAGAGACGCAGTGCCTCGGTTGAGATCTATGAACTTGTTCGAAGCACAGTACGTCAGCTTTAAAATGAAACCTCATAAAATCTGAAGAATATACATGTAACGGTGAAACATCCCTTTTCTTTATCATTATCTTACAATGAACGAGATATTTTACAGCTTGTGCTGATTCCTTCATCTCCACGGTCACTTTATAGCTTTTATGAAATTCCATTTTAAAACTGGACGTCACAGTCTATATACAGTTCCCATGTTGCCATAAACATCGTAGATCAAACATACAAGTTAATGGCACAATGCACATTAAATAATGATCTGTATCTGTATCTTTGGAATTTGGCTCAGCAGTTTGAGCCCAGGACCAAAAGTTTTTAAATAAATAAGTGACATTTTGCGGTCGGCATAAAAAAGGAAACGTACATTAGTTACAAATACAACATTCATATGTTCGTTCGCGTATTCGAATTTGGCAAGATTGTATAGAGGTTGCAGCCAAGTACATACAATGTTTATATACGGCGTTAAAACGAAAACATGTCGTTCGTTTTCCTCGTTCTCGTCGCGAAAGGATTGGAATCGGTCCAATATTAATTTTTTTTACCAGCTCGCAGCAAAATTGAGAGCCAATTGGCGTTTTGTAATATGCAGAAAGTGAAAATGTAGCTTCAACACGGCAAACTTTTGCGATCGCACCCTCGTACGAACATTGGACGAGAAACAAGCCTCGTTCGATGTTTTTACAAAAGGCCTAGCGTAGTCAAGGAGAAGACAAGAACGTAACTCTACGTGCGACTGGATTTTACTTCCGAATTTACGGTCCCCGGGGTGTTATCTCATACGACCGTAATCTCGATCGTCCTTATAAAATCGCACCAACGCTCCGGAGTTAACAATTTCGAGTGATACAACTACTTCGGTGGGTGCACCGAGTGAACTTGGCTTCGTTAGAATTTAAAACAGAGGCGATGACACTCTTGCCGAAATCGATCCACGTTACATCCACTGTGTGTACACAAGGGAGGAATTAAAACTCGACGACAGGCTGCACCTTCACTGTTGACGAGACAAGTGACAGCTTGTCGATGGTTCTCTTCTCCGCTTGGGTCTGACATTTCTGTCCGACTGTCAAGCCTGGCGAGGTTGTATGGAATGACCAATGCACATTCAAACACGTTCGCTGTGTAACTGCGTTAAGTAATAAGATCGATGGGTTTTTTGGCCCTAATAATAAAAGTCAACGGAAAGGTATCTCTTACGAGGATCGTCCAATTCGCACCCGTTCTCTCCTTGCATCGAGAAATGCAAACTCTTTGTTACGGGAGATAAATATTACGTACCTAAGTTCATACAAACCGTCCAAGAGAGTTGGACCTTCTATCTAATGATTAAAAATAAAATTAAAAAAAAAAAAAAGAAGAATCGTACTCCCTCCTCTGGGATAATTAAAATTAAATTCAAAATTCTCAAGGTTTACCGATGTCTGGAAGATCAAATATCGAGGTCTGGACAAACTTCTCTCGACGGACCTCGCTCCTGTTGCATTTGAATGTGCATAAGCCCGAAAGGTGGGCTTCTCTTTAACTTTGCTATTGCTCGCGAGTTTGATTTTGGCCCTGCTTTGACTCATTTTTTTTTAAAATGTGGGATGCAACACTCGACATGATAATGAGAATTCAGTGAAATGATGATTGACTCGCAGGAATGCGGATGATGGTGAGGACTTACGTTTAACGGCCTAACTTAAGTGTGTAGTCTGTGTCGGGTGTGTGTTTTGTGTGTTTCGGGGCGTAAGGCTAGCGCTTATTTTTTCTTGTTCTTGTTGGCTTGATTTTTGTTTTTGGCCGCGGTTATCAGTTTGGCACTCTTCTTCTTAGGTTCGTCCTCGTCGTCATCTTCGTCTTCAGGATCCTGAATCGTAAACAGAACAATGATTCGTTGTAGCTTAAATTACACCTACGAAATTGTTGTTTCAACAACCGATGACAAAAACATGAATTAGAATCTGTACGAATGGAATAAATAATTATTACGCCCTGATATTATTGTATTTTAAGTATAAGGTACTTGTTCGGTCATTCGGGGCGTTTAAAATGCTGCTTTATAAAACTGCTGCCAAGATGGAGAAACAGGAAACATGAAGTGATAATAAACTGAACGAAAGTGAAAGTTAAAACAATGTCTTTTATTATGCAAAAATAAAACAACCTCTCTTCAGAACATTAGAATAAGAAATAGATATGACATCCGCAGGGTAACGGACAGTTACTCAAATAATAACTTTTTAACACTGTCCAAAGTTTAAGTGTAATTAGATATAAAATAATCCGATCGCGTTTGGAATTCAGTGACATTGAAAAGATAAACTTCGATGGCAGTTAATGTAAACTCACTACTTGTCTACGGCTTCGTCTATCTTGGCACGTTTGGTATTATTTTTTTTAACCTCCGGAGATTGTTTTCGTTTCTTCGCTGGTGTCTGAAACTGTCATTTTGAAAAAAAAAAAGAAAAAAAAATATTCAAGATAGTTTCTTGTGCAAAAACATGAATAAAGTATAAGACTGTCTTTAAGCTTTAATACTTCAAGATTTAATAACTTCAATGTCATGATCGTTTCAATAAAGGAAATTCAGTGTCTTTTAGAGCAATAAAATTTTTCTTGTCTTTCTAACAAACAGGTTACTTGTTCTGGTTAATCTCATTCCGAATGCAATGATTAAGCAAAAATCCAGAATTTAAAAAAAAAAAGGAATACAATGATTACTGGCACAGTTCATGCTTTGATGTGATACAAAATATTTCTGATGAAAAGAATAACAAAAGTGCAATGAGGAATTAATGTACCTTCTCGTCATCCTCATCGTCAATGTTTTCTTCTTCCATTTCATCTTCCATATCATCAAACTCCTCCATGTGTGTACCTGAAGAAAAAGATTACGCGTGAATTGAAAGAAAATATAAATTCTAAGAGAAAAAAAAAAATAGTCATTGAGAGATTAGAACAATATTGAATGGTTTATGCATACATCGAGGATATACATTAAACAGGATTCGGGCAGACTTTTTATCTTAATGCTCAAAACGTAGTCATAAATATGATCAATGTACGTACAAAATTAACAAATATTGTATTTAATAAGTTCTCTTGCTTACCCAGAAGATTGTGTCCTACTATGTGTACTGGCCCGCTTCCTTTTACCAACGTGAAAGTCACTGGAGGGTCAGGAAAACTCAAATCGAGAATAATTTGTGCCGTCTTTCCCATTTCCAACAGAGCGATTGGCGTCTTGATCGGCCCTTTCAGTCCCATCGCTTCTACTTGAAGGACGTTTAATTCACCCATTTTTGCTTCTGGCCCTAACAGTGCCTGAAAAAATCAAAATCACTGTAAACCATTCCATTCAGACAGCATTTATCAACATTAAAATAAAATTGGTTAACCAAACTGCCGTTCGAGATACATAAAGCAATATATACGGCAAAGTATTAAAACCAATTTTATATCATGCATAAAGATAACCTAACCTAACTAAAAGCATAAAATTCTCAACATCAAAGCAGTCAATCACATATATCACACCTCTTAGCCTCGATCAAAATTCTTGCATAAGTTCAACTTTTCTACAGGACTATATCATAAGAAACTACATTATCACATCTTCGAATCGTCGGCAAAGAAAACAAGTGATCACTAAGAAAAGACAGAGCGGAGAGAAAACCGACTCTACGGTTCAAAAAACCTTTCAAGCCGTGCGTTCATAAATCTAAAAAATTGCAGTAAACCATTTGGTTCTGATAACATTTCCACTAGGAATGAAAATTGGTTACTAAAACTATAGTTTGATACGTAAAGCAATTTATATGGTAAAGTGCTTAAATGAATTTTACATCATGCATAAAGGTAACGTAACCTAACTATAAGCATGGAAATTCCCAACATAAAAGTGATCAATCACTTATACACGTACTATATTTTATAACTTCGACCAAAACTCTGTTATAAGTTCAGCCTTTCTATAGGAATATAATACAAGAAACAATATTATAGCAGCTCTGAATTTTCGTTCAAGAAAACGAACGCCCCAGTCCCGAAGGAAAACTTAGCGAAGCCGAGAGAAAAAGCAGCACAACCCATTAACTCTGTGGTTCGGAAGGATCTTTCTGACCATGCGTTCATAAATCTAAAATTACCATTTTGATAATGAGCTTCTGATCGACGCCGAAATGCTGGTTGGTGCCATCCGCGTCATCGTTCTTGTGCTCAGGGTCCCAGATCTCGCTGGAGTTGACTCCCTCGAGGGTGATTCCTGCGAGGTGGAAGAAAGATTTACGCACCTTCAGCACTTTCCGCGTTTATTCCAATCCGACTCGAATCCCGATCGGACACGTTTCGAGCCCAGGAAACAGAGTAATCCCGCGGGACAATAGAGCAATAGGCTCGTCACAATGGCCGAAGCAGTGCCGGCGTCTCGGGCATCGCCATGGCATCGCAGCGAACTGGCTTCAACCGCGTTTTTCGGCAAAAGTAGCCAACAAGAAGCCACAATAAATACGCCAGAGGAAGCCGGTGCTCCAGGCGAGTGATACTTACCGTACAGGTACTCTTCTGCCATGGCGATCGGCTTGATTTCGGCGGATTCTGAGGACGGTCGCGCGAAGACCGAGAAAGCGAGCAGACCAAGGAGGACTCTGGGGACGATGCTACAGGATGCCGCGCGCGCGCAACTAACCGCGGTTACACCGGTTACGCCACGGGTTCGAATTCGACTCGGGTGGCGTCGTATATACTCGGCTGCGGTCGTATACGTCTCACGTGCTACTCGAGGAGAAACGGCGCGCGCTGCCCGATTCGGCCTGTGATTGGCGGAGGCCGCCAAGATGGCGGCACCCCATGCAGCCAATCACAGAGCCGGATTTCCGGATCTCGACGCTCATTGGCTGAGGCGTTAAACCGACCCGCATCAACGCTCCTTCCATGAATCAACTGCCGTGGGGACGGCGAATGTGAAACCCTCTGGGGAGAATGTCGCTCTGAAGTGTCCATATTAGGCGTTGATAAAGAAGGAAGATTCCTCTCGCCATCTTGCGATAGAAGACGAAACTAAGGGTATCATTACTGTTCTTTCATACCGATAGACACCCGGCGTCGGCAGACAGCTGTAATTAATTAAATTGCCGTTGGCTCAGAGTCAAGTTGCTCGCGTTTGGCATTCGAGGCGAAGACTAGTCCCGGCTTAACGGGATCCCCAAGGCCTTTTAATGTTTACGGAATTCCCGAGAATCGGTAAGAAGAGCACCCAAGGATTCCCTTCCATCCGGGGCGCGATTCTCCTCCTGGATGGGTAGAAATACCGTTTTGGACTCTATAAAACCCTTATTAGAAAACCATAGAAAAACTCCTGTAAAAGGGAGTTCGATTTTTGAAAGAATCCCGCCCACAAAATGGCGGCCTATTCGCCGGCTCAGAAGCCCTCCAGTATCTATTCTCGGCCACCCGGAAAGTTCGGTTTATTTTAGCCGCTTTTTTCGAAGCACACGAACACTCGGCCTGGGGATCGGACCACGGGAAGCATTGCGAATCGATGTCTCGATCGATTCCCGAGACGCGATGGCCGAGTAAGTTCAGTTCTTTCCCCGAGTCGCCGCGAAAAGTCGGGCAAAAGCCGACCTTGAGGTTCTACATTTTCGTGAAATATCGCGAACCGTCGCACAGCTTAAAAAGCTCATCAAAGTCAGTGAGAATTTACGCCTCGGGCAAACCATACGCGCTTCTTTTGGTTCCACCTAAAATCTAACACTCTCCAAGAAAAGAAACAAAATGGCCGCCGCGCAAGAAACGGACCCGCAACCATTATCGTTATAAAAGAGTTCCCTAACACCAGGTTAAACCAGAAGACTCATGAAATCAGGGGGAAATTAAAGGAAAAACATAAGATAATAATTCCCTGCGTGCATATCGTGACTCTAAGGTACCTTACTAAATTTTTGATGTTACGTAAAGAAAAATTCCGATACATGAATGCGGGATTTAACGATGATCCTTTTTCTTTTTTTGTTTTTGGTTTCCTTTAAGCGAAGAGTTTTCTGTTCCAAGAGTGATGAGTATTTCCCTTTGATTTCACCCCGTTCCTTTTTTCGGCTGGGATTTTTTCCATCTGGGGAATTGACCTTCCTGGGGATTTTTCATCTGCTTTCCGGGGAACCCCGGTCTTGACTTGGCGCGATGGACACGAGAAGACTCTCCACCTGGAACGTGCTCAGCGTGGAGGCTGCTCTGCAACAGTTGAACGTCTACGAGGCTGATGGGACCGAAAAGATAATACCCTTTAGATATAACACGGTGAGAGGCTTTTACGTGTGGATAACTACTCGTGTGCTCGGTGTTTGCCAGAATAATAATGCCAGAATAATACATGCAACACCCGGGAATGCCAGTCGGTGACGTAACGGCGTGGGTGCAGGGCGAGAGCTACGAGGTCGATTCTTGAAAATTATCGTTGCATGCTCGAAATGCATTCATTAAGAAAAAAATTATCGCCCCGAATGTCGCATAATTATGAGAGCGATGAAATAAATTATTAATTGTTACGAGTCCCATGGAATTAATTATTAATAATGTAAATAACATGGGGAGAGCTGCGAGGTCGATTCTTGCAAAATATCGTTGCATGCACGAAATGCATCCAGGAAAAAAAAAATCATCGTCCTGAATAGCGCATAATTATGAGAGCGATGGAATTAATTATTAATATTGTAAATAATATGGGGAGAGCCGCGAGGTCGATTCTTGCAAATTCTCGTTGCACGTTGCGCACAAACGCAATTGCATCGAAATGCACCCCAGGAACGAGGAATCACCGTCCTGGACATTATCCAATTACGAGCCCCGTGGAATTAATTATTAACTACGCGGAAGAGGATTATGTCCGTCCCATTGTATCTCGGACAGATATTACACAACAGAAATTAATTAATTTATTCGTATATATTTCAATTATATATATATAATATACAATAATTAATTTATTCGTATATATTTCAATTATATATATATAATATACAATAATTAATTTATTCGTATATATTTCAATTATATATATATAATATACAATAATTAATTTATTCGTATATATTTCAATTATATATATATAATATACAATAATTAATTTATTCGTATATATTTCAATTATATATATATAATATACAATAATTAATTTATTCGTATATATTTCAATTATATATATATAATATACAATAATTAATTTATTCGTATATATTTCAATTATATATATATAATATACAATAATTAATTTATTCGTATATATTTCAATTATATATATATAATATACAATAATTAATTTATTCGTATATATTTCAATTATATATATATAATATACAATAATTAATTTATTCGTATATATTTCAATTATATATATATAATATACAATAATTAATTTATTCGTATATATTTCAATTATATATATATAATATACAATAATTAATTTATTCGTATATATTTCAATTATATATATATAATATACAATAATTAATTTATTCGTATATATTTCAATTATATATATATAATATACAATAATTAATTTATTCGTATATATTTCAATTATATATATATAATATACAATAATTAATTTATTCGTATATATTTCAATTATATATATATAATATACAATAATTAATTTATTCGTATATATTTCAATTATATATATATAATATACAATAATTAATTTATTCGTATATATTTCAATTATATATATATAATATACAATAATTAATTTATTCGTATATATTTCAATTATATATATATAATATACAATAATTAATTTATTCGTATATATTTCAATTATATATATATAATATACAATAATTAATTTATTCGTATATATTTCAATTATATATATATAATATACAATAATTAATTTATTCGTATATATTTCAATTATATATATATAATATACAATAATTAATTTATTCGTATATATTTCAATTATATATATATAATATACAATAATTAATTTATTCGTATATATTTCAATTATATATATATAATATACAATAATTAATTTATTCGTATATATTTCAATTATATATATATAATATACAATAATTAATTTATTCGTATATATTTCAATTATATATATATAATATACAATAATTAATTTATTCGTATATATTTCAATTATATATATATAATATACAATAATTAATTTATTCGTATATATTTCAATTATATATATATAATATACAATAATTAATTTATTCGTATATATTTCAATTATATATATATAATATACAATAATTAATTTATTCGTATATATTTCAATTATATATATATAATATACAATAATTAATTTATTCGTATATATTTCAATTATATATATATAATATACAATAATTAATTTATTCGTATATATTTCAATTATATATATATAATATACAATAATTAATTTATTCGTATATATTTCAATTATATATATATAATATACAATAATTAATTTATTCGTATATATTTCAATTATATATATATAATATACAATAATTAATTTATTCGTATATATTTCAATTATATATATATAATATACAATAATTAATTTATTCGTATATATTTCAATTATATATATATAATATACAATAATTAATTTATTCGTATATATTTCAATTATATATATATAATATACAATAATTAATTTATTCGTATATATTTCAATTATATATATATAATATACAATAATTAATTTATTCGTATATATTTCAATTATATATATATAATATACAATAATTAATTTATTCGTATATATTTCAATTATATATATATAATATACAATAATTAATTTATTCGTATATATTTCAATTATATATATATAATATACAATAATTAATTTATTCGTATATATTTCAATTATATATATATAATATACAATAATTAATTTATTCGTATATATTTCAATTATATATATATAATATACAATAATTAATTTATTCGTATATATTTCAATTATATATATATAATATACAATAATTAATTTATTCGTATATATTTCAATTATATATATATAATATACAATAATTAATTTATTCGTATATATTTCAATTATATATATATAATATACAATAATTAATTTATTCGTATATATTTCAATTATATATATATAATATACAATAATTAATTTATTCGTATATATTTCAATTATATATATATAATATACAATAATTAATTTATTCGTATATATTTCAATTATATATATATAATATACAATAATTAATTTATTCGTATATATTTCAATTATATATATATAATATACAATAATTAATTTATTCGTATATATTTCAATTATATATATATAATATACAATAATTAATTTATTCGTATATATTTCAATTATATATATATAATATACAATAATTAATTTATTCGTATATATTTCAATTATATATATATAATATACAATAATTAATTTATTCGTATATATTTCAATTATATATATATAATATACAATAATTAATTTATTCGTATATATTTCAATTATATATATATAATATACAATAATTAATTTATTCGTATATATTTCAATTATATATATATAATATACAATAATTAATTTATTCGTATATATTTCAATTATATATATATAATATACAATAATTAATTTATTCGTATATATTTCAATTATATATATATAATATACAATAATTAATTTATTCGTATATATTTCAATTATATATATATAATATACAATAATTAATTTATTCGTATATATTTCAATTATATATATATAATATACAATAATTAATTTATTCGTATATATTTCAATTATATATATATAATATACAATAATTAATTTATTCGTATATATTTCAATTATATATATATAATATACAATAATTAATTTATTCGTATATATTTCAATTATATATATATAATATACAATAATTAATTTATTCGTATATATTTCAATTATATATATATAATATACAATAATTAATTTATTCGTATATATTTCAATTATATATATATAATATACAATAATTAATTTATTCGTATATATTTCAATTATATATATATAATATACAATAATTAATTTATTCGTATATATTTCAATTATATATATATAATATACAATAATTAATTTATTCGTATATATTTCAATTATATATATATAATATACAATAATTAATTTATTCGTATATATTTCAATTATATATATATAATATACAATAATTAATTTATTCGTATATATTTCAATTATATATATATAATATACAATAATTAATTTATTCGTATATATTTCAATTATATATATATAATATACAATAATTAATTTATTCGTATATATTTCAATTATATATATATAATATACAATAATTAATTTATTCGTATATATTTCAATTATATATATATAATATACAATAATTAATTTATTCGTATATATTTCAATTATATATATATAATATACAATAATTAATTTATTCGTATATATTTCAATTATATATATATAATATACAATAATTAATTTATTCGTATATATTTCAATTATATATATATAATATACAATAATTAATTTATTCGTATATATTTCAATTATATATATATAATATACAATAATTAATTTATTCGTATATATTTCAATTATATATATATAATATACAATAATTAATTTATTCGTATATATTTCAATTATATATATATAATATACAATAATTAATTTATTCGTATATATTTCAATTATATATATATAATATACAATAATTAATTTATTCGTATATATTTCAATTATATATATATAATATACAATAATTAATTTATTCGTATATATTTCAATTATATATATATAATATACAATAATTAATTTATTCGTATATATTTCAATTATATATATATAATATACAATAATTAATTTATTCGTATATATTTCAATTATATATATATAATATACAATAATTAATTTATTCGTATATATTTCAATTATATATATATAATATACAATAATTAATTTATTCGTATATATTTCAATTATATATATATAATATACAATAATTAATTTATTCGTATATATTTCAATTATATATATATAATATACAATAATTAATTTATTCGTATATATTTCAATTATATATATATAATATACAATAATTAATTTATTCGTATATATTTCAATTATATATATATAATATACAATAATTAATTTATTCGTATATATTTCAATTATATATATATAATATACAATAATTAATTTATTCGTATATATTTCAATTATATATATATAATATACAATAATTAATTTATTCGTATATATTTCAATTATATATATATAATATACAATAATTAATTTATTCGTATATATTTCAATTATATATATATAATATACAATAATTAATTTATTCGTATATATTTCAATTATATATATATAATATACAATAATTAATTTATTCGTATATATTTCAATTATATATATATAATATACAATAATTAATTTATTCGTATATATTTCAATTATATATATATAATATACAATAATTAATTTATTCGTATATATTTCAATTATATATATATAATATACAATAATTAATTTATTCGTATATATTTCAATTATATATATATAATATACAATAATTAATTTATTCGTATATATTTCAATTATATATATATAATATACAATAATTAATTTATTCGTATATATTTCAATTATATATATATAATATACAATAATTAATTTATTCGTATATATTTCAATTATATATATATAATATACAATAATTAATTTATTCGTATATATTTCAATTATATATATATAATATACAATAATTAATTTATTCGTATATATTTCAATTATATATATATAATATACAATAATTAATTTATTCGTATATATTTCAATTATATATATATAATATACAATAATTAATTTATTCGTATATATTTCAATTATATATATATAATATACAATAATTAATTTATTCGTATATATTTCAATTATATATATATAATATACAATAATTAATTTATTCGTATATATTTCAATTATATATATATAATATACAATAATTAATTTATTCGTATATATTTCAATTATATATATATAATATACAATAATTAATTTATTCGTATATATTTCAATTATATATATATAATATACAATAATTAATTTATTCGTATATATTTCAATTATATATATATAATATACAATAATTAATTTATTCGTATATATTTCAATTATATATATATAATATACAATAATTAATTTATTCGTATATATTTCAATTATATATATATAATATACAATAATTAATTTATTCGTATATATTTCAATTATATATATATAATATACAATAATTAATTTATTCGTATATATTTCAATTATATATATATAATATACAATAATTAATTTATTCGTATATATTTCAATTATATATATATAATATACAATAATTAATTTATTCGTATATATTTCAATTATATATATATAATATACAATAATTAATTTATTCGTATATATTTCAATTATATATATATAATATACAATAATTAATTTATTCGTATATATTTCAATTATATATATATAATATACAATAATTAATTTATTCGTATATATTTCAATTATATATATATAATATACAATAATTAATTTATTCGTATATATTTCAATTATATATATATAATATACAATAATTAATTTATTCGTATATATTTCAATTATATATATATAATATACAATAATTAATTTATTCGTATATATTTCAATTATATATATATAATATACAATAATTAATTTATTCGTATATATTTCAATTATATATATATAATATACAATAATTAATTTATTCGTATATATTTCAATTATATATATATAATATACAATAATTAATTTATTCGTATATATTTCAATTATATATATATAATATACAATAATTAATTTATTCGTATATATTTCAATTATATATATATAATATACAATAATTAATTTATTCGTATATATTTCAATTATATATATATAATATACAATAATTAATTTATTCGTATATATTTCAATTATATATATATAATATACAATAATTAATTTATTCGTATATATTTCAATTATATATATATAATATACAATAATTAATTTATTCGTATATATTTCAATTATATATATATAATATACAATAATTAATTTATTCGTATATATTTCAATTATATATATATAATATACAATAATTAATTTATTCGTATATATTTCAATTATATATATATAATATACAATAATTAATTTATTCGTATATATTTCAATTATATATATATAATATACAATAATTAATTTATTCGTATATATTTCAATTATATATATATAATATACAATAATTAATTTATTCGTATATATTTCAATTATATATATATAATATACAATAATTAATTTATTCGTATATATTTCAATTATATATATATAATATACAATAATTAATTTATTCGTATATATTTCAATTATATATATATAATATACAATAATTAATTTATTCGTATATATTTCAATTATATATATATAATATACAATAATTAATTTATTCGTATATATTTCAATTATATATATATAATATACAATAATTAATTTATTCGTATATATTTCAATTATATATATATAATATACAATAATTAATTTATTCGTATATATTTCAATTATATATATATAATATACAATAATTAATTTATTCGTATATATTTCAATTATATATATATAATATACAATAATTAATTTATTCGTATATATTTCAATTATATATATATAATATACAATAATTAATTTATTCGTATATATTTCAATTATATATATATAATATACAATAATTAATTTATTCGTATATATTTCAATTATATATATATAATATACAATAATTAATTTATTCGTATATATTTCAATTATATATATATAATATACAATAATTAATTTATTCGTATATATTTCAATTATATATATATAATATACAATAATTAATTTATTCGTATATATTTCAAACGCCGAGAAAAAGAAGAGGTCCTTTTAAGGAAATTGCTTCTTTGAATGGAGTTAAAGAAACTGTGGCATAAAATTAAAAACTGAAATTTCATAAGCATCGCGTTCTTACTTAGGGCTTTCATGAACACGTGGGAGAAATTTCAAATGATTCGATGCACCCAGTTTGGAGAAGACGCTTATACATCTAAAATGATCCTTTCATATCACCTGGGTAATCACTCTGTTATCATCCCTATATCAAGACTTCAATCCCCGAGCTTGAATCTCGATATCTCGATTCATGTAGAGATCAATTATCGGTTATCAATTAAATTGACAAGAAGAGGCCCGGTCGGAGTTGTTCCTCCGATTTGGCAAAGAAGCTCGTAGACGAAGATGTCGATAGCGGGTGCCTATTTTGGCATGCTGCCTGCCTTTATTTATAACTAATTAAAGCTTGACTCAGTACCGAGTGTCCATCCCTGGTAGTACGAGGTGTATGCTAAGGCAATCGCCAGTTTGGCCGCGAGTTAGGAATCCCGAAAACTTAACAGTACGAAATCCCGCGATCGGTCCTCCGAGTTAATTTTCCGAAAAAATAAATGGAAAAGCAATTGACTCGCCGGTAATTTTTTTTCAATTTTGGGATCGACCAGGAAGAATCTTCAGGGACACGTGACTATAATTGCACGATAGGACGATCGAAGGCCTTTTGGCAAATATCGTCGAGTTGATCGGCGGTTTTGGGAGCGCACTTAGTCTCTCCCTGACATACGGAGCATGTAAAACTCGACATGACGACTTGGACGCAATTAAACGTCGAGCATGCCACCAGTGCTATATCGAGGGAAGATCTTCATGGCAGTGTCAGAAATCGAAAAACCACGGTAAATCGATCGATTTAACGACGGGGATCGATTACCCAACCTTGACATCGTGATCTTGAATTCCTACTAAAAGGGAAAAACTTTTTTTTTACAAGTTTCATAAATTCTAGTTTAATTGCGAACCTTTTAATTCCTGGGTTTAATTGGGAATTTCTGTACATCTTTTAGTTTAATGGGGAATTTTTATATATTCTTTAGTTTAATCGCGAGCTTTTAGAATTGCAGTTAAATTGCGCATTCCTGAATCTTTACAGAGAAATGCGAAAAAAAAATTTACATGGTTCTTACAAGTTTTTGCAACCTTTAAATATTTCACTGACGCGACTGAGATGCATTCCTGAATATGTAAAGAAAATTAACAAAAAAATGGTAAAGTCTGCACCGTTTTCGGGAATTTTTATATTTATTTCTAAATCCAATACGGCAATCATTTGAAACGGCCCGCGGGAATGTCGCATGTAAAAGGCGATAGAAAATGCAAATTTCCGATAACGACAGATCCAGCGGTTTCGCCCGCGGAGGAAATTAACAGGGCGCGATAAAAAAAGAATCGGTTCGGAACTGTCAAACGACTTTACATGGATTGACACCCCAGTCGGCATGGAAATATTTCCCCTCCCTTGGAAAAACGTTTTCCATGGAAATCGCGACGGTTAGTGCGGTAAAGGGTTAGCCGTGACTTACCCCTGGTGATAACAGATAACGAGATAACACCGCATCGAATCAACCGAGGACGAAGCCCTACAAATCTTGTCGGTGAAGCTTCGGTTGAAGGGTATTAACATTTTCCACGTGACATTGTTGGCCTGGGTGTAGAATTGACTGCAACAAATCGTTTACAGGGTGGTTAAAAAAAAATGCGCCATAATAATTTATTATCAATTTTTAAGTACATATGAGATTAACTCTGGCGATTGTAAATATCTTTGTCGAGTAAATTCGAAATCATTTTTTTTTCCTAATACTAGAAAATGCGCTTGATAACCATATGCAATATTTTTCAAATTTGAAATTAAAAACAGAATTTTGAAGGGAGGAGAAAAATCGGAATTAAAAATCTGATAAATTGTAATTTATCCGTAATTGTTTATTTCTTAATGAGAGGTACCTTGCGCCGAGTAATTAATTGCCGTGAGATTTGTGCCAAATATTTGCGAAAGGTAACACGTGTCGAGGAAGTTCGCCCAGGGGCGGCAAAAATTCGTGCAAAACAATTCCCCAGGCGTGAATAAAATTTTTTTTCCATATCTCTGTTAAGGTAATTTCAAAATTAAACAAGCAGACGTTCCCCCGGCAATACACGAGCATAAACAATTAAAAATAAAAACTGTTGGGATTCTGACCCGCACATAAAATGCAATAAACATTCTAAACTTAGAATTCAAAATTTTGAAATTCCACCGTGGACTGGAAAAAGCCTTTTTCTCGTTTCCCTCCCGACGTCCAAACCCAGGGTACAGAAATTCAAAATTTTCATTCACAATCCAGACCCTTGGATTTCAAGATTAATTTTATTATTTTATTATTTTCCCTGGAGTCTGATAATTTATTTAAGAACTTCGAAACGAGGGAATTACTTCCACAGCGAGGTCATACGATTTGTGGGAAATATTTGCAAAAGGAGACACGTGTCGCGGAGGTGCGGTCAGGGGCGGGAAAAATTGGCGCTAATCAGGGAGGGCCCCGGGGGTGAACGGAGTGAATGGGGCAGGAGGGGTTAAAATTAAATTTTGTCCATGGCTCTGCTCAGGTGGGGTTAAAATTAAGTACCACCAAGTCTCTGGGTATATTTAGGCCGGGGCGCGTGCGCAGTAGATCGGATTAACCGGCGCAGAAACTTGTCGACTGCTTCGAATATTTCAGTGCGGCCCTTCCGGAGCGGTTCGCTTCCTCATGGGCAAAGAGGCCCTCGATTCGGTTTCCAGTGAGATTTGACGAGGTCGCACCTTTCGTCCACGTGGTATACCCAAAACCGTAAAAAATGGACCTCGGAGGCGTCGACGTTTGGGGCCAGATCGCCTTAGAGACGTCCCAAATGTACGTTTCCGAGGGCGGTGTCATTAAAAGTCGTTTCGCTGGAACAGTAAGTCTAATGTCGGAAAGGGATTTATTAGTTCCTATGAAAAGTGCTGGGAATTTAAAGAAAAAATTCATAACCCCTCGGCTACCTATAGCGCCGACGTTCGGTCCAATATTGCCTGCCCGGTCAGACGAATTTCGCCCGTATGTCGAAATGGCTCCGTATTCAAGGGTTAAACAGATTTTCAGATTTCGAGATTCTTAATGAGAATAATTTCCACGAAGTTGTGCGGAGGAGAAGAAACGAAAAAAGTGGCTTTCGGGTGTCTTGGAGTCCTATTTTTCAATTTTTAAAAGTAAACCAGAGTATAGGTTTCAGAGGGAGGGAAATGGTGATAAGAAGGAACCATTAAGTATTTAGTATTTTTATCTTGAAATATTAATAATGGGTTGTTTCAAGCCTTGTATTCTTTTTTATTAATTAAGTATAGAAGGTTTTGACACGAGAGGCATTTTTCATTTCTATCGATGGACTCGGAAAACTCGGTAGAGTATCGCGCCAAGTACATGCACACTTGCGGGGGTATTAAAAATATAATTCACGGTTCTAGTGGTGGGCTTCGAGGAGTAACTTTGAGTGTTTCATTTTCCAGACTATAGAGAAGCTTCCTGATAAGGTGATTTTGAACATCTTCAGTTATCTGCCCCACCGAGAAATCTGCAGATTGGCGCGAGTCTGCAAAAGATGGCGGCAAATAGCTTACGACACTCGTTTGTGGAAACACGTGTCATTGAGACCAGAAATCAGTGGCCTTCACGTAGGATCCCTGGAAAATCTCCTCCAGCTGATAAGGTAATAAATAAAAGTTGAAAAAATAAATTTGACCTAATGATTTTATGAATTTCTCCTATACACAAGTATATTAAATATATAATACATGTTCATAATCTGTGATAAAATTAGTACGCCGAATATAAAGCTTCCAAATTATGTTATAAAATGGCATTTCTTTTTTTTTTTTTTAATAAGTTATCTTTACATTTTATTTTCCATTTTCCAGTGTTCGATTTGGACCTTCCCTGAGGTACATCGAATTGCCTATCGAGTTGATAACTCACACGGTGCTTCACGAATTGGCGAATAAATGTCCGAATCTCACGCACATGCTCCTCGATTTTTCCACCGCGATGCAGTTGCACGATTTCTCGGAGATGCAGGCATTTCCGACCAAACTTAAGTACATGTGCATCTGCCTGTCCGAGGTGATCTTCATGGAGGGCTTCATGAGGAAGATCTACAACTTCATCAACGGCTTGGAGATCCTCCACCTGATAGGTATAGGGGAAAGTTACTAGACGCATACTACACTGAAAAGAAAGTAGCTAGATGCGCCTGGTTGAAAGATTGACCCTTTGAACACGGAGCCATTTCGACATAAGGGCGAAATTCCTCCGACCGTGCATGCAATATTGGACCAAACGTCGGGCGCCTTTAGGCGCTCTTAGTAGCCGATTAACTTGATCGACGTCGATAAAAATGATTTTTCTAAATATCTACTTTGCCGACGTTGGTTTTGACATTGACAGCTGTGTCGATTTATATTGGGCATTGTACCTAAATGGCGCACTCCACCTGTCTTTTTCCTACAATAGTTATAATAGTAGTAATAAGTGCCTAAAGAATTTTTTTCTCTTATTAAAAATTCAAGATTAATTGTGTTAAATGTCGTTTAATATTTCTAGGTACTTATGAGAAGGTCGAGGAGGAAGAGGAGGAGATCTATGAAGTGATAAACGTTCACAAGCTGAAGTCGGCCACTCCGAATCTCCGGGTTATTAATTTGTATGGTATTAATTTCGTCGACGACTCGCATATAGATGCGTTCTCATCGAATTGCATCCAGCTGGAGTGCCTGGCAGTCAATTTCTGTGCTAAAGTGACCGGATCGACCATGAAGACCCTTTTCCAGCGCAGCAGGAGATTGACGTGTCTGTTGATGCAGGGAACCAGTGAGTCCTAATCTCTATTATCATGGTTTGGAAATCGATTAAAAATGACGTCATTGGTCCCGGTAAGAAATATCTGGGAGGCTGACCTGTCCGTTGATGAAGGGAACTAGTCCTTTTTTTTTAATATACAATCAACGTTCGCAGGTCTGCAAAGTGAGTACGTGATGCAAGTCGAGTGGGAGAAATCCAGCATCCTGGAGCTGGACGTGACCGCGACGGATCTCTCGACGGAGTGCCTCATCGACATGTTGACCAGGATCCCTGGACTGCGATTTCTCAGCGCCGGCCAATTGAACGGCTTCAACGACAGCGTGCTCAAGGCTTGGATGGAATCTGGAAACCCGAGGAATCTGATAGCCCTAGACCTGGACAGCTCCGACAATCTGAGCGACGACGCCCTGCACAAGTTCCTCTCGAGACACGGGCACCAGCTTTGGGGCATCGCCTTATCAGGGATGCCGCATATCACGGATCAGCTCTGGCAAAGTGTCCTGCCGATCCTGACCAATGCAAAGTAAAGGGATTTTTTTTTATCAACTCGGTCCCAGCGCAAAATAATTGTTTTATGTTATCTATACATCTAACGAAAATCATACATTTTTTATCAACTCGGTCTTAGCACAAAATAATTGTTTTATGTTATTTATATATGTAACGAATATCATACATTTGACAAAGTGTCCTGCCGATCCTGACCAACGCAAAGTGAAGGGATTTTTTTTTATCAACTCGGTCCTAGCGCAAAATAATTGTTTTATGTTATCTATACATCTAACGAAAATCATACATTTTTTATCAACTCGGTCCTGGCATAAAATAATTGTTTTATGTTATCTATACACCTAACGAATATCATACATTTTTTATCAACTCGGTCCTAGCGCAAAATAATTGTTTTATGTTATCTATACACCTAACGAAAATCATACATTTTTTATCAACTCGGTCCTAGCACAAAATAATTGTTTTATGTTATCTATACACCTAACGAATATCATACAGTTGACAAAGTGTCCTGCCGATCCTGACCAACGCAAAGTAAAGAGTTTTTTTTTTTATCAACTCGGCCCTAGCACAAAATAATTATCTTATATTATCTATGTATTTAACCTGTATCGCACATCTTGTAAATGTTTAGCAGACATTTGAAGTATTTGCAAAAGATTTACTTCTTAATATGTAACAGTTTTGTCATTTTCTATGTGAAACCGTATTTGATGGTTAATGTCTTTAATGGTTTTTCAGAATTGTTGTTATGGGAACTCAAGAACGTTTGGGAGTAAATATCCACGTGGACCAACTTATGGACGGCATCGCGAATAATTGTCCTAATTTGGAGCGATTGGAATTGAGATGGGATCCAGAGAATCTTCGATTTTCGGACAAGAGTCAAAAGGCTATTGACATTTTGCGGGTGAAGTGCATCAAGCTGAGATGTCTGGTCCTGAGGTACATTGCTGGAAATCATATAGTAATTTTGTATATCTCAATTTGGTATTCACTTTAACGATGTTGGATTTAGAAATTAATTTCACTTCCTCGAGGTTAGAATGTTAACGTGGTTTTGTTTATTTTTAGCGATGGCAGGTATTACGAGATTGTCAAGGCAAATTTTGAGCGAGCTGACAGAACGACAGTGGTGAGGACCACGACGTGTTCGAGGGTGACCAATTATTACCTCCTGCAGAATTATAAAGACCTGATTTTTAATTAAGGATGTCTGCAAAGACGCCATGACAGTCGAGGTCGAGTCAGACAATATGTAAGGAAAAGTGCCAAAATAAAGGCGAACGTTGTTGGAGAGAGCAGAATTTCTAACCGTCGCTGGGTGCGACTAACAATGCCGGAAAGTGGAGCGTTTTAACGATTGTTTATAAGGTTTATATAATTGTTCACCCTGAGGAAGGATCAGACGATCAGCGTGAACCCTAAAGTACAAAACCAACTAGTTTGCTTTACTCGAATATAATGTAATTAAGAAGTTGTTTAAAAGTGCCATAATAAGCATACATACGTACATAACATACGAGAAATATATTTTTCCATGCAACTAACAGTTTTCCGACTCGTGGGAAAGAAGTCCACCTTCTTTTTCACTTATGCGAGCTACCGATGTTATTTATTAATATCATCCAAGTGACATTCCTTACTTCATGAGACGCTCGTACGACTGCCTATTGTAAAAGTTGACGAAAAGCGGAGAAAAGAATAAATCATTGTTATTTAATATGATTCCCTGTAAAGTGTAAAGATATTAATAAAACGTAACACGTATATAATGTCCACGAGTATCGCCTGTGACTGTTTCGGGTTAATTAGGCGTATTAAATATCCGTTATTTGTAAAATTAGTAAAGAATTATTGTCATTCATATTTTAGCATATTTTAGACTTTTCACCAGATAGCCGATAACCGAGCTCAGAGCCTAGATAACTGAGAAGCGATCGTTTTAGTTAATTTCCCAATTGTAGGATGGCGCCACCGCTTTCGAATCTCACCGCGACGAGGCTCTAAATCCGGACAGTAAAATGGTAAATGAATTTCTTAACTCCCTACATTATTAACAGAGTGGAAACTCAAATTATAGAATTATTGAAATATTTATAAAAACGATTCAACAACCAACTGCTTGAAAATAATTTTAAGGAGAACGTGGAACCTCGTGATAACATTTTTAAGGCCACTTGAAAAAAAGAAATTGCATTCTTTAAAATCCCCACTCGAAGAAACTGCCCAAATCCAAGATGGCGTTGCCTCCTTACAAAGTAACCGTCCCTCACCTTAATCACCAGAAATACGTCACCTCGGGTGAAAATCAGCAGAAAAAGTGCAGCATACGTCAGCCTTCAGCCACAAGGATCCATGTACTCCAACTTTTCGGGAAATTCAGTAACGCGGAAGTGCAAAATCAAGTGGACAACATTCGAGGTGTGAGCGCGCACCGGACGCGGCATCAGGTACTCAGTTACAGGGACACTTTTAACGGGAAATTCCGTCCAGGGGTAGATAAAAACTCGCGAAAAAGGCTTGCAACACTTTCGCGGATAGATTGCGAGGGTGGTAGCGGGTGGATCGCGTCAAATCGTCCTCCGATCGCGCAATTCCTATCGAAAACGACGGGGCTGAGTTACGGGAAAAATGGCGTCGTTTGATACTCGTGTCGTAACGCGTTCCGTTCCGCTGTTGGAGGGTAGGAGGAGGCGAGAGGGGAAAGCGTGCGAGCGAAAAGGTAATGGCGCCCGTCGGCTTATATTTTATTATTTAATTTCACCAGGGAGGGCGTTATGAGACATGAAAAAAGTCTCGGGCGATATTGTAGGTGGATTTCGAGGGGGCGAGCGCGGCCTGGCGCCACCGGCGGCCGGTGACATTACTATTCGTTATGAACGCGTTTACGAGGCCGCAAATCACACCCGTGTTCATATTTCGAACTGCCGCTCCTCGTTATTCAGTTTAACGGCGCCGGTATTTGAATTTTCGATCCGCGCCATTACGCTACAATGTTCAAGACGCAGCAGGGCGAGGTCGTTCCGGGGCCGAAAGAAAATAATAAGACGGTCTGTTACCCTCTTCGCAAATTCAATTTAACACCGAGATCCCAGAATATCACTCCGGATGAATTCTTAACGGCTTCCTAGATCCCCAGGTCTTTAATCATCGGATCCAACGTTAAAATCCGATTAGGAATCGCGAAAATCCCGCCACGCGCGGAGGACCTCCTTAAAACCAAGATGGCGGATGCCGGACTCCTCCTGCGCCCTTCTGCATTTTCTTTCCGTGAAAATTGAAATTCCACGAGCACCGCGTTCTTCCATATGGCCTCCATACTCACCTGCTGAAGTTTCCAACGATTAGGTGCACTCCGTTCGGAGAAAAGTTTTATAAATTATTTTCACCTTTCACATATACAGAATGTCCCTTTCATATCACCTTAGTTACACGCATGCGCCGCGGCGCGGCGCTCCGACTCGTCGAGAGTGACCCCCGTCGATGAATCAGAGTGGCCAAATTAAAGAACCTGGCCCGAGGAGGCAGGAAAAGAGCGAGAGGTCGACATGCCGAGGGAGAGATAAAGATAAAGAGAGAAGGAAAAGAGGAGAGAGAGAGAGAGGCGAGCCTGGAAGGGCGTTAGTATTCAGCGAGTCCGTAATTTGTGCCTCTCTTAATTAAATCATCCGTTAACCGAGGGCCCCCAGCCCTTCTGTTCCCTTTTTCGTCTTACAGGGGGTAGGGGGGGGGGGGCTCGCGCCGTTTCTTGGCTGCGCGGGCCCCACGGCCCCTTCCAGGGGGGGGAGTTTTCTGCTTTTTTCTCCCTTTTTTCTCCCTCCGCCCCTTTGACTTCGCGGAGCGTCTTGTCTTCTCTCTTTTGTTTTTTTTTTTTTAACTCCGGCAACGCAAACAAATTTTATAGGCGGCGCGCACTGGCCCCTGGGCCCTTCTCCCCCCTGGGCCCTGAATGGACTCCTGGGACTTTGGACTTCTTCGGCTTGGCTCATTCCATGGAGCCCCCTTTTTTTTTCCCTATTTTTTACACAATTAGTCCCTCGACTCTGATCGTAGGCTCCCGTCGAGGTGAGGTGGGGTTACCGCTCCAAATTCATTAACGCTCGCTCGGGCCCCCTCGGGCCCCCTGGGGCCCCGGGACCGAGGGGCCCTAATTGACGCGAGCACCCGCGGGAAAACTTTCTGCACCTTCGTGCGGGATACGTAGGCGTAATGGGCCCGAGGTACATGGGCCCTGTCGTCCATTTCTTCACAGAATTCGGGGAGGGAGTGAATTATAAGAGGGGGTTTAATCGGAGGTCTTGCATTTTTTAAGGGTCACTCTGTATGCATCGTCAAGGAATATTGATGAAATTCTCCTGAAAACTGGGCCCGTCGAATTGCTTCAAAGTTTACGCCGGGTTTACGTAAGTTAATTACGCGGAAATTAATAAACGTCGTCTGGGATGTTTCGGTGAACATGGCGACGAGACGCTGGGGTAGAGGGACAAAATGGCGGACGGTGAAGCGTTATAACTGAGACGGTAAAACTTCTTCAGAGGATTTCCGGCATTTTTTTTTTCTTTCCCCTGTAAACTAGCGTTTCGTCTCCCTGTGTTCATTAAAATATTCCAGGCGACACTTATTTAATATATGAACCATTCACAGAGAGAAACTCTTCGCAATCCGCCATTTTGTCCTCTGACCAAACATTTCGCCTCCCTTCGTTCGGTAATAAACGTGCAACTAAATTTTTTCATTTGTAATTCGTCGGCCAAAAATCACCGCAAAGGTAATAATGGGGTCGAATGATAGCGCGTTATCAAATTCGAGGACGTATCGCGATAAGCCGAGAGGAGGAAAGACAAAGAAAGAGAGACAGTAGGTTCCGAAACCTCGAATGGGAAGTGATTCGGACAAAAGTTTTTCCGAGGCCGGTGGAAGGAGACATTTTTTCCTCCAATCAAACATTTCGCCCCCCTTCGTTCGGTAATTAGCGTCCAACTAAATTTTTTAAATTTTGCAATTTGCCAGCGAAAAATCACCCTAAAGGTAATAATGGGGTCGAATGATAGCGCGCGCGCGTTATCAAATTCGAGGACGTATCCCGATAAGCCGAGAGGAGGAAAGACAAAGAAAGAGAGACAGTAGGTTCCGAAACCTCGAATGGGAAGTGATTCGGACAAAAGTTTTTCCGAGGCCGGTGGAAGGAGACAGCGAACAACAATGCCATGACCCCCCGCGCTTCGGACTCTAATATATTGCCGTAGGTTCCCCGAGGAGACGGGAAAGTATTGCGGGGCCCTCGTTAGGCCTACCTGTATAAGGCCCGCGAGAGAGGGGGGGCCCCCCTTCCGTTCGCCGACTCTCCTAACCGCAGGAATTTTAATGCGAAAAATTGTCTTGCCCCCCCCGTCCACCCCCGGCTTTCATCGCAGACGGCTTCCGCGATTCCCTCGGGACCCCCGGGAAATGGGGGCCCCCCTCGCCTCCGAGTAAAATCCACAAAGTGGGTAATTCCCTTCCCTAGAAAATTCCCCCGAATGTTGGATTTTTATTGCCGCATAAACATCGGCTAAATAATTATCTAAGGGGGGGCAGGGGGTCCGTGTGTCATTTCATGCATTCGAGGAGAAAAAAAAATTCCCATGGCTTGCTTGGATATATTTAATATCCTCGGACTCGGCTGAACATTCTGCGAGAGGGGGGCTTACCAAAGGGGGGCATTTAAAAAAATGCCCTCTCCGCGGGAAAAAATTCATACGTGTTGTTCGGATATATAGAATATCGCTGGAGTCACTTAGACACCGTGCAAGAGGGGGTGGGAGGGATTTTCGAAAGGGGGGCAACGAGGGGTCCGTTCGACGTTTCCATTTCATAAAAAAAAAAATTCATACGCATCGCTGGTAAAAAAAAAATTCATACATAAAGTCTTTGGGATCCTAGAGACATCCTGGGGACAGGGGTACGGGGGATTTTCAGAAGGGGGGCCACGTGGGGTACCTACATTTAAGATTTCTATTTTTTTTTTTCCTCCGGCGTGAAAAGAAATTCATATCGTTGGGATCCCATAGATGTCCTGCAGGAGGGGATTATCAGGGGGGGCAACGAGGGGGCTGTTAAGATCTTTTTTTTCCGGGAGAGAAAAAAAAGATATTCATACGCTGGGGTATGTTTATAATCTCGGGAGTCGGCTGGATATCCTGGATTTTTAGGGGGGGCCAGGGGGATTATCAGGGGGATGCTACTTGCGGCCTGTTTAACATTATGGGAGGGTTCCTACCCCCTCGGTCTTGAATTTGCCATTGACGCCCCGGGGGTCGGGGGCGACGAAAAATCGACGCTCTCCTTTTTAATAAACCTCCCCCTGCTGGTTGGTCGCCTCCACCCTTGTGTGCATTCCGGTGGGAAAAATACACCCCTTACTCGACACGCGTAATCTCGCTGTAATGACGCGCCGCGTGCGATCCGCATCGACGCCCCCTGCGTTATCCCTGCGTTATTATTATTGCCCATGATTTGAGGGGGGCGAAATCGAGGGGTTGGAGTTGGACATACACTGGAAGTCAAATCGAGAATTGTCTTTAGCCTTTTCACCGCTATGGACCCATAAGTGCGTCCGACGTTTGGTCGAGTATCGCTTGTACGCCCCGGTGAAATTCGCCCTTACGTCAGAAGGACGTAGCGCTGAACGGGTTGAGGTGATATGAAAGGGCCATTCTATACATCGAAGTGCGAAAATATTTATAAAATTTTTCTCACAAAACTTGGTGCACTCGTTCGTTCTATTGCATTATTACAATTAATTGTATTATTATACCTAAAATATTGATAAAATGTTTCCCCACACTTGGCGCATTCGAAAGTTCAGCACGTGATTATGAACGCCCTAAGGAAGAACGCGATGCTCGGGAGGTTTCATTTTCAGGAGAATAAAAGTTTTTTATTATGTAGCCCACATTGGTAAAAAACATTCATAGAACTCGTACACTTTTCGTACATAAGTACGTTGTTCATAACGCTACCGGAGTCTTCTATTTATTGTAAGAATTTTTAAAATTATTGTTTAAATATTTCTCCGATTCAAGAATGCCCCTCCGCCAGTACCGCCGATAATTGTCATCTCTCGATGAAATTTGTTTAAAAATCCACTTAGGTAAACGATCGTAAAATTGAAGACTCGTCTAAAAAGT